CCACCTTTTTTTTTTTTTTTTTTTTTTTTTTTTTTTTTTTCCTATATATATATCTGCCACGTGATAGAGCCGTTACACGACTCGCCTCTCCTGTACCTACTTATGTGGCATTACGTCGAGGCGTTTAATGTACACACACACACACACACACAATGTAATGTGGACTCTGCGGGACAGAGAGCGCGGCTCGCTTCAAAGGACCTACTCTTTCCCCTTTCGAAGGAAGTAAAGGATCTTTATTTAATAATGAGCGCCTATATTATGTGCCGAAAAAGTATATATATATATATTTACGCGCAATTAACCCAAAAATCCATAAAAAGAAAAAAATGGTACAGTCGCATCGAAATAATTCACGAGAGAGGCTTGATGGGGTCGAGTACGTATTGTTTACCGAATTCGAGGTGAATTGGCCATTCGATCACACGGGGAGAGACACACACACAAGATCGTGAAATATTACGTATCGTGTAACAGTGGATCCGGTCGCGACAGTCACAGCTAACGGCCACCGCTTTGGGGGAGTCGGCGTTTGTTATCGATCGATCGAATCGATATACCAAGTACTACATACACATCAGGTAAGTACATCCACATTTCGATGGTCAACCAGACACGGTACAATAATTGTAAGAGCGCGCTATACATATATACACGTACGATAAATAATAAGCCAAGCTGTATACGTACATACATATATGTGTATAAAAGCACATCGGGGAGTGCCGTCCACGCGCTCGGCTTACCTCGTTATACGCGTATATACACACACACACACATCGTCTCAAAACATGTCACGGGCCACGCCCCGGCTGTCAATGTATATGTATATTACCGCTTATATTGCTCCCCCCATTCTCGTATTATTTCACGCTCGTAACAGTACAGCGCATTACATGCAAATTGAGTTATATACTTATACCCCACCCTACCCGTGTAGGGTATAATGTATTCATATATATATATGTAAAAAGGTACAATTGCCGGGTCATACAATATAAATATTTTGACGGGTTGATCTTTCTTTTTCGATCCCCGTCGCTCAAATTATCGATATTTTTCGGACTACCGAGCACCGCTGTGGACGTTCCCTCCTACACGTTACGTAACAGCATTTATATATAGGGTGGGGCTGCGCTTCGAGTGTACCTTAATATTATATATATTAAATTTATGCGTGTATAAGTATAACGTGTGGTATATTTATACACATACGCGATGGAAAAATAATTTCGCATGTTTATATGCGTGCGTGCGCCATATAATCGTATATGTATACATGTGTGGGTATAAAATAAGCGAGCGATAAGCAGGCCTCGATTTGTACGGTGATAATGTACCTGGCGGCGCCCGATCCAGCCGCGGTTGTGATACACAATACACATACACATATATGTATATATATATATTTATATGGTAGAGAAACTTTTTTTTTAAATTTTTTTGCGCTGAGCTTAATAATCAGCGTCGAGCCGATGAGATAAAACGATGGGATGGACGATGCGTATCGAAAATCAAACACGAGGGCGATTGTGATCTTTGACCGTGCGTGTGTGTAGGTATATGTATGTATATGCAACGAGCAACGGCTATAAGTACACAGCGANATATATATGTAGATTCGAGACAATAAGCTCGCACTTTGCAGGCACCCAGGAATATAATATGAGAAACAGTGCCCAACCAGGGAGGGAGTGGGGAGGACCTCGAGAAGGGGTAGAGAGCGAGAAGCACTGGTGGCAAGACGCGGGGTATAGTATAATATAGCAGGGGTGGGATGCGGAGCTTAGCACGGCTTAGCCGAGCTGAGCGGGCATGTTACGGGGCGCGCGGGCACCCATCCGTACAAGCGGTCCGTTTAGCGGGATGTACCTATATACATATAACCCGTATATGTACGTGCGCCCAGCGGAGTAGGTTGTTGTATACTTGTATTCATCGTTTGGTCGTCCCCCGCGGACACGCCGAGGCTCGACACCCCCGAATAAAAAGAAACCAAAGCTCACCCCATCATCCCCCATACGTACATACATCCATGTATAGGTACACCGAGAACAAAGTGCCAACACAATGCCATTGCGTGACACACGTCTGCTCTCTGTCACTGCTCCTTTTGTATATATATTGTTATTTATTCGTTCTGCCCCGCTTTGTCTCTCTTTTTTTTTTTTTTTTTTTCTCCCCGCTTCTTATATTCTTCCGCAAGTGATTTTTTGGCCGCCCCCCTCCTCCCTGCCCCTTATTTCTTATTCCAAATCGTGAACAACAGGGCCATTAGCCGGCATCGGCGACCACGAGTCCTTATCGTACCGAGGCAGGCATCGTTTGCCCTCCACACATCATTATACACGTACATGGTTAATGTATACTTTAGGGGGGTGGGGTGGGGGGGCAAAAGTTGGCGCGTGTGCGCAGGTGATGATCGATGGGGCTCGTTAATTACGAAGCTCGATCCTTCATCCCCCTCGATAATACCTATATATACACGGTCGAGGTTGCAATCGCGTCTCGAACGGCGCATCGTGCACGCGGACGTATCAATTTGCTTGAGTGGCATACGTATGTATTTATTTTAGGCGTATATATGTATAGCTCGATCACTCGCAACAACGTCCATCCGTCCGTCCGTTTGAGAGTGACGCACGCACTTACGTGTACAATATATATATACGTATATACAAAAGATGACGCGTATAATCTGTGTTTTTCACCAGCTGACCGGTCCGAGGATCCGTACTGTGGTCCTGCGTCACGAATCTCAGCTATATACAACTATTGTGCCGTGGACGGGTGGTGTTGTATATATATATATACATCCAATAATATACGCGAATGGAAGATCGAAACGTGTCGAGCCGAGCGCTGCGAGGATTTTCTTACATATATACGTGCCCGCTGTTGATCCGTTGGACCGTGTGGACAGCGAAATCGATGGACCCTCGACTCGGACCTCGCTGTACCTATACACATGGCCCTTCGTTTGACCGTGATTTTCCGACTTTTCGTTTGCGATCCCTCTCTCTCTCTCTCTCTCTCTCCTTGCTCTCTCGGTCGAGCAACATTATTTCTCTACTCGCCGACAATCAGTGCAAGTCAACGAGCTCGTTATCATCCACCGATGACCATACCACCAGTGACTCTATGTCCGTAAAATTATCCATCCATCAAGTCGTGTTTAACAATAAACCATACAAATAACATTGCTCGAGTTTGGGCCCCTTTTTATTAGTATTACCGCCTACTTACAGCGTCGCCCAACATGTAGATAAACATAACTCAATGCGAGTGAGTGCATAAATATTATGCGTATAATGAACGAAAAGAGAATATGGATAATGTGCGCGCGTCCATATATTATACGACAGTGACTCGAGAGAGGTACAACAATGACGATATAATTCATTGATAAAGGGTATAGTCGATAGTTGATTTCTCTTCAATTGATCAACAATTCACAGGCAAGATATATACCTATATACAACGTATTGGCATTTATTTTTTTGTTAGCTGCAAATAAGTATAGCTCAAAATAACATGCCCGTGGTCTTTCTATTTTTCCATATGTCTGTGCCAAGTTACGATCAGTGTTGCATTTTAACACAACGATGCCATGATTCGAGCAAAAGCCGCGAGGCTGAAAGGAGCCGACAGTGCGAAATACATGATGTACATAAATGTGTGCGTGTGCGCGAGCATATATATACATATGTATGTATGTATGTAAGTATGATCATCAGCAAAGCTGCGGGGCTCGGCTCGTCGGTCGGGCGCCGTCGCCGCGGAAAGCAGCATGGCCGCGGCCGCCGAGTCAATATAGCTCCCGCCGATGTCGGGAGGGGGCTGGTGTTATATATATATATATATATACACGTACATATGTATGGGCGCTCGCGTGCGATACGGGATGGAGTATATATATGGAGGGCCGGGAGGGAGCCGAGAGGCGAAGCCCAGCCAACGAGAGCCACCGCCGGCGGGCGTAGCGATGGCAACGCCGGCCCGGTTCGCGCCTCGCCCTCCCTGCAATTCTCTCTCCCTCTCTCTGCTTGCCGTACTTTTATACTCGCGCGGCTCTCTCTCGTATATGTGTATGTATGTATGTATATTGGCACGCTGTACATCAGAGCTTCCCCTATATACATATATAGCTGTTGTACCTACCATGGGTCATAGAGCCGGCCCCTGCCTATACACAAGAAGCCCTCCCTTATGTTATACTTGCACGGGGAATAAGTATCGTATATACCGTACATTTATATATATTATCTCGGTCTTATAATCGGCGATCCGCGAAATCGGGTCTATCTTTGTCTCTGCTTAAAAGTAATTAACCGGCCGGTGGTGTGTGTGTGTAAACTGCAGGTCTTGCGGCCTCCCGCGACTTATATACTTGCTTCCCCTCTCCCTCTTAATTCCTTTTCCTCCCCCGCGCCATGCTGGACTGCGTGGCTGATTTTCTTACCCCTCCCGCTTATACTGCCCGTCTATAGCATGAGCTAGAATTATTTTAACCATTAGTTATTTGTATGCTTGCACGGACAATTCATTATTCGGTGTATATAATTATATTATAATAATGCGCATATTTTGCCGATCTGCAATTCTGCAGCTTGAGAAACAAGTGCATGTTGTGTAGTTCTGTAGGTATATAGGAAGGTAGAAAGAGAGGGAGGCCCGTGGAGTAAGTATCCGTGAGCGCGTGCACAATCACACAATCAAACATTGTTCACGATTTAGTCAAATATTGGCGATATACACTTATATACACAGCTTTGTACCGATGCCNGTTGTTGCTGTTGCTGTTGGCCGAGGGGCTGTGATGATGGGTGGTGCAGCTGGTGCGGGACGGTCGGCTGGAGGCAGTAGGCAAGGCTGGGCGAGGCAGCTTGGGGGTCGTCCTCGTCGAGGTCGTCGTCGGCGGGGGACCAGCAGCGTTGGGCCGCGGCCGCGGCCGCAGCGGCAGCGAATCAGGCGAGGGCGAAGGGGTGCGAGGCGTGGTGTCACAAGCCGGGGCCCCCGGAGGAGCCAGGGCCTACTGGACCCGAACCCGCCACCGGGTGGTACAGCGGGCTCTGGTAATAGTCCGAGGGCTGACCGATACCACCACCACCACCGCCCCCGGTGCTCGACATCTGGTGGTGCATGCCGTTGGCGTGCTGCTGGTAACTGGCGGCGGCTGCGGCCGCGGCCGCGTTCACGTAGCCCTGGTGGTGCAGCTCGTACATCTGCTTGAGCTCGGGGGGCTTGCTGTCGGGCGGCACTTGGGCCCCGGGGGAGGCTGCCGCGGCGGCGGTCGAGGCAACCCCGGGCAGGAGCCTCGTTATGCTGAAGGGGTTGTTGGCCGGGGCGTAAGAGCTCGGCTCCTGCTTGAGCCCGTGGAGGGCCGTCGGGTCGGCGAGTAGGTGGGGGTGGAGGCCCCGGTTGACCATGGCGGCGAGCTCGTCGTGCGTGGCAAGCTCGGGCAGTAGGCCACCTATGTCCGTGTGCTGCTGGTGCTGCGAGTGTTGCTGTTGCTGCTGCTGCTGCTGCTGCTGCTGCTGCTGTTGACATAAAGGGGGTGCGGGCAAGCGTTTAGTACTCGCATAACGTTCAAGAGTGCACGTGCTGTAGCAGTCGTCGGATCGCTTCACCGAGAGAAATTTACTCTATGTAAAATTGCAGTGTAGTTGTACCATTTTTGAGGTAAAAATTAATTTTACTAGTTTAGGTGAACGCAATAACGTGCCAACAGCAAAATTTTCACGATATCAATTTTCAAGGATTTTCATGATTATTTTCATATTTCATTTCTCTCGATACGTTCGAAAAGTATATGCTTGCTTCTGAAATTTCTACGCAATCTTTCGAGCACACAACTCCGAGGGGGTAGTATTTGAATTAAAAAACGCTCAAGTAGAATGATTTTGTTGAAATAATTAGCTGAACTTTTTTATTTCATACGATTTCGATCCACTTGGTACAATGTTTTTGAACAATTTATGAGCCCCGAGTCGGTGGCCCTTTATCGTAGGTTTTTTATACTAAATTTTCTTAGCCAAGGCATAAGTGCACGTATGGAAAGAAATCAGACAAAAGAAATAAATGGAGTCGGGGGATTGGGCGAATAAAAGAGTCTATTGAAACAGCACTTGTCAAAGAGAAATAGCTATGACATTTTTTTAATGAAAAACTCCCTTGAGCGAGCATCTACTTCTTTCCACATGTTTTCCATTAAATGAAGTGTGCAACCGGAGAAAATGTTTTTTTATTTTTGTGAAAATTCGTTAAAGAGCTTCTGTAAATATGTTTCACTAAAATCGTCACTTGATAAAAATAAGAAAATATTGGTCAAGTAAGCGTCAGAGCGTTATGCGCATTTAATTACATTAAATTGAAAATAGAAAAACAAATATTTATCCGCGTTACATAAAATGTAAATAATTATATAATTGTGATTTATGATTTTTGCATGAATGGTTGCAACTTTTGCAAAAATATTCATTTTTTCATTTGCAGGAATGAAATGTCACATGAGAAACAAACGCAATTAGATTGTAATGGATGGGTTCACGTAAAAAAGGGCGAAAAAGTAATAGTAATCTGAAATGTTAATAGTTACAGCTGTTACGGTACGTAAAGTAATAGCATTCGTTGGCTCAGTCATTAGCGCGAGAGTCAGTAAATTGATCCACCGTTCAATAAAACCGCTTGGTTTCGAAGTTCCCGTTAAAAAAACACTTAGATTTCATCACGAGACCGGCGCAGCTGGTTCCAGTGGAGCTTTTGTTAGAGTAGAAATAGATTACGCTTACCCCAGGCTGTTGGTGGTGGTGTTGCTGCTGCTGCTGTTGGTGGTGGTGCTGCTGCTGTTGGTGATGGTGTTGTTGTTGCTGCTGGTGCTGTTGTTGCTGTTGGTGCTGGTGGTGCTGCGCCGAGACGAGGTGCGAGTGGAGGTTCTTGTCGGCGGGCGAGTGCACGCCACCGACGTGGTGCTGATGGGGCGCGGATTGGGACTTTTTGTGCTGGTCGGGACTCACGTGTCCTTGATGGTGGTGGTGCTGCTGCTGGGTTTGGTGGGACTGGTGGGTCGTCTGCTGGTGCTTGATGCTCTGCCGGTTGATCTCCTTCTTCTCGTCCTTGAAGCGCTTCTGCCGGCGGAGGTAGCAGCCGTTCTCGAACATGTTGCCGCTCTCGGGATGCAGGGTCCAGAAGGAGCCCTTGCCCGGCTTGTCCGGGGTCCGCGGCACCTTCACGAAGCAGTCGTTGAAGCTGAGCGAGTGCCGTATCGAATTTTGCCACCGCTGCTGGTTCTGGAGGATTAAAATGCACCGGGCATTGTGTTTAATGCAAAAAGCTCTTGGTTAAATTTATCTACGGCAGAGCACATTGACACGAAAAGATAATAATAAGTATTCGTGAGTCGGGCCGAATTTTCATCCAAAAAAGTTTTCCCGGGCAAATTTCACACCTTGGGTCATTTATTACGGGAATAAAATTTTGTCGACAAGGGTACGGGTGCCTAAATCCATTGTTTCAGCTTTAAAATATTACTAGTTAAAATTTACCCACAAATCGGAACAAACAAAAATTTTTATCCTAGTTTTCGTACGTTTACATTGTACGAAAAAAACTTGAAGCACCCGAAACCAAATTTGGTAAAAGTACGAAAGCTATGTTTTTACCTGTTTTCCTCTTTGCGCTGCGCACTAAAAAACAACGTTTCCAACTAATTTTAATCAAAGCGCTCTGTTATTTCTTTCAGCTTTTTCGTTTCTCATTTTTTTCCTTTCACAATATGACCATTTAGCCTAAAACACCAAGTCTTTAGTCATTCCATTTTACATTTTTTTTTTTTTTTTCACACCCCGAGATAAAAAATTACACCTCAAACAAGCACTACATACATGCGTATTGTGCATAATTCAATTGTATTGTTTGTTATACCAAAGTTTTTTTTATTTACAATATATAATATACATATATATGTGTGTGTGTATTTTTTTTGTATGTATAGTTAGCACAGCTCGCTCGTCCCGAGCGAGTCTTGGATATTTGCCGTTGTTTTATTCATCGACACGTACAACACCATTTGCGCACCCCATTTTTTTTTTCATCCTGCCTGCACCTATACGTATAAGTTTTTGCTACTTTCTCAAATATTTCTGCAACTTGAGCACAGTTGACCGTATGCACTTTAGCCATCACTTTGCACTTTGCCGTTGTACGCACATCTGCATGTTATAAGGTACGCGTGCATTTTACAATACGTGTCCATCCGTGTGGAGGTTTAATTATAACCGTTGCGAAAGCCGTTGTGCGTATACACGAGTGCCATTGTGGGTGCGACTATCTACACTTATGGTACACAGGGAGGAGGACCAGCGGAAACTTTAACGGCGCACAACACACATACACACGGCGGCCCGTCACTGATCGCGCACTACCGACGAAATAGTATATGTATATGCACTGCACGGGTCCTCTATTCCTTGCAGTATCCCGCACTGGCTAGCTTCATCCGCTGCATGAGTTGTTGTTGTTGTTGTTGTTGTTGTTGTTGCTGTTGCTGTTGGCCGAGGGGCTGTGATGATGGGTGGTGCAGCTGGTGCGGGACGGTCGGCTGGAGGCAGTAGGCAAGGCTGGGCGAGGCAGCTTGGGGGTCGTCCTCGTCGAGGTCGTCGTCGGCGGGGGACCAGCAGCGTTGGGCCGCGGCCGCGGCCGCAGCGGCAGCGAATCAGGCGAGGGCGAAGGGGTGCGAGGCGTGGTGTCACAAGCCGGGGCCCCCGGAGGAGCCAGGGCCTACTGGACCCGAACCCGCCACCGGGTGGTACAGCGGGCTCTGGTAATAGTCCGAGGGCTGACCGATACCACCACCACCACCGCCCCCGGTGCTCGACATCTGGTGGTGCATGCCGTTGGCGTGCTGCTGGTAACTGGCGGCGGCTGCGGCCGCGGCCGCGTTCACGTAGCCCTGGTGGTGCAGCTCGTACATCTGCTTGAGCTCGGGGGGCTTGCTGTCGGGCGGCACTTGGGCCCCGGGGGAGGCTGCCGCGGCGGCGGTCGAGGCAACCCCGGGCAGGAGCCTCGTTATGCTGAAGGGGTTGTTGGCCGGGGCGTAAGAGCTCGGCTCCTGCTTGAGCCCGTGGAGGGCCGTCGGGTCGGCGAGTAGGTGGGGGTGGAGGCCCCGGTTGACCATGGCGGCGAGCTCGTCGTGCGTGGCAAGCTCGGGCAGTAGGCCACCTATGTCCGTGTGCTGCTGGTGCTGCGAGTGTTGCTGTTGCTGCTGCTGCTGCTGCTGCTGCTGCTGCTGTTGACATAAAGGGGGTGCGGGCAAGCGTTTAGTACTCGCATAACGTTCAAGAGTGCACGTGCTGTAGCAGTCGTCGGATCGCTTCACCGAGAGAAATTTACTCTATGTAAAATTGCAGTGTAGTTGTACCATTTTTGAGGTAAAAATTAATTTTACTAGTTTAGGTGAACGCAATAACGTGCCAACAGCAAAATTTTCACGATATCAATTTTCAAGGATTTTCATGATTATTTTCATATTTCATTTCTCTCGATACGTTCGAAAAGTATATGCTTGCTTCTGAAATTTCTACGCAATCTTTCGAGCACACAACTCCGAGGGGGTAGTATTTGAATTAAAAAACGCTCAAGTAGAATGATTTTGTTGAAATAATTAGCTGAACTTTTTTATTTCATACGATTTCGATCCACTTGGTACAATGTTTTTGAACAATTTATGAGCCCCGAGTCGGTGGCCCTTTATCGTAGGTTTTTTATACTAAATTTTCTTAGCCAAGGCATAAGTGCACGTATGGAAAGAAATCAGACAAAAGAAATAAATGGAGTCGGGGGATTGGGCGAATAAAAGAGTCTATTGAAACAGCACTTGTCAAAGAGAAATAGCTATGACATTTTTTTAATGAAAAACTCCCTTGAGCGAGCATCTACTTCTTTCCACATGTTTTCCATTAAATGAAGTGTGCAACCGGAGAAAATGTTTTTTTATTTTTGTGAAAATTCGTTAAAGAGCTTCTGTAAATATGTTTCACTAAAATCGTCACTTGATAAAAATAAGAAAATATTGGTCAAGTAAGCGTCAGAGCGTTATGCGCATTTAATTACATTAAATTGAAAATAGAAAAACAAATATTTATCCGCGTTACATAAAATGTAAATAATTATATAATTGTGATTTATGATTTTTGCATGAATGGTTGCAACTTTTGCAAAAATATTCATTTTTTCATTTGCAGGAATGAAATGTCACATGAGAAACAAACGCAATTAGATTGTAATGGATGGGTTCACGTAAAAAAGGGCGAAAAAGTAATAGTAATCTGAAATGTTAATAGTTACAGCTGTTACGGTACGTAAAGTAATAGCATTCGTTGGCTCAGTCATTAGCGCGAGAGTCAGTAAATTGATCCACCGTTCAATAAAACCGCTTGGTTTCGAAGTTCCCGTTAAAAAAACACTTAGATTTCATCACGAGACCGGCGCAGCTGGTTCCAGTGGAGCTTTTGTTAGAGTAGAAATAGATTACGCTTACCCCAGGCTGTTGGTGGTGGTGTTGCTGCTGCTGCTGTTGGTGGTGGTGCTGCTGCTGTTGGTGATGGTGTTGTTGTTGCTGCTGGTGCTGTTGTTGCTGTTGGTGCTGGTGGTGCTGCGCCGAGACGAGGTGCGAGTGGAGGTTCTTGTCGGCGGGCGAGTGCACGCCACCGACGTGGTGCTGATGGGGCGCGGATTGGGACTTTTTGTGCTGGTCGGGACTCACGTGTCCTTGATGGTGGTGGTGCTGCTGCTGGGTTTGGTGGGACTGGTGGGTCGTCTGCTGGTGCTTGATGCTCTGCCGGTTGATCTCCTTCTTCTCGTCCTTGAAGCGCTTCTGCCGGCGGAGGTAGCAGCCGTTCTCGAACATGTTGCCGCTCTCGGGATGCAGGGTCCAGAAGGAGCCCTTGCCCGGCTTGTCCGGGGTCCGCGGCACCTTCACGAAGCAGTCGTTGAAGCTGAGCGAGTGCCGTATCGAATTTTGCCACCGCTGCTGGTTCTGGAGGATTAAAATGCACCGGGCATTGTGTTTAATGCAAAAAGCTCTTGGTTAAATTTATCTACGGCAGAGCACATTGACACGAAAAGATAATAATAAGTATTCGTGAGTCGGGCCGAATTTTCATCCAAAAAAGTTTTCCCGGGCAAATTTCACACCTTGGGTCATTTATTACGGGAATAAAATTTTGTCGACAAGGGTACGGGTGCCTAAATCCATTGTTTCAGCTTTAAAATATTACTAGTTAAAATTTACCCACAAATCGGAACAAACAAAAATTTTTATCCTAGTTTTCGTACGTTTACATTGTACGAAAAAAACTTGAAGCACCCGAAACCAAATTTGGTAAAAGTACGAAAGCTATGTTTTTACCTGTTTTCCTCTTTGCGCTGCGCACTAAAAAACAACGTTTCCAACTAATTTTAATCAAAGCGCTCTGTTATTTCTTTCAGCTTTTTCGTTTCTCATTTTTTTCCTTTCACAATATGACCATTTAGCCTAAAACACCAAGTCTTTAGTCATTCCATTTTACATTTTTTTTTTTTTTTTCACACCCCGAGATAAAAAATTACACCTCAAACAAGCACTACATACATGCGTATTGTGCATAATTCAATTGTATTGTTTGTTATTGCAGTTGCGTATTACGTGTGACACTTGAACTTTAAACTGTCATATCTCGGAAGATGGGAACCTCATGCAATTGAAAAAAGTGAGCATAATGAAATAAAAAATGCGTTGTAAGATATTTCAACTTTAAATTTTTAGGGGCGCGGCAATTTTAACCTCGAGAACAGGTAAGAGCAGCCTGATGATGGTATATAAAATCACTATTTTTGATAAAAATGACTACTTGTTCTAATATATCGATTAAAAGTTCGGATTTATATATTTTAAGCAAAATTGACTGCATTAAACCCAATATTACGAATGGCCTGTAACTTTTGTTGCAATGCACACGATTTTACGTAACAATGGCATCTGACGGTACACAATGTGGATGAGTGTTAATTCTGTTGTCTGAGTTTTTAATTCATCAAAATTTTCATGGTTCATTAATTTGCGCTTCTGCAGCAAATAATTCAAATCGAAAAGTAATGGAACAGAGCTGAAAAAAAAAACCACGCGCATTCGTACACGATAGGAGAAATTGATTCGTCCACTGAACTGACGAGCACTTTTTAACTTTTCAAATCATTGTCCCGTTAATTGAACAGATATACAGCTGGAAATAAAACAACTAACCTGACGGTAAAATGGAAACAGGTCCATTATGAACTGGTAGATCTCGGAGAGCGTGAGCATCTTGGAGGGCGCGTTCTGGATGGCCATAGTTATCAGCGATATGTAAGAGTACGGAGGCTCTAAAAAAACGTATGAAATGAATCTTTCAAAAAAAAAAAAAAAAGAAAAAAGAATGGTTTATCATTGTAATGTTTTTACTTCAAGTGGAAAGTTGGAGAAAAAACAGAAAAAAAAAAAAATTGTTAAAAAAGAAATGAGAGGACGTACTGGCATGAGTGTAGGAGCGCCGATAGCTCTTGTCCTGGCGGGCGCGCTGCAGCGAGTTGGGCGAGTCGGGCTCGGCCAGTGGATCGGCACCCCCGCGACCCGGCACGGCCGAAGCGGGAACCGAGCCGAGGCTCCCGACCCCACCGGCGCCGGGCGCCACGGCCGCTAGGGGCCCGTAACCCGAGAGCCCGCTCATGCACGACATGCCCGGCATCCCCGGCACCGAGCCCCCGTACACGTTCATGGATATGCCACCCGGGCTCTGGGGGTTCATCGACATCCCCACGCAGGACATCGAGTTGATCGAGCTGTAGGTGGGCGCCATGCCGCCCATACCGCCCATGCCAGCGCTGCTCGGCTCCCCGTAAAGATTTTGCGACTGGAGCATGGTCATTTGGGCCGAAGCGCTCTACCGTCGCGTTTCCTACACTTATCACTCACAGATACTCTGTCCCGCCGCTCATCGGGCGCTCACCTCCACTTTTCACTTTTCGACCAATAACTAACCAACTAGTATCGTATAGGTATTTAACAAGACAACGATGTCGTGGGCACACACCCGCGCACCGTGTACCTAAACAGAAAAACACTCTTGCCCGGCACTATACGAACCCATTGATCACTTGTCTTGCTAAACGATTCCTCCTTTTTCACAGCTCGGTCGTGTCACCGCGTCCTCCTACAGCGCGGGCCGCGGCACTAGTGTACAACGTAATATACGTAACACACTCGCGCACGATAATTATATGGTCCGTCGTGGCTGGAGGCCGGCTGACGAGTGTACTCCGGGAGCTTCGAGCCGGCGCGGCTTGTTCAAACAGTCGCCCCTCCCGGCCGCGGCGTTGGGCGGAGCCGCGCGCCGGAACGCCGAGGGTTCCGAGCCAATGGGGGAGCTCGGGTTCCGCCCCCTCGCGCTTGCGCCGCGGCTTTTTTTTTTTTTTTTTTTTTTTTTTTTTTTTTTTTTATAGCTAATACCTATATACCCCGTCCGCTGTCAAGTGTCACGCGCGCGACCGACGGCCGAATGCAACAGCAGCTGGACCCCCCCCCCCCTTTGCGGGCTCAACGCGCGTACTATGATGGTTGGAAAATCATGACGATTAACGAGGGTTCATCCAGTACAATTTACCTGTATAGGTATACAATAACGCGTGTTTACCTGCTAGGCCGTGTCGGATGTAATTATTTATACCTATGGGGATGTGGGTATGGGTACCGGGAGTAAACAAAAATGTGGGTAAAAAGGAGCTACTTACCTATATACTATATACGTATAGATCGAAGAGATGTGCAGGGTGAAAAAATGTGCAAAGGGCGAAAAGGGTATAGGTAAATGTGGGCAAGTCGGTTGGTATGTAGGTATTATCTGGCATTAGTATACACACGTAATATACAGAGTTAGTATAATATAGGTATACACGCCGAGGACTGGAGGAGGAGGGAGGCACGCGGGTGTGTTTGTAGATCTGTATGGGTACCTATATAAGTACTTGCTTGCCCATTGCTCGGGTCTTTATCGAGCTCCGAATTGTTTGCGGAATGAAAATATTGTCCCTGTAAACAGCGGGCTGATGCTGCCGCCGCTGCACTAGCCAACGAATAATCGTCCACCGTGCGATGCTGTTGCTGCTTCTGATGTGCATATACATATATACCTATACTATTGTGAGCATCAAGCACTTGCTCTTTCTCTCTCTGTTGTTTCTTCCTATAGAAATTGCATTCGGGTAGGTAGGTATATAGGTACTTTATTAGGCTTACATTGTGTAGATATACCCCTTACCATATTGTACTAAGTGTGGGGTATCTGTGTGCATACCGTGCGGTAAAATGTACATATGTATACACACAAACTTGCTCTCGTTTTCACGGGCTCACGGCTCATCGCGCGCCAATAGGTATAGTATATAGGCGAGTACCACTCGAGCTCGATCGATTTCTCTCTCCATGTACCGATCTCAATCTTATCTCTGCTCTTTTCTCGCCTATATAGGTACTTGGTTGTCTGTGCCTATATTTGTCGAGTAGCGCGCGTCGATGGACTCGCCGATCCTCCTTTAGCGCTTTTACAAACATTACCATAACTAATTGAACACTAAAAGAGCGGGTAAGCAAATGTAGCGCAACAACAACTATACTTTATTTCGTTTGATAATCTTTAACCATCTTGTGTGCATGCGATTGATTTTTTTTTTTTTTTTTTTTTTTCATCAGTCACCAGGGGGCAGTTCAATTTTTTCGACGATTAACTCGCGTTGATTTTGCAATCGGTGATACTGTGTGTGTGTGTGCGTATATACCTACGCCCGACAAATATCCCCTCAGAGCCGCGTGTTTAACGATTGCATTGACAAATATGTGCTTACACGCAGAGGTGGATGTGTATTAAGCACCCGAGCATAGGTACATATACACGCGCGCACACTTGGCTTTGCTCGAGATGTTCAATTTTATTTGTCCCTCGTGATTTATCGCCTCGATAAGTATTTGCGGACGCGCGTGTTGAAATCTAAACTTTTGCTTGCACATGTTCATAACACGACGACGCCAAAGCAAAGACGTACAGTGTTGGTGTCATTTACCCCCCCCAAGAGTCAACATTTGAAAAGATCGTCGATCCGCCCTCGCGACGGGATAAATCGGTTATATATGAAAATCATCGGCATTCAAAGTAAATTTAAGCATAAACACCGTTTTTGTTCCTCTTTGGCAAACCGTACACGGGTTGTATGTGTACAATATTTAACCACCTAATATTGGCTGAAGGAATCACCACCGCCACTTTAATTATCATCGCGCGGGCATAATGTACCCAATAACTGTATACATTTATACAATTATCATCCGTATTTTCTTTTTATCTCGTTTATTAATGCTCTGTTTATATTTAAACACGGTTTATTTGACGATGTTCAAGTAACGTATGAGCAGGCTCATGCTCGAGAAAAATGGACAACGTTTTTTTATCAGCTTATTTTTCTTTCGTAGTCATCCAAGCTTTTAAAACTCATACGCAATACTACGTCAAGTAGGTAAACTGCAAATCACTGCAAAATTATGTTTAAAAAAAATGCGCCATTGAAAATGTATACTGCCAAGACTATGAGAAATAAACAAAATATGCTGGTGTACAAAAAAGTAACCGATAATTGTCAATGCTAAGCGAACTGAAGCGATTTCAGAAATCGAGTCAAACAAAATGTAATATGTGGTCGTTGCGAATGGACTCATTGGTGAGCCATAAATTAGATTTCGTTTGAGTTTGTAATGAGTGGCTCGAAACAAAAACAAGCCGATCCAAATAAACTGCCCACCGGAGCAGGGGCGCACTTGTGTGTCAAAGCTCGCCGCTCGACGGAAATGTTTTGTCATTTCAACACGAGAGGGGGAAAATAAAAAAAAAAAAAGGGGGGGAAGAGGAAGGGCTCGCGGCCGCAAGCGATGAGTCTCCTGTTTTCCCTTCGTTCCGGGTGGTCCGCCGTGTATGTACACACACGGGCACTTTGGTCCCCTGACCTCTCGAGACCCCCAAAATTAACACCGCGATACGAGCGAGAATCTCCCGTCTCGGAGCGCCAATTTTTTTTTTTTTCCCCTCCCCCATCCGCACCGAATCTCGGTGTTTTCGTACGTGACCGCCGGCGAGCGACGGACCAAGAGCATCATCTTGGGCGTCGGTCGGGGCCGCTTTAGATTTTCACTCGAGCCCTCTTCAGAACTGACTTTTTCTTCGTTCGCTTTTACCTTTGTTATTCGTGCCGACTGAAACAACAAATCAAGACACTTTTTCGTGCCCCCCCCCCCATACCTGCATATATATGCATAGGGTGTGTGCGCACATAATATATAGGTAATATCATATATATAAAGAGAGGAGCAGCGGACCCAAGCCGGCTTTTTCTCTTCCCCGTGTGCATATATATATGTAATAACTCTATTACCTCTTTCACGTTTTCCTCGTCTCAAACGCACCTCTGTGTTTTTTTAGCCCCCCTCCCCCCCCCCGATTGTTATATTACCCACCCGGTTGTTGTGCAGGTTCTCGCTCTACGTCACGTTATATACTTACTCGGACAGCGTACAATATACGCTCTGGACCTTTTTTTTTTTTCTACGTATTTGCTCGTACACCTGTACCCATCACCGATACGGAGCTGATGGATGCAACGAAAATACATGGGTATACCTATAAGATGAATGGCACCCACAGCCGAGACATCTGCACATCGCTAATCACGATGATATACCCATCATCTATATTTATGTAACACATTATATTATTGTTATTATTATTATTATGTATACAGCATAAAATTCTCCTTTATTTAATGGCGCGAAGCGTGTACTATACGTGTATACATATAAAGGCGAGGAAAAAAAGAACTAAAAAGTTGTATTTATGTACGTGATGGGTATAGTACCTACACTCAAAACATACCCGTGAAAAACAAACGCTCAAGGATAGGTCAGTAATCCCCGATAATCCCGACACTATGGGAGGAATGCTTGGACTAAAAATTTTCCCTTCCCTCCCACGTATATAATATACAACAACGATGCTCGCAACGTTGCACAAGCGCGCTCTAATGGACGGGCCGGCCTTTCGGTGAGTACATATACAGGTATATTATGGGCACCTCTCCCTAATGGGCCAATTATAAAATAATCCAAGGAGATGACGATCGGCGGAATAGAATAGAGAGCCGAGGAGCAATAAAGCCGAGCGGGAAAATTGAAAGGGAAAAACGTGCAACAATAATCGTAACACAACATTATGGCCACACTCGATGGTGCATATATATATACCTTGACGGATAATGTATGGGGGGGGGGAGAGAGGGTCCGGCATAGAAAACAAACGATGATTCGAGAGTGTGTATGCTCTATCAGGCTCGACGCGAAGCAGACGCAAAGTCACGTGTTGTGCGTGCCTCGGCTCGCTTTTCCCAGATTTGCAGTATCCCCCTCCCCCAAATCTATATACCCACTCGCTCGTCCTCTACACCTCTATCTCGGCGAAAACACGCTTCTCCTCGTCTCGTTATATTAAGTAGGTGTACAGGCCTCTATAGGTCGTCCCTTCAATCGCCAACGTAAAAATAATATGCTCTCACCCCCGCCGTCGCACTTATCTCGTCCTTCTTCGTCTTTGCCCCACGGCTTTTCTCTCCCCAACCCCTCCGACCTATACCTATTTTGTTCTGCCGCTCTCTACTGTCTCTGGATGCCCATCCTATAATATATACGTAGCTGGCTCGAGAAAACAAAAAACAAAAAAAACACATCCTTCGTCGAGTGGCGTGAAACTCGCGTACGCCGGGGCCCCCCACTCCTTTATATACATTACCTCTATTATTTTTACCGAATTTATCTTTCGGCTCTTGCGCGTCTTACACGTGTTACCCCCTTTTGCGACAGATGTATGCCCAAGTGTGTACCTATACATCACTTGTATACGCAATCCCACACGTGTATATGCAGGGTATATATACGTGCGCCTAACAATTTGGGCTCAAGCATATAAGTACATTTACGCGTACACTTAATTTCAATATAATGTTTCGTCATCCGCGCTCCAGCTCTCTCGGCGTATACCTTGTCTCTTTGTTCGGCGCGACACCTCCTCCCGAAAGATAAACGCGCATAAGTAGCGCTTGGAAATCTGATTAGCCCCCCACCCCCCGTTGTTCGCCAATATGTGTCTGTGCTCTCTTTTTTTCTCCCTATACGTGTGTCGACGCGCCTCTGGTAATTCGTATACGTACCATGTATGTGTGAGGAACGGGGGAATAATAATTTTATCTCCGAGATGTGTACCTGTACCGCTGCAAGAAGATATTAGATTATTTTGACGAGCTCGAGAGAGAGAGAGAGAGAGCAATCGCACCGACCCACAAAATGTGTGGATAAAAGTATATAGCTCTCTTGAATATTTATGCAATAACTATATGTACTGTGCGCTCCTTGGTACATTTTTTTTTCTCTCCGTCTTTGCAATTCACCTCTGATACAACAATGTGGTCAATTTGAGCGAGAGGTCCTTCCTTTTTCTTAACGACATTGGCCATTATACAGCTCTCTCGGTAATTAATTTTTTTTTTTTCCACGTTACGCCGTCACGAGCAAACGCATCGATTGGGCAAACACGAGGATACATATTATGTATACACCCATGTATGTATATACCGATTCAATTCGTTTGTCTATACTTGCTTCTCTCGTGTTTTACACAAAGACAAAAATTAAAAATCAATCTATTGTTTTTTTTTTTTTTTTTTTCGGCAAATCAATAGAGAGCAGTTGCGTCGATCTTGAGCTTTTTTTTGTTGGAAAGAAAAAGCATGCAGGTGCAGTCATTCAGAAAATTGGTAACGATTGTTTGAAAGTCAGCCGAAAAACTGATGTAAACAGGGCACCGTTATATCTTTCGGAGCTTTTTGGAGGCGCAGTAACTTTCACTCGAACGTTCTTCAATTTGAAAACCAAGTAGGAGTAGCTCACCAAATTAAGCCTGTAAAAAAATGCTCAAGTGCGGAAAAACCTGGGACGGATCGATATTGGCACAAAATTCTCATTTCCATCGAAAATATCATTTGGAATTTTTTTTCACCGGAGCGGAAAAATGGATGGCATATGATAGTCATCCATAATATAACGTAGTCCTAACACAAGCGAGTAAATTTGATTGGACGTCGGCAGTAGAGTTGTTTTCTCCTCCGTGACCAACGACAAGCTGCGAAGAGAGAGAGAGAGAGAGAGAGAGCGAACATAAGGAGGAGCAGCGCGCTATTATCGATCGCAAGCTCGCACCCACATAATATATACGCACACGCGTAAGTGCACGATGTAAGCGAGTGAGGCACATCACGCATACACATCTGAAAAAGCTGAGAGCAGAAAAGCTGTTGGCTCGCCGAGCACTCGTGAATTTTCTCTTATTTTTTGTCGTAATCATAAAAAAAATGTTACTTGGTAATATTTCCACTCGCCCCAAGGCGCTTATTTGAACGGAGGTGTCGGGGGTACATATATATATATATATACACGCTGCACCGGGCAGGCGGCGAGTTGTTTCGTACTCGAGAGGTTTTATCGCTCGTAAAAACCCGCCGACCGGTTGGGGGGCGCCCGCCAAAAACCACGGCTGTATGCGCCTCGAGATCCCATGAGCTCGTTCTCTCGACCTATACACCCCAGGAGCTGCAGAGATAACGCACCTGGCCGACAGAGGATACCGCCAATAAACGCACTCCGTACCCTTGCCGTTGGCTGGCTCCACCCTCTCTCATAAATCCCCGGCAGATTTTACCGGTTCCGATCCTTGTCATGGGAGTCGGATTGGGATTGAAAAAATACTTTGCGGTATCAGCTCGTGGTAAATATACCAGCGCTCCCTCGTCAAAGGTGAAGTAAGAGGCGTGCGTTTAAAATTTTTTTCAAAACTTTCGGTTTATTCGTGGGGTATGATAATTACAATGTGTACAAATCGGTTACAAAAATATTTCAATCCTTTTGGGATTCTTTGACGCGTAAATGCCGATTATTTTTATGTTAAAAAATGTTTAATTACAACTGCAAATTTGCTTGTTTGCTTTTTGCTTCTGATTGCGGTGAAGCGATTCGTCTGTGCAAATGAACTTTACCGTTTGATCGGCCAAAGAGATGGCACGAGCATGCGTTGTACATTGTCATTCGCGATAACGCTTGGAAATTCATTCATTTATTGTCTATTATACCATATTGATGCTTTACATGGAAATCTTTTTAACATCTTTTTTGAAAACGCCATATAATTACATTAAAAACTAAGTGATCAATAAATATAAAATATATTAATTTTTCTACGTTAACTAGGCTACTTTTTTTGCTGCCGCATACAAACTATAGTTACAATAATTAAACGGACAAATTTTCTCGATACAGCAAAGTTTGGGTTTTTCTAGTAATTAAGTGTTTCAACCATGATTATTATTATTATTTTTTTTTTTTTCAAACTGTCCATGTTTACATCAGGCGTGTCATGCTACAAGTAACAACTAAAGTCTAAGTAAAACTAATATATCCTCGACGTGTATGTATTTTTACCCAGACGGAGCAATTACAAGAGAATCACGTTTTGTGTTAACTTTAAAAAATATATATCCCACTTGTACAAGGGATAACTTGATTGATATAAGGCACAGTCGGAACGATGGAAAAATTTATTACAGAAGAATAATTTTTTTTTTTTTTTAAATCCACCACATACGGTATGGTACTCTAAAGAGCCTTTTTCTACATGGCTTCGGATCATATTGTAATCGGTCAAAAGCCGACGAAGACAACGCCCTTTTCATCACTTGATGTCCGTGAACGCTATTGCTATTCTAAAAAAAATTTCACGGATATATTGGGCTTAAATGCAATAGATATACGGTTTCTTCATTAAATGCAAAATGTGTATTACTCATTTAAATGTTATTTTAACATTTTATTGTACCCCTACTAAGATAACATAAAATTTCTAAAAATTGTATATACATTTTTTTTTGTAAATTACATAAGAACCATTGAGTTTTGTAGAAGTAGTGGCATTTCAAAGTCTGTTAGTCTGTCAGTAAGCTCTGCCAAACTTTCTGCAGGTCTTACTTTATCATTAAATGAACCGACCATTAAAGTTTTAAGTTTTAACCAATATAGGTATCGATTACATTTTTACACTCTGCTGAGAACATGGGGCACTTGCGATCGTGCCTAACAACGAAGCTTATTTTAGTTTTTAGAAAAGTAATCAGATCAACAGTGACTAAAAATCCCACTTGCATCATAATACTTTTGGTTGCCCTACATGGACATCGTCTGTTTTGTTCACTAATTGAGAAACAAATGGTTTTAGCTCTTTACAAAAACAAAAATTCTTTCAATACTCATACAAAACCTTGCCCTTCATTTTAACTTACATAATTATGATTTTAATTATTGGTACGTAGCATTGTTAATAAAGAGAGATAATTAGGTTGAAATTTCAACACGACTTTATGTACATGAGTTGTTAAAATTCAAGAGATTGCACGACGCGTCATCAATGGTAATAAATAAAAATCAATCTTAAAGGTAATTAAAACATACAAGTCTTGAAATCTTAAGTACACTTGAGAAAATTTTGCAAGGAATATGTTCAATTGTAAGATGAAAAAACCTATTATTAATTCAGAATTAGTTTCAATCCAACTCGTCCAACCTAAAACATATGAGGTTATAGAATTCTTTTCGTGTCTAATCGAAGCCAGTCACATATTATAATATAGATGCGGAAAGTCTATACACACTTTCCATAATGGTGGTTATTATTCTGAAATAGTAAAATTAACAAAAAACCAGTGTACAGACTTAATCTCCACTGGAAAATTTACATACAATGATAAAGTATTTAATATCCAAACAACATTAGGAGTACAATTCATTCAAGGAACAACTTTAGGATCCATTAGTGAGGGATCATGTACATATGGGCCAGATACTACCATTCATGGAATAAGTTATGATCGACCAGTAAGATCAACCAAATTTAAAGTTACAGCAATCAAAGAAATAGCAAAATTAGATCTTGAAGAGAATAAATTAATTGCTAATGATGGAACTACATTTAATTATAAAGATTTCTCCTCATTTTCAGATTATTATGGGAACGTTTTTTGGGAATCGATCATAAAAAATAACCTATGTGGTACAAAAGATAACTTTCTCTCTATTTATGATGGTCCAGGTCAACTTATAACTGAAGCACATGATTCTGGAGAAGTATATAAATCTCTAATAGTAAAACATGAAGATCATGATTTTAGAGTTGGATTCATGAATAGATCGGATTTTATTTGTAATAATATGTTTAACTATACAGAACATCCCAAAATATATGTTATTTTTAAAACATATCCTCAAAGTGGATTGATACAGCCAGTTAATGAAAAGATTCCAGATCATGGATCTAAAATAAAGAAAATTAATCTAAATTTAATGTATTATACGAATTCTAAATTTGTTTAATTCCAAAAACATATTTATATCTGAACAAGTTGAAAATCTCTATGCAAAATTGAAATATGACAAATGCGAATCAGATAAAAAGATTCTTGAAAATTTAGTTATGCTAGCAAAAATAAATCCTCAAGAATTTGCATTAAGTTTAATGGGAAAATCAGGTTATACTTTAGTCAGGACAGGTAAAGTTTCTTATATTATTAAATGTAAAGATGTAGCTGTTAATTTTACTAGTGTTGAAAATAAATGCTATGATGAATTGCCTGTAACATATAAAGGAGAGCAATGGTTCATGAAGCCTCGCAGTCATATACCTACTGACACAGATTGGAACAGAAATTGTATGTAATCCTTTAATCATTTCAAAATTTAAGCTATGTAACAAATGGCGGTCTGTTAGTAAGGGACTGATGGGAGCTGACCAAATGTTTGGGATTGAAAACCCAATGATTGTGGACTGTATGATTTGATTTACCGGTTGCGAGGGAAAAGAGTGGGAGCCAATTGCTTGGGTTTATTGAAAGATTAACACTCGCACCTTTTCATATATAACAAAATAATAAAGTATATTAACAGCAGAAATTACAATACTTGATGGGAAAAAATTGAAAAACTGTGGTAAATAATAAAATTACGTTTTATGTGCGCTAGTTTAAGGGTATTGAACGAAGTTGAAGAACAGTTATTTTACTAATTTAATTAAACTGAAAATCATGTTGTTTGAGTCACGCGAGTAAATTACACAAGACATTTTCTCTTTCTATTTAAAATGATTTACTCGAGAAAATGTCTACTTGGTAGGTGTACACGCAGTGGCCACACTGTGGTTCACTGGACGAGCGATCGGTGCGGACTGACTAAATGCTCACAGGCGAGCAGTCGTGAGCAGCCAAAGTAACTTAAACGTGGAGCGCTATGATCGGTGGTCACGCAGGACCATCATTGGTTACAAAATATTAAAGTTAATTGCTAGCGCGCGAATATATAAATTCTATATAGTCAATGTTTTGTAATCTAGGTCATTTTACTCGTTTTTTTTTCTTATTTTCAGTATACTATTTCGTATCCGTACGATATTAAAAATTGAATTTCATTTTTTTTTTTCAAGTATATCATAATGTACAATAATGTTCATGATCATGCTTACAATAAATTGTATAATCCTAGTGATACAGAGATGCCTTTCGTCGACGGCGAGAGAGAAACATTAGACAAAAAAATAAATAAAAGAGACCACGGTCATTATAAAAGTAAAAATAGCATGTTGTTATTATCAAAATTACGAGTCACGGTGTGTGAGTGATTTCTTTGAAAAAACAAAGAATGAATGATGGAAAAGTACGAGAACAAGAAGAAATAAGGAGAAATAGAAGAAGAAGAACCTTTGGAGTTAGTTTAGAGATCAGTGACAGGGCCAGCAGTAGAAGCTGCCATGCTGTTAATGCTGTTATCGCAGGAACCCGCGCTGGAAGCGTGGAATGCCCGGTGACGTTCGAGCATAGGCTGTTTATCGTGCTGTTCAGCCTCGGCGCCATCATCCTCCTTGTCGTCGTCGTCGTCTTCGTCGTCTTCGTCACCGTCATCGTTGTCGTCGCCACTGCTGTTGGACCTGTCGTCGCTACTGCTGCTGTCGCTGATACTGTTGCCGGGCCTACCGAGCCTCGAACTCGATTTTGCCGGGCGATTTTTGCCTTTGGAACAGCTGCAGCCTTGACTTGACACCTTGCCGCGCAGAATACTCGTCGGCCGATCCATTCTACGGTTCAAATCACCGTTCGCGTTACCACACACACATATATATATCATTTGCCATTATTATACCTCACACACCATTTACAAGCTACTACCAACTCGACCAAGCGATTGACGTTTCATCAGCTTTTATTTCTAATACATCCAAAACCATGCAAAGCAGCACCAAAGTACGGTACATTGCTTACTCTGTACATTACCAACCAGACCAATCAAACAGACAAGTAGTTTTGTTTTTTTTGTTTCTCCCCCGTTCCTCGCGTTCCAAAATCTACGGGTACAAGTTTATTTGGCACATACTTACTTACTGCACATTTAAGCAAATAAATAACTTTCTGTTTGAAAAGTTGGCTCCTCGAGCAGGTGTCGTTTTTCCCAAAGTGAAATCAGTCAGCTGCAGCGGTGCTGGACATGAGAGAAAGCGTGAAGCGTGAAGCGTGTGTGAATGAGAGGAAAAAGTGCATGGGATCCACCCGATGCCACGGCAACAACAGTAACAACAACAACAACAACAGCAGCATAGTACAGCAGTAGCAAAAATGATGAAAAACAGAGGCAGCAACGGTGGCGAGAGAGCGAGAAAGCGAGCTTGTGAGAAATGAAATGACAGTGGTGAAATCAAAGCAAAAGGAAAGTAGAAAGAAATGTGGGGGGTGAAAAGTATACATATAGTAGGTGGAACGAATCGTATTGGATGTAAGAAAAAAAAAAAAAAAAAAATTAACGGGGTGAACTAACGACCTAAGGCCATCGAGCTGCCTCTAAATGTAGGCGGTGGTGTAGGTGGCACGTGAAGGTGCAGTGAGGACTCTGGAGGTGGCGAGGCTGTCCGGGACGGTTGTAGTCTCCTCGGCGGCCTCGGAGCCCCGGGACGAAGGCGTCGGAGACAGCGAAGGGTAGTAGTCCATGATGGTGGTGGTGGAGGTGAGTGGCTCGGGGGTACTCGCGCAAATCGACAAGTTGAAATCTACGACGGACCAACTCGGTACGCACTTGCTGACGGCAGTCGTCATTATTGTCGTCGTTGTCGTTGTTGTTGTTGTTGTTTTTGTTGTCGTTGTCGTCGTCAATGTTGTCGTAGTCGTAGTTTTCGTCGCGGTCAACGCTGCCGTCGCGAGCCCGGCCCTCGCGGACAGCGCCTCCTGCAGCTCGCGGCGCAAGGCCAGGTTCTCCTCCTCGAAAGCCGCGATTTCTCGGCATTCGCTGCTGCTGTAACAGCTGCTGCAACGACATCCCAAAGAGCAATGCTTAGCAATGACCCTCTGATGCACTAGCTACGTGTATTATGTATAGCTGCTGCGCTTGCACGTTTTTGGCTGGTTGGCTGTATTTGTATACATTTGATTACGGGTGTGATATGGGGTGGTGATGGGTGGGTCGGTGGGTAGGTGTGCAAAGGTATATGTAGCCCCAAGCACCTGCCTGGCTCAATTGGCAGGGACAAAACTCCCGCGTGCACAATACGTGTTTTTTTTTTTTTTNTTTATTTTTCTTTCTTTGGTTAAAGTCAACATTTTGTTTATACATAGGTACTGCAGATTTACAGTATACCTCAATTTCAACACTCGGTTTTTTACGGGCATTCGCAAGTAATAACCATTTTTTTTTTTTTTTTTTTTTTTTTTTTTTTTTTTTTTTTTTTTTTTTAATTTCAACATTTGTTCATGTGGCTAATCATTGCGATGACGATCGTCTCTCTCATTATTATTATTAATATATTATTTGAAATGATAAGACGAGAACAACAGTAATTGTGAGTGATAATGATTTGTAATAATAATGACTTTGATGATGGTACATCGCTATCGATCAATGCGCTTTTGGTAAAAATTTAATGGTAATAAAGTTGTATGATTGGTGTGTGTGTATACTCACTTTGTGGCGTGCCTCAGTGCGGTCACCTCCTTTTCCAACTTGATGATTCTCTCTTTGTCTTCCTCATTTTCCCTTCTCACTTGTTCCAACTGACTCTGAAACACAAGTAGAGCCAGTTTAGACCAATCCTCTCACTGGGAAGCTATCCATTAGCCTGATGATGATGCCGCCGCTGAACGCGACTGAAACTCGAAACCGAGCTAAGTGCCCTCATGCGAGCCTCAAATTTTACCCCTGAAACCTAATACCGTAGACACCCCTCTTCCCCTTTCTTCCCATCACTCGTGCCTTCCCGTAAGTTTTCCTCCTATGAATTTTCCAATACTTTGTGAGTCAAACAATGGGAACAAGAGTAAGTATGAGAAGAAAAAAAAGTTTCGAGAGGCCACTGCTGGCCCCGCACCTGGGAGCTCTCCAGCTTCTAATCAAACATCAGTTCAACATCCCGCCTCAGCATTCAATGCTCATGCAAATACGCTCGGTCCTTTTTTTGAACGTTACGTGAAAAAATATAACTTTACGTTTTTCTAGCCGTTGCTTTTCCACTTACTTTTAATTGATCCACTTGTGCAAATTTTTCAGACTGTTGATTCTCTATTAGAAGCTTCATTTTCGAAAACATTGCTTCTTCCTGGACTTTACTAGCTTCTCTTATTTCTTTGATTACATCTGTATCATGAAAGACAACAGACACAAGTTAAAATTAAAAATAGTAATACTTAACAAATGGCACAAGTGTTTTTAAAATATTTTGTATAGTTACCCGATAACATGCCCGGTTGGTAATCACACAAAACGTTTTGCTTAATTTGCAGTAACTCAGTCTTAATAGTCTCCAAATCTAACTTGGCTTGATGCATTTCCTTGAACAATTGACTGTTTGTTTCTTTCATTTTTGTCATCTATCAAAGTAAAATTAGAAAAAAAAAAACCACGTAAATAAGATACCCAAACAAACCAGCTGTCTAGTTTGAAACAAAAAAATAAAAATTCGTATTGTACCTGCTCGTAGAGTATAAACAACAATTTATTACTCTTGTCGATTGTAGTAATAGAACTGTTACTGGCTGCACTGTCACTGTCGTCGTTGTTTTTTGAATGTATGGGTAAATTCTCAGCAGGTCCTAAGCCGGGGTCAGAGTACCTCCTATGCTCTGAGCTAAGTTCTTGCCTGTTGTCCTTATTATCTACATTGGCATTGGGTGGTAGACTAGCATAATCTCCATTTTGATAAGCTATGGGAATGGACTGGTCCCAGCTATTCTCTTGAAGACTTGAGTACCCATTCCTTAAAGTATCATTGCTGCAGGGTGGTCCATTTTGCATGCGCATTAGGGACGATCGTGTCCTACCACGGTACAATCTATAATTTGGCTTGACTATTGGCTGATACAGGCGATACATTGGAGACATAGAAACTGGCTCCATGGCATAAGTGACTGGGACCGCGGAATAACCACACACACTTGGATCTGATACTGCTGCAAAGAGACGTTGCCCGTTGTTAGTTGCATGATGCTGGGTTTGCTGAGACATCTGTGGCTGCTGCCAAAACACCGGTGGTGCATATTCCATTGCAGGCACATGAGCTACATGTGGCACTTCATCTTCGCTAGCCTCATAACTGTCTCTATCTTTATCTCGGTTTCTATCATCACTGCAGCAATGGTTGTGGGCACCTGTACTTCTCTTGCTTTTTTTTTTAGTTTTCCTGAGCTGACCTGTACAGCCATAATCGATTGGAACTCTGAAATCCATTAGTGACAAGTTACAGTTACATACTGAATGTTCAATAACCTGATGAATTTTAACCCTAATTACTTAGAAATAAATAAAACATGCAAGTGCTACAATGACGTTTGTTAACAAGTATTGTTTCATAGTGTATGATATTTCATCCAACAATAAATTTAATTGAATTTGATGTCTATTAACTTACTTTTTATTCATAGCTGTAGAGCTTCAGGTGAACAATAGACTTACAGTTGGAAATTTTAAAAATATCCACACGCTTCTTAGATAAGTAATTATCTAGGTAGGTATTATTAGTACATGGAAAAACGATGACGGGCAACCACGCAATCAGTGGTGCAACTCGATGAACAAAAACTGAGTACAACAACAATAGAGTATTAGACCACAAATGCCAAACGTCGCCATCACAGTTGCTCAAAATTATCTTGGTTTCAAGTTTTTCTCTCGTTTATTCTTCCTGATGAGTGGCTGAATACTTCTATCCAGCGCCCACACTGTATTAACATCAAATGTTTTTTATTTCTCGCATTTTTTTCGTTACGTAATTACGTTAATTATTACAATCAAAAATACGTAGAATATTCGTCGATTCACACGTTTACGTAAACATAATCAACGAGTATCATAAAAAACACTACTGCACGTGAAAAATTAATTTGAAAGACATGTAATTACCACTAGTGTGGGTATTGTTTATTTAACTGTTAACTCTCGTGTCGTCCGTATCGACAAACGGCAAGGTTGCACACATCGTTGCACTATACATGTATTATGCATAAGTAGGTGTGTTCCGCAATCGCCGCCATCCAGTTACATGGTTGGGGGGGGGCTACTGCCGACGGGAGATTGCGGAATACACTCTGGGTTATACCATTCCATCGTCCCGTGTTACAGGGTAATGGGGTTGTACCATTCCGCCGTTCCTGTTTTTATTGGGTCATATGGGGTTATAACAATTTTAAATTTGCGGCAAATGGCACTTTCAGATTACAATTTTTCAATTTCTACTCATTGGTCCAAGTTGCGGCTGGTTTCTAATATAGATCACATGGCACTACTATAATAATCACATAACTCTTTACCAAAATATAATGACAAAAATATTTTGGGTTTCCACGAATTATGAAGTTCAATGTTATTCTTGTGCACTGTGTACTTTATGTCAATTTGAGTGCGTAGGCTTTACCTATAAGTATAGCTGGCGGTAATTGTAGAATACACCTTGCTACCCTGTGTTATATACATACCATTCCAACGTTCCTGTGTTATTGCATGACTGCGCTGCGGATTACACCCTATATTAAATTATACCTTACCTTAGGTATAGTACATTCATACATTGTATACATGGACAATTGCACATGTATGGCCGTATATATTGGATATATTATATAGTCATCATTGGCTTTTCTCCAGAATGACAGAAATCGAAACTGCAGTGCACAAGTACTTATTTCTTATTCGAGTTATGTGATATTAGTGGTCAGTGGTGCACAACACCATTTTTCGTTATGTCTAGATCTCGATTCTGCAATTACTTGTATTGCCCTCTCTTATAATGTATTGCCTAAACTTGGTTTAAATTCATACATTCCTGAGATTACGTGTTTAACGTGTGTACAACCCATCCATTTATCATAAGTCAGGGAATTTGCTCTTTATCAGAGAGATACAAGTAAATTCCTTAAGTTAAGAGGAGAAGATTACTCATTCGACTTGAATGAAATTTTGATAATCGAACGCACACACAATATTATACAAATGGGTAACAATTCAAGCTTGCTTCTTCGCGAGGAAGAAATAGCACAAATTCAAGAAGCTACTGGCTGTAAGTTTATCTTTTATTTTTGCCTGCTGTTCTCTTTTTCTTATCATTTCATCACTCTCAACTTATTTCACGTGGCACGTCATACATTGTTTATAATTGGTTTCATCAAACATTTTTTTTCTAGTTACTCACAATCAAATTGAGAGGCTCTATAGTCGGTTTACAAGCTTAGATCGCGGAGACTGTGGCACCCTTAGTAGAGAAGACTTTTTGAGAATTCCAGAGTTGGCTATAAACCCTTTGGGTGAAAGGATCGTTAATGCATTTTTTGAAGAGAGCAGTACTGACAGAGTTAATTTTCTCCAGTTCATGCAAGTTCTAGCGCACTTTAGGCCTATAAACAAGAACCGTCAGAACATACTCAATTCAAGAGAAGAAAAATTGCGATGTAAGATTTCTTATACCAAAGCAATTTCAGTTACATTTTAAATACTAAAATTTAATAATCACACTAATTAATTAAAATTTTTCTTCGATGCAGTTGCTTTTAAAATTTATGACTTAGATAACGATGATTTAATATCCAAAGATGAACTTCTAGCCATATTACACATGATGGTTGGTGCTAACATCAGGTAAAAAGCAATTTCTTATCTCGCAGATTCACATGCATTATTAAAATGATGTCATAATTTACCAATGTCTCTATGTGCTTTAGTGAAGAACAACTTACAAGTATTGCGGAACGAACCCTTTCTGAGGCTGATGAAGATGGAGACAACATGATCAATTTTGAAGAATTTTGCAAAGCTTTAGAAAGAACTGATGTAGAACAAAAAATGTCAATAAGATTCCTTAGTTAAATTTTATCTAGTTATTTCAATTTTTAAAGCTTAATATATTTTTATTAATTACTGCGGGTGGATAATTTTAATTTTTTAACGCTTTTATCGTAATAGTAAATGTTGGTTTTCGTCAGTGATCTTAAAGTATTTCAAACTGCTCACAAGCTTCTCTACAAAGCACGTGTCACGTGTGAGCTTGATTGTCTATTACCAGTAACTGTATACGTATGTATATTGTGATCGTTACCAAGGATAGTCAACGCGCAAATACGGTATATATTTAATATTTGTTGTGCATATTCTTTGGTAGCATACGTTCCTTTGGATAAACAAATATTAGACTAAATGTAGATAAAATACTCGACTACTCAAAATGGTTGTAGTTTAAAACTATTTAAAATAAAAGAAAATTACTCACTATGAAATATTAAGTCTTTTTTATTTTACGTATAACTTACATGCACCGCTGAATTTTTTTTTTTTTTTTTTCATTACAAAAGGTACATGTGTTGCGTTATTATGAACAAATCAAACCTTACAGCCCTCAGCGAATACACATCACTTTACATGTAAAATATAAAAATTCTTATATTGTACAACAATAATATATAATATGCGTATATCTATTGTGTTGATTTTCGATGCATTTATTAAGCTGTTGATGACACTGCAAGTTTTTTTAAGTGTTCCATAAATACTTGTAGACTTACATCATCTGTCAGTACTGGAGCTCCACTCTCCTAAAATTATATAAAAAGTTAGTTTCACGACAAAACAAAAGTGTTAATTGTCCAACTATTCATTTCAACTTTATTGTTAGACCATACACCAGTAAGATAATAAATATAGAAAATACACCGTTGCACCACCAGTTATTACATTTATATTGATGTTTATAAGAAATCAAAACGTTTGTGTTAATTTTAAATGACTTGTACGATAATGCGAGAGTATAGAGATTAGAGCACTTTTACTCCTATGTAAAGCAATTTAAAGAATACAGAAGCAATAAATCAAAAATAAAATTTTTGTAAAAAACCAACCCCGTTGGACATCGGCATTCCCTGGTTCACAGGATCAAGTAAACACAAAATGATTCATGTAATTTTTGTAAGATAAATAATGGTGATTGAATATAATCTTCAGTAAACATTCACGAATGTTTCAACATTTAGAATGATTGAGTGCAATAAACGTAAAAAAAAGTCTTACCGCTCCATAAGCATACATGTTGTTGTGTGTCTGACTAGGGTTGACTTTGCTAAGAAGGAATCTAGCTTGAGAACCACCTTGTTCAGTATCAATGTATCTAGGAGCTGGGAATCTTCCCACTAATATCTCATTAGCATCAGCTACAGGAGCTTCCAATAGTTGACTGAAATTTTCGTATTCTGGACGATCTTGGTATTTCAGTTGACGCCATTGAGCTATTGTCTGGAAATTATTTTAGTGTTTAAAAAATTTCAACAAGATCGTCGTCATTGGAATATTGTTAATCAATTACCTCTCCATGGAATATAAGAATTTGGAAAAAGGTGTCCATTAACAGAATTCTGTCAGGCTGTATAGATGATGTATCCAGTAAAACAGCCTCTGGTGGACCACTAAATCCGTAACTGTACAATACGGGTTGAACCATGATTAACGAATTCGTTAAATCCTCTCGCATCAACATGTTTCTATAAAAAGTTGTTTCATCTGGCGAATTATTAAAAACCTGAAGGAACTGCGATCTACGCAGATGGTACATAAATTGAGGATAGAGTGAAAAATTGTCTGCTAGTCTGAAACTATTTGGATCGTCCTTTTCATATTGACCGAATTTCTGGCACTGGAAAAAATTAATTGTCAATAAAATAATATGATTTTAAAATTCATAATTTTTTTTTTTTTTTTTTTTTTTTATGAATCAAATCATGCTGCACGTTATGATTATTGGTAATTACATACAAGTCGTATCAGCATTCTATCGACCCAGCGTAGAACATCAGGACCTTCTTCCGTTTCGGCTCTAAATACTGCAAGTCGGGACATTAGAACTGCTGCTGCCTCTTGATCGAATCCAGCAGCAATGTGATGTAAAGAGGATGAAGCATCCGCCCAACTGTAAATAATGAAGATTCATGAAAACTTAGAATTTTATTTCATGATTATGTGTGCAGGATTCAAGTATTAATTTCATAGTGATTTGTACTATGTTTGAAAATATTCATACTTTCTTGCGACAGTTGTAACTCGAATTCTTCGTTGACCACTACTATGTTGATATTGAGTGATAAACTGTATGCAACCGCGGCCACCTTGAGGAATGGGAGCCGCTTGCTGATTAACAACTTCAAAGAACAATGCAGTTGTCGTGGAAGGTGTGAGAGAACAAAATTTCCATTGACAAGTGCCACTCAAACCAATTTCTTGTTCTCCAACACTAGGTCCTTTAACATTTAATGACACGCAGGGGCCTATGGCACCTGATACTTTCAATTCACGAGAAGTCTTAACTTCTAAAGTTGCGTTAAAAGCCATTTTCAAATCCTCCTTGGGATCTTTGGCAAATACACGTTGGAATGTTTGCTTGAAAAGCGACGAATTGAAGGAATCTCCCATTATCATGTGACCACCAGTTGAATTGCAGCATTGTCTCATCTCTAACAATCCAGTTTGATCAAGAGCACAAGAATAAATATCTATAATGTGCCCATTGGCAGCTGCCCTAGTTGCCAAGCTGTCGTAGTGTTTTGTTGCTTTTTTCATGTGTTTAGCATTATCTTTCTGAATATCGTGGTGAGATCTAATGGGCTGCCTAAGATCATCGGTGACAACTTGTCCAGGACCTTGAGAACATGGACCTCCCACAAACAGCATTATCCTAGTCATACCAAATGAGAAATAAAGAATTGAAAGAAATTAAAACCGTAAAAAAAAACATATTCATACCTGGCTCCGGTATTGGCATAGCTGGCTTCCAGCAAACCTGTGGCGACTGAAAGAGCAACCCCCGTCGATCTAAGCGAGCGCTTTCCAGATCCAACAGGCCATGGATCCCTCTGTAACTCTCCCAACAGATCCGTCAAGCTCATGTCACACTTGTGCACAGGCTGTAGAAATTTGTTGGCTGGTGGCAAAAGTTGTCCAGTTGGTCCTCTCTGATTGGGATTCTGTCCAGGAACCGGTCTTCCTATTCCTAGCATATCTTGCACTTGTTTGGATTGTAGATCTTTCGTACCTCGAAACACGTAACTCTTGCTGCATCCTTCACAGCCCAATTCGTGAACTTGTACCATTTTACCAAATGTTATAAGACCAATCAAAGCATTGGGTGGCAATAGAGATAACGACATTTGCAACGAATCCTTTAATGCCGTCAACTCCTCCTCGTCCAAGCACGTATCAACAACAAGTAAGAATATTGGTGGTAAACTTTGTGCCCTCTAAAAAATAAATACAAATAGTAAGATAATTTTTGGTCAAATGTATCCGATTGCTATATCTGATAGCTTACCATAATAGTATACTCGATGGTTGAAAACATTGGTATCAATTCAGCTGGTTGATGTTGCTCTGAGATGGCACTGTATTGTGCTGGAAACTAGGAAAAAGAGAGAAGAAAAAAAAAACCATAAACAAAAGAGTAAGTACTCAAGCATATAACGAGACAATGTAATATTATAGGCTCAACGTCTGGCCCGAGAAAAGACTCACCGGATTTCTTTGGAAGCAGAAATTGCAGACCCAGAGCTTTGCTCGATAGTCCACTTGACAGAGGGGATTCAAGATGGCCCGACAAGTGGACCTAGTACAGAGCACTGGGTCATAGTGAATCGGCGGAAGGTCAGGGCGCTCCTTGATCGGTTGATAGAGCGTACCCAGGGGCACGACTAATCTGGTGGCATCGACGCGAGACGACGGCCAGACGTTCCAGGTGAAGCGCACCCCATCCCTGTCCTCGTTTTGTTGAATAAATTCCTCGTAGGTAGTCATTATGCTATTGTAGAAACGACGTATGTAATAAATATCTCCAAATGAAAACACTGCACATGCATTATTGGGGGGGAAAAAGTACCCTGGGGATTATAAGAGAAGTGAGGAGGTTAAGAACGGGAGCGATCTGGATGCACCGACATACCTGCTGTTGCCTTGTCGTTGTCAGATTCGCTCGGAGGAAGGGCGATTCTGCTACGAGATCGGCTGGACGAAACGAAGCATCCGAACGCGGTAAAGCAGCTTGAAGCACTTTTTTCTAATCACAAGGGAAACATATTTTAGCTACGCCGTCACTTGGTGGTCCATGGCCACGTCACGTCACTCTGCGTATGCTATGCTTATGTCGCGGCGAAGGGAGAGGGGGTACCCGAGTCGTAAATTATACATGTATATGTTGTGTATATGACGAATTAAATTGACGAAAAAGTCTATTTGATTTTAAATGTGTAACATGCTCACTGATACACACACTTATATCTCTCAGAAATTTTTTAAATAATACTATACAAACATTTACGTTTGAAAATCACATTTTTCCGATATACCTGTAGCTACTACTTTTTTTTACGAAAAATCGGTTAGCTCTGTTTTGGATTATCCTTTAGCTTTTTTTCGCCAATAAGTGAAAATCATGAAAAATATAAATTTAGCGGTGTTCTTGTATTTTATTTATATTAAAAGTATTACTTTATAAAATTGATAAACTGTATATATTCATGTTAAGTAATAATAGCTAAATTATTTATATTTTTCGTATTAATGATAAAAAAATAATCATCAATCATCATCATCATCGATCAATATTATTTACGTAAAAGATTCGCGTAATGTATAGATACAGGTGTGGGAGATCATGTATGTACATACGTGTATTAGGCGCTTTGATAATATCTTTCTTTTAACTATTACGATAGCGATTCTTAAAGAAGGAAATAAAATCAAACTGATGTACTTATTGAAGGGAAAAAAAGTTTGTACATAGAGGTGCTTAAGTGGGAAATCGGTAAAAGTTGGTAAAAAGTGATCCCAAATTGACATAAAAACGACTACCTAGTCGGTAAAATAACGTCTGAAAAATGAAATATTTATAGTGTATCGTTTGTTCATACGTAGCTCGAAAAAAAGGATCAAGAGTGCGAATTACACGATCCACGAGAGAAGGGCCTCTTTTGAAATGTTTATACACGTGGATAGAGAGTACGACAAGCCCCTCCCAATCGGGATGTTAATAGAATTGTCAAAATTTCGTGTATATATGTATATACGTAAATAGCTGATTAGTCCATGATGAGTCTTTCGTACCAACCGCTGATAAAAGTCGTAGCGATGTTCTTTATCAGTAAGAAGTTACGTGCACGTATATATCCAGAGTCACTGGCAAGCTGTTTCCCCGAAGATCCAGCGATCGGTGGCTCGTCCGAGGTTCTGCTCCACTCGACCTGATTCCCGGTGTGTCGTGCTCGCAAGCCCTTCGAAAGCTTTCGGGCAGTCCCTTGCTTTTCCTTCCTCGGTGGCATCCGCAACGACCACCATCGCAACAACAATAATCAGATTCGCCTCCTGCTTGACTCTCTGATCTGATCTCTCTCAATAAAGTGTACACGTACATCCACCGACTTGTCAAGAAGCTGCTCCACTACCAATTGAGAAATGGCGCGGGTTCTCGTTGGAGTTAAGCGTGTCATCGACTACGCCGTCAAGGTAAGCTCATGCTCTTGGCTAAAAAAAAAGTAAGTACTCGGACAAAACTTTGTTGGACAGATACGCGTAAAGCCAGACAAATCGGGAGTCGTGACGGATGGCGTCAAGCACTCGATGAACCCGTTCGACGAGATCGCCATCGAGGAGGCGGTGCGCATGAAGGAGAAAAAACTAGCGAGCGAGGTCATAGCCGTGAGCTGTGGCCCGGCCCAGGCGCAGGAGACCATCCGAACGGCCCTTGCCATGGGAGCCGACAGGGGCATCCACGTCGAGATCCCGGGCCCCGAGTACGAGCAACTCCAGCCGCTCCACGTCTCCAAGATCTTGGCCAAGTTGGCCCAGGACGAGAAGGCCGACCTGGTGCTCGTTGGTAAGCAGGCGATAGACGACGACTGCAACCAAACTGCCCAGATGACGGGTGGTCTCTTGGGCTGGCCGACCGCGACGTTCTGCAGCAAGGTAGACAATTACTAAGCGGCTCGATCGTGATGTTGACGATTGGTTCTTTTTATTTTTATTCCCTTGCTTTGCCCGTACAGATAGATCACGGCCAAGGGGAGTTGACGGTGACTCGGGAGATCGATGGCGGCTTGGAGATGATCAAAGTGAAAACCCCGGCCGTGATGAGCGCCGATTTGCGCTTGAACGAGCCCCGATACGCGACTCTGCCCAACATCATGAAAGCCAAGAAGAAGCCCCTGAAGAAAGTTTCTCCCAAGGATTTGGGTGTCGACGTTTCGCCGAGAGTTAAGATTATTTCTGTCGAGGATCCTCCGGTGCGACAGGCCGGCTCGATACTCCCGGATGTCGATACTCTGGTTGCCAAGTTGAAAGAAGCGGGTCACGTTTGATATTGTTTGTTTGTAGATACTCTGTTGAAAAATCGCGTCTGAGGAATCGAACGTCAATTTTTTTGACGTTTTTTTGTTCCTCATACTCGGTATATCTATATTTTTATACACGGGTGTGATTATTTTGTACAATACGTACGAAAATTGCCAAGTTTTTGATAATACTTGTTAAATGTTTTTCAATAAATATATACTCTCTATTGTACGTTTCAAGCTTTTATTTTTCTTTCTTTGGTTAAAGTCAACATTTTGTTTATACATAGGTACTGCAGATTTACAGTATACCTCAATTTCAACACTCGGTTTTTTACGGGCATTCGCAAGTAATAACCATTTTTTTTTTTTTTTTTTTTTTTTTTTTTTATCATAAAAAGCATGCTTGTAACATCTTTAAAAATTTACGTATATAATATGTATATAAAAAATATTTCATACTCTATGTACAACTAACAGGCTATTTCAATAGATTAAAGAGATACATGCGCGTCTCTATGTATTTTATGTTAGTAGGTTCGTAGTAAACCTATTTTTTTTTTATATTGAACAATTCAGTAGGACATTCCTTACGTATAACCGATATGGTACTAGACAGGCACTGTTTGAAAGATTAAATTACAATGAGAAAAGTAGGGAGGGAAAAAGAATGCATCAAGTCAAGATTTTCCAGTCGAATCTCTTGTTGCTGCTGTGCGTGATCGGTGGAAAAGGCGGGGGAAGGAGGACCCAGCCATTGGGCCCTTCCTTAACCATGAGACACGCTAAATATGGCACTTGCTGCACTAAACGCGTGACTTCGGGTATCTGCGGTACCTGGCCACCGATCAATTGCCTCGTGCAAGCAGCCAGAGAAATCGCGTGGGCCACTATCAGGATGTTGCCTTTGGTATTCTCAATGATACTCTTTATAAGGGCGTAACTCCTTGCGTAATACTGAGCGGCGCTCTCTCGCAAGGGAAGCTCGTCAGCTTTGACGATTGGCTTGTAACTGCTGTCCACGTTGAACCCAGCCTTGGACAACTCCTCGGAAGTCATCCACGTCGGCAGGCCATTCTGGTACCAAGCCACCCACTCCATCAGCCCGGGCTCGACTTTGATGGACAAGTCAGACTCAAAGCCTTTCAGTATTTGAGACAGGGTCTGTATGCACCTCAACGACGGCGACGCGAAAGCCACGTCTATGCGCACATTGGACTCCTTCATTGCTTCCCCGATGAGACTGGCTTGTAATTCACCCAGTGCCGTCAGTGGACAGTCGTCCTGAAAGTCTTTAATGTTCCTCGGGGGAATTTTGATCGGCATGTTTAGGTCTCGGCGAACGTAGCAGCCATCAGCTTCGAAGCAATACGGGATCCACGTGCCAAAGGTGAAATCCACTCTTTCCCCGTGACGGCAGATTAAAATTTCACGAGATCCCGTCGCTGCTGCGACTTCTCCTTCCAGCTGTCAAATTAAAAGATAAAGGAAAAAAAAGGCATGAGCTATATTTGGTCAATTGGCGTGGCATATCGAAAACATATGTAAATAATTACTGGCTCACTGTCTTCGGCTACTCCGTCTGGCGCGTCGATGGAATCGTCAAAAAGTATCACAGGCGGTTTCCTCGCTTTAGGAATAATATTGTCTCTACATTCTACTTTATTGTCTAATATTTGTACCGTCGAGTGCAGCGTCCAAGCGTCCGATTCTGCGGTGCGTTTGGTGTGGTTCAAAGGAAAGTAACCGGTCAGCCCGGTCAGCCAGGAAACCCCCTCGACCCAGCCGTCAATTGTACTGGCGCAGGCCTCCTCGGGCACGTAAATGTAATCCCCGGGTCTTAATTCCAGCTCGTCGTGATTCCGGGGAACGTGGGCGTGCATGACCTTGTGTACATGCAAATCGCACGATCTTGGATCCTTCGAGTACAACCTGAGCTCCCAGCCGACGACTCCGGTCGTCGTTAATTTCTCGACCATCGTGCTGAGAGGCTCGAACAACGAGTCGGAGAATTGATAGGCCAGCGTCAGGTGCAGCGACTTTGTGTTCGGCTCGGCTGTGATTCCTACGTCCAGTAGTTTGCCGACGTACTGCGCCGCCAAGGATTTGAGCCACTTGGCTTGTTCATCCTTCACGAACAAGCCCATGAAATTTGGGGACACGTAGGTTTCCAACTCGATGGCATCAGGACAGTCATCCTTGGCAGTCAGGGTTTCCAAAATGTCAGCTGCTTGCTTTGACAGTTCATCCGTGACCTGTGATGTGAGTATGGGTACTTAGATGACAGCAACCGAATGTGATTGTAAAAATATACACCAACAGGTGTAAATAATGTATAGGTACCTTGAACGGTGGCACAAGCGTTATGTGGGGCATGAAATTGTGGGCCCCGTTCCACTCCAGCTCTCTGCTCTTGAACCAGAATTTTTGTAGCTGCTCGTGCAGTTGTCCGGTCGGGCACAAGTAAAGAACATACTCCCTGGGTTCTTTTTCGTCGAGAGTTGGGTCTGTTACGTGCGCCAAGAGCCAGTCTGAGGCTAATTGAAGACTCCGATGGCCCGTCGCGGCCAGTGCTTTTGTTCTGCGAGGAAGAGACAACATTTATCATGGAGCGAATGTTGCATGCACCAACTGTGATACCTACAGGTTTTTTGGATAAGACAAACTTACGCTCTGTGCTCGGGAAAGCCCAATTGCAAGAGAATTTGCAGTGGCGTCAAATGTTCCTTAGCAATATCCGTTGGGGCGAAATTCGAAAATTTGCGTGGAGGTAAGGTTGCCATAACGAAACATTACTACAATGAGCTATATATGCTGACGTTTTGGGTTTAAAACACAAATTTCACGTGTACAAGCACGGAATTTTTTTTTTTTTTTTTTTTACCAACCAGTGCAGTTTGATCACTTTTTTACAACTTTTTTTACTAGATTAATCGTAAACTATTGCGACACACACGTTTTTAACATTGAGCATCTGCATCGCATACGCCATAAACCTAACTGTATATGGGAATATACATGCGTATGGTACATGGTATCTACATGAATAAATCTACGAAAGACCGTTGGTTGCTGTGTCATTTGAAAAAAAAAATTTATTAGTTTTGTGTTGTTGTTTTACCCGTCTTTTGTGTTATTTTACTCGAAACATCGTGAAAAAACTCTTTAAAAACCGATGAGATGATATACTCTTTTTTAACACTTTCTCGATGTTGATGAAATTGAGACTATTTTCTGCTGTGGGTTTATCTAAAAGTAAATGGTAAAAAATAAATACACCAACATAAAGAGATAACGTTTTACACGACATCAAGTAAAAATTTGTAAAAATTGAAAGCACAAAAAATATGTATGTACGCTATAAAAACTTACATATATACGAGACTCTCAGAGCTGGTAAACAGTTGATAAAGAATGTTGAAGCACATGCACTTATGATACAGACGGATTATTAATTAAATTTGTTCTTACTCGTTATGTAAGTTCGTAATTCTATAAAGAAGCTTAAAAATTTAAACGTATTAAGGGAATAATTAAGAGATCCGTAAAATCTTAATTACTCGTGGCTGACAACGAGACGATTTTTTCATTTGACGGGTTCGGGAAATCAACGGGTAATGAAACACCGAAATTTTTTATTTAAAAACTTTTGATCATTTGCTAAAATTCATGATGCAGTAAATTTTGCAACTGAATAAACTTGGTAAAAAAAAAAAAAAAAAAAAAAAAAAAAAAAAAAAATCGTTTTGAAAAAATTACGAGACAAAATCACGAAATAACAGTATGAAAGCTACCAATACCAATTGTATAGTTTTCCGTAGAATTTCTCATATGTACTAGCAGATGCACAAGTTCAGAAACACAGTGGTATGCGGCAGCAGCACCATCGCCCTCGTATATACCTACCCAACCCAAACGTAAACAAAGTTTGTGTTTTGTGCATCAGCTCTGCAAGGTAAACAAAGCGGGGTCACCAAGGTCGTGGATTGTTGTCGAGACTCGATTTTTTACATGCGGAACTACACAGTTGTTCTACACCATAGGTATGCATCATATTCCAGTTTCCGATACGCGGTTGCTTGTACTGCAAGTGCCAAATGCAGCAATACATCAGCATATAACCGTTACTCACACATGTATGTACGTAAATTTTTAATTATTTTTAATAATCCCTGCTGTTGAAGTCATATGCACCGTTCAGTCTAACTTCAAAGGTGTTTGTGTGATAACAGCACGTATTTTTATGATGATGAATTAAGTTTTTTTTCCCAAGAATCCCTTTTTTTCCAAATGTTGATGTTAGGTTTTAAAAAATCGATGATTAAACGAGCGCTTTTCTAGTGAAATTTAAATCACTCGGTCAGAAACTAGTCTCACGTGATATTACTTAATTATACCGTTCAGGTGTAGGTATGTAATGACGATCGTATTACTTTTTTATTTAGTTTTCATCTCATAGTCAAATTTGCTACTTTTATCAAGTCAGTCAATGTATCCATTTACGCACACATGCATGGGACAATGTATACCTTATAAATTATATACTTGTGATAAATTTTTGCCGATTTATTCTGACTGTTGGTACTTTAGGACGCAAAAACCCGCGACATGAATGACCAAATACCGATGCACAGTGCCTTGGAACCACTCAAATGGCTAGTAGGAACGTGGCGCACGGAAAAACCTGCATCCGGGCACTTCCCGACGATCGAACCGTTCGAGTATTGCGAGGAAATCAATTTTTCATCGATCGGCCAACCGATGCTCAATTATACCGCTCAAAGCTGGCACCCCGTCAAGAAATGCCCTATGCACCGAGAAGTCGGTTTCCTCAAAATTACTCCAAAGACGAACGACGTGTCGCTCCTTTTGACTCACAATTTTGGATTGTGCACCGTCGAGGAGGGATGCGTTACCGATCACGAAATAGTACTCAAAAGTACCAGTATTTCAAGGAAAACCGGCCCGTACAAAGCACCAGCTGTTTTAGAGGTGGTTGTCATTTTCTGCCAATTTACTACATACTCGTTTATTACATTTATAGATCTGTATCAACACACATTTTTTTTTTTTTTTTTGAATGTAGATTAAACGTGAATTCAAATTGGTGGGAGATGCGCTTCATCACACTCTTCACATGGCTACGGAGAAAACGACAGAGCTAACTCCCCATTTGGAAGCAGTTTACAAGAAGCAGTAAAATTAACTCTCCGAAGGAAATTTTTTCGTTAATTCATGTTACGATAAAGATAAAAGTCATACAAGTGTATATATTATCTACCCTGTATGCATAAGACTTTGATAGATTTTTTTAATTACTTACAATAAAGCATAATTAAATTTTTAAAAGCATGTTAATTGCGACCTTCATCCTTTCAGTGGTCAATATGGCGCTTATACAATATAAAGCAAAAAGGAACATTTCATCGACTCCAAATTTTCATGGTTGGTAGTGAAATTAGTTTTATTTGCTTCCGCAAACTTACTCAAAGAATCAACTAAAAAAAATCATCAAGCAATGCTGTATATACACCGAATGTGAACCCAATCGCACGTAAACATTTATGGTACAAAAATACATATACATATATGTACGTCACTCGAACGACACTCTTATATTTTATTATGACAGTTTGTTCAATAATAGTAATAGATGTTATGTATATTACATGCGGTACAGAAACACTCACTTTTCTGGTAAAAATGTAAAAGGCACTCCTCTCGGAGAGGCGAGTCGTGCATAAAATAAGGACGAAAATAACGCGAAGGTTCGATACTTTCACTATTTAATTTAGCCCTTACACGTATGTACTTCAACTAGATAGATATATGTGTATACATTTGTCGTTGGATAAGTACAGTTGAACAACCATCCAAAGAACGAGGAGGTCTCGAAGAGGTAAGTAATATGTCTCGCAAGGAAATGTTTCATTTGTTTCCTTACGTAACGCGTGCAACATATACCTGGAGGTGTCCTCGATCAGTTGTGAATTCCAGTAAAAACTACACGGGGTGGCCAAACGAGAGAGAGAGAGAGAGAGAGTAGGTATTTATCGAATCGGGTGGCAGGTGCGCGACAGAAGGGCTCGTAAGCGGCTTGTTGTCGCGCCAGTCGCTAGGAGATGAACCACCAGGGTAGGGATGGGAAAAACGTTGGCTGGGTATAACGAGCGTCCAAGTCGTTACGACGATGTCGCATGCGACGGCAGTCGCCTCCGATGTTCTCCGTCCCTCGATCTCGCCTCTCGCGCTTTTCCCCCCCGACAATCAGCGCGAGCCTGTCAACGTCTCTTCTCTCGGCTCCTCGCTATTATGCTCGGCCACGACGCCAGATCTGGCGAGCTCGATAAACACCGGACTGCGTAGGATCGCCGCGGATTGACGCGCATTATGCAAACCTTCGACGATGCTCGGCAAAATTTATACTACAAAACAATGCTGGACCTGCAGGAAAAGTTACGAAAAAGGTGGGCCGTTTTTTTTCTTCCTTTTCTTCTTTCCTTGGCTTTAATTGTTAATTTAAAAAAAAAAAAAAAAAAAAATTTATTTTTCCATAGTTGAGAAAATACACAAGATGTTGAGGGATCGATNAAAAAAAAAAAAAAAAAAAAACAACCATTGCAGCGAGGAGGAAAGAATTAGACTGGAGGAGAGGTTCAACTTTTTAGTCCAGGACTCCCGTGTCAGGTACGCGCAACAAATTCACTTTTCCTTTTTGGCATGCATTTATACCTAATAGAATCCAGAAAAGGGGGGAAAGGGGATGTATATATCCATATGGATTTTTATTTCGTTTGCACGTAAAATATATATATGTATGTATATTCGCAACTCATCGGGGTGGATTTCGCGCTCCATCGATCGCGCGGTCGGACACGAAAGTAAAAGCAAGATTTTCGTGACTCCAAATGACAAATTAACAAGAGTCTCGTATACCTATATGCGATATGAAATAATACCTTGGTGCTTTTAAATTTCAAGGTCAAAGAGTATATTGTAATAATTATAGTGATAATGTACAACTGCGAGACTTTTTTTTTTTTTTTTTTCTTTCAAATTGTAAAACATCATACACATATGCATGCTTTCAGGCATCAGAGCTGCATCAACAGATTGCGAATCTGCTACGTGGAGTTCCTCGAGGAGCAAAAAGTCAGGGACGAGCGGAACCACAAACTGCTCGGGAGCCTCGAGAAGGTCGACAGCAGTTTGGCCGTGATGAGCGCCAAAACCGAGCGCCTCAACGTACTGCGAGTGGGTTAAATGGTTCAGCACACACCGTGATACATGCATTCATAAGTACACACGACGTAACGCAACGGCTCTCGCGGTTTCAGAAGCACTACGAGGCCTACCTGATGCGCGTCTACGGGAGGGAGGGTGCCGGACCGAGGACCAGCAGGCCCTTCAAGATCGAGAGCCACGGGAGAAGATCGGCCTACGATTTACCCTTTGCGCTGATACCGAGCAAGAGCACCGAAGAGCAGGATGATGCCGACGTGCAAAGGTTTTACCGGCTCCCCAGTTCCCCGCCAGCCTCGCAGCCCCGAGCACTGGTACCCAGCACTCGCGGTACTTGGAAGGAGCCCTCCTACCCCCCGCCGAAACCATACGGCGCTCCAGCTTGGGAGAACCCGTCCCTCCCCGATGACAGCGAGAGCGAGCAACCACGGAAGCAGGAGGAGAAGACCACCGACGAGGCTGGGAACTCACAACCCACGAGCGAGCTGCCCGACCTGGACAGCTACATCGGCGCGATCAGGCGACTGCACGCGGACAACGAGGGCTACGTGGATCGGGAGCCGAGAGCAACCAACAGCGGGAGGAGCGACGCCGATCTTTTGAACGAGCTGATGAGCCCTGGGAAGGGCTACGATGACTACGACGAGCAGGAGCGGCTCGGGGTGGACGGGATCGAGGACGACTACGACGAGTCGGTGGACATCGACTCGTGGATGCCCGACGACCGAGACGACCGGGAGGAGCAACAGGCCCAGGAAACGCAGTTGCGCGACAGTATCCGCAACAGGCTAAGAACGAAGCTCGAGTCCATAGAGGAGGTCGAGCCGACCGAGGACGAGCAACAGAGCGACCACGAGCCCGCTTCGAGCCATCGGGCCGACGCTCAGCAACGGGACGCCAATCAACCACACCAACGAGTAGGCGATCACGACGAAAATACAGATAAACCGAACGAGGAGCAACGGGAGCCGGACGAGTCCGGTCGAGTGGATCGACACGCCAGTGATGACCAGATTGAGGAACATTTGGAAGCACCAGAACAGTGGCAACAACCAGAGACCGAGGAGGACGTGGTCCAGCGGCATAGTGGGAACGAGTCCGATCAAGGACAACAGTACGAAAACTTGGAGCAACAGGTACAGAAAGCCGAGGACGATTCGGTCGAGCAGAACCACGAAGTTGATCGAGCGCCAGTTGAAGAGCACCGTGACGATTCGGACCAGCAGCAGTCGGTGGAGCAGCGCGCGGCCACGGATGAACAGTACCTCGAGGAGGAGTCGGCCACCACCTCGAGCGGAGATCAACCGCCGAGCGAAAGTTTGGGGGATGGACACCAACGTGGGGGGGAACAACGGTCGCGGGAAGGGGAGGACAATGAACGGCAGCCCGCCTCGAGCGAGGCGTCGGACCGACAGCAACAAGAAGAGGAGGGTGAGGGACAAAAGCAAGAGGAAGAGAAGCAACGGGAGAAACAAGCGGCAAAGCCACAGCAACAAAAGCCACAACAAAAGTTGGCAGTTGGTGGGTCGAAAGCGAGCCCGCGGCTGAAGGCTCGACAGGTGGTCGGGAGCGCGGTCGCCCAGCTGAAGAAGAAGAAGCTGCAGGAGGACAGCAGCTCGCGCGAGCAACGGCTCGCCGCTAACAAGGCCGTGAAGAAGAAGGTCGTGAGGAAGGACCCGATCAAGTCCATCCTCGACTCGGAGTCTAGCGAGAGCTTGATCGAGCGCAAGCTCTCCAACAGCGAGAGCGACTTTGATTTCAATTGATCGGGGCCCCTATATGTTTCGCCACCGCGACGGCCTGTTTTTTCAACATACACCCCGAAATCCTATGGGACATCTATTAACAACACAACAATTGTACAATAGGTAATAACCATACCATCCCGAGCAATGTAACTACATACGTTAAGTGTAGATGATATACTATATATATATATAACTTGTTCAAATTTTAGAGATGCGTTATACTTACGGAAAATTACTTATATTGTGAAAGGAAAAAAAAAAAAAAAAAAAAAAAAGAATTATTGCCTGCAACACTTGCACATATATGTATCATACTACCAATCGGAACTTGTGAGATTATCATTATACGTAAATAAAAAGAATATGCCTAGGCGAAAGGCGCAAATAAGTTTGATTTCTGCGTTTGAAAAAAAAGTAACACAAGTACACACACGAGCCAATACCTACTTACGATAATCCGGTAGCGCAGCTCTCTCTCCCAAGGTGTGTTGCCCATTATCACACAAGCTACTCTGCCGTAAGTATATATACCTACTGCAGCTGATTTTCTTATTAGCAGTTGGCAAACGGCGCGCAGCATTAAAAATGTACGATCATGACACCTTGTACGTGGGGGGTATTATATATACATATATCCAGAGATCCGCGACTCCACCGCACATGTGCATATATATAAATGCTGATACCGCAGTGATAAGTGCACGCCGTGTAGTGTGAAATCGTTATATTCAGTTGGGTCGCGTTCGCGCGTAAGTGTATTTGCCGGAGGGGCAGAAAGAGAGAGAGAGAGAGAGAGAGAAACGCCGCAAGGCTAACATCATATTCAGCTTGCGGCCACAATATATTTATATTTTATGTACACATATACACGTATAAATACGTATATGTGTATACTCATTAACGGGACTGTGGGTTTTATAGTACAAGCGATAATAAAATTGCCCGCATATGTACACTTGATGTATATGTAAAAGTGTGTGTGTCCACCCCGCGAGGCGAGTATAGTATATTTTATCCATAGCAGTTAGTAGTCCAGCAGCTGATCGAGCCCATGAGTTGTCGCTCCCACGCGCAGTGTTTCTTGGATATATATGTATATATATATATACATCGTATAGCTCTGTTCTTTATCTCTACTCTCGGACTCGACGCGCACGTTGCAACTCTCTCGATTCGCGTATGTAAAGCCGTGCGTTTATATATTTATCCATCTTACATACATCGGCAAAAGTATTATATAGGTAGGTATCTCCAGCAGCTGCGGCTACAGGCGCGCGTCTTTCCTCTCGGTATTTTCGCACTTTAGCTCACAAGTACGCGCAAGGTGGCCAAGCCGAGAGGACACTGACGTTTCTCCGCTCTCTCCCGGAATAATTAATTAATTACATCCTTATACCTACGCTCACGCCAAATATCGCGCTGTTACTCATACACCCTTTAATCGAGAGTAGTTGTAAGTATATATGTATATTTATACGCTTACCCTCCTTACATATAGCGCACCTTGCTTCCTTCATCCTCCCCTCGGCGCTTCTTGATCAAGTATATTTATACTATTATTCCACGAACGCGTGAAATATCCATTCCAGGGTCTCCATCGTATATATTATTTCCTCCGCTGTTGTCGCGTACAGTGGTGCTCTCTTATCTCCTCTTCTTCTTCGGCGACGCTATTTTTTTCTTTTTCCTCGACTATATTTCTCATACTTATATATAGATAGTACAGTACTTTGCCACCGGTGTGTGTGAGGTTTTCTTTTCCTCCGAAGCTGCACCGAACTGCTGTCAAAAGTATATCGACAACATACATATATACACGTATACAGGTAAGTCATTTTCCATAACCTCCCTGTTTTGCCGTGGCTCTTTTTTTTTCCTTTCTTCTTTTCGTTTAAACGTTCGACAACATCTAAGCAACTCGTATAAACAACATTATATGCCTGTATATACGTGTGTGTGTTTTCTTCGCATACGTTAAATCGAATACGCTTAATTGTAATTTATGCAGATTACACGTATACGATGCGTGCGTTCATACCCTCGCCGCGGGCCAAAAGTCGTTTCAACACCTGATATTATGTGTATGATCATACAACACCCTACGTGGGTAAGTGCGCCTACAAAAAAGATAATTCGTGCAAGCACATATTATATCGTGACGTCTCGAACTCGTGCTTTTTGAAAACTTGTACCGTGTAGATGTGGCGCATGGATGCGATTATTTATTTGCATATCGTATATACAAACACGCCACACAACTTGCGTTTATCGCTAAAAAGGAGTGTGTTTTAATTGACTATTCTGCTCGATGCCTTTGTTGCTTACGCGTTTTAAAAGCAAGTATATACAAGCAAACAAATCGATACAGTGCAAGTGCAACAAGGCGTTAGAAATTGATGCGCCAGGGGGAAGAAAAAGCATGGCCAAGAACGCGTGGTTTATTATTTTTTGGAGGGGGGAAAAAAAAGTCGTTGCAATGTAGGTTTACGAGGGGAAAGAGCTTTTCTTTCTCTACCCCCCCCCCCCAAGTGGGGATCAATACGAGCTTCCTTTCATCGCGTCGCGGGGAGGGACGCGAAATAACTCGCGTATACGTATTGTAGATGCACGTGCGAATATCAGAATCTTTGGGATGCACCACCACTTGTTGTTTCGAATTTTGTTATTTGTTTTTCACCAGCTACCCTGAAGCTCAGCCAGAACGAATGCAGTATACCGTGAAGCGCGTTCCAACGGAAATTATCGAGTTTTCGAAGGAAACCAAAATGTATTTTTTATGCGCCGTTTCCTCACTTTCCTCAAAACTGTGCTCCGTTACTTTTCCATCGAAATAAATGCTTCCTTTGAATTTTGGACAATGGCTTGTAAGTACCTATCAAAAGAGCCCCACTCGCGCGACGCGCTTTGAAAATCAATCGTTGGCACGAGTCCGGGGCTCCCAGTAAGAGATAGGTTCGCGCGTAAAAATACTTTGCTCAATAATCCAAGGTATTCTCGGAGGACCGACGAGTCGCTGAAAAAATACGCAAAATTAAACGAGAACTTATCGGTGTATGAAATATACGTTGTACACTGCACTTTTTGGCCGTTATATTATGTATATACAAAAAAGCAGTTGACTCTATAGGTGTTATACCATGTACTTTCGAGGGCGGAATTTTCAAGTAAACGGCGACGCGTATCTATACATTAATTTATCGAGATGACAAATGGCAAACTTATAAAAATTTACACGTGTGTTTCAGAATAATGAACGAGTCCGCGGTCAGCATGAACAATATTGTAAAGGATGCGCCCAACGGGAGAATATATTACGAGCTGGAGGGAGAGGGAGAGGACGGCGACAGCTCGACAACACCTTGCAATCCAGCGGATCGAGGCGACCGTAAGTTGAAGCATACATACATGTATATGTTCACTGAAATGTATTTGTAACAAAACTACAAGATCTTTCGTGTTGTCATTGATCGGAATGTCGTGATCGGTAGTAGTAGTGGCCTATATATATATAGGTGCACGAGTATCGAGGTTTCCTTGTAGTTTCCTTTTCCGCGAGATCAAAAGTATCGCGGATTCCTTTGGAAATTGGATATACTACAACCCGTCCATAAAATATGCCACCACCGACATATTTATATTTACTACGCACGCACACGTAGACGCGCAACCATATTATTATATCCGATCCACGGCGCTAGTATTTGAGTTCCAAGTAGCTCGGCTGCGACATCGGTATTTCGCTCTACACGCATCAGCTCTAGTAATATCACGCACGCGTGTACTTTATCGTCATCGTCGACTGCGGTAAAAATAGGTATATATAGAGCCGGGCCGTTATACCATTAAAATATGGACAATAAGTTACTGCTGTTAGGAAGAATCCACGAAGAAGAGGAGGACGATTTTTGCTGGGACGCTCGTCAGCAGTACTTGTTAGCCTCCAAGACGGAAGCCGGTTAGTAAATATACAATTATACACCCATCGGCAATTGCCTGTTGCAGTGAAGTTGAGCATATGTATATATAGGTATATGTGTAGGTATTGTAATGTATATCATTGTATAGAGTAGCATTGGTTGGGCCATTGAGCCGGGAGGGGAGAAGCAAAGAGTGACATTTTGCATGAGTTACACGGACATGTTGAAAAAGAGAGAGAGAGAGGATAAGTAACTCTCGTTTTGGCTCACACGCGACCGTGACGAGGACGACAGCGAAGCTATATACATATACGCTGACTAAAGTCCACTTGTATACCTACTTCTATGTAGGTGTAGACAAAGAAAGAAAGAAAAAAAAAAAAAAAAAAAGAAGCAGAGGAGCTTGGCTGCCTGTACAGCAATGGCTCTCTCGTTCGTCCGGCTGATGGTTGCTGCTTTCTTGCTTGCCTGCTTTGCTAGGAGCTTCTTCTTCTGCCTCATAATAGAAACAAGACAACTGATACACTGACGTGCGCATCAGTTCTTCAGTTGCACGTCCGCCGTTACTTGCTTTCTGTCGCTGGGCGCGGTCGAGCTTCCAAAGCTCCATTTTTCGGCGCGTCCGCTCAAAAACGCGTACCGTTCGATCTCCCCGTCCAGCTGCACATTGACACTTGGTCGTTATCACCTGCCGTCCTCCGATCGGTTCCAAAAGTGCATGGCAAGCTCATTACACACGCTTGTCTAACACGTGCAGAGCTACTCACCTTCCTCGATGCGACAAAGTTTTCCAACTTTCGAAGCTTACTTCGCGGCCCAGTCCAAGTGAATTGTCCCCCATCTGACTCGGCTCGCGTTCCATCTCGAGTTGTAACGCGACACCATCATCAACATCGCGATCGTCGCCAGCAGCATCAGTCACCCACGAGCCAATGTCAAAATGTCGAGCAGAGGAGTCACTCCGACCGGTAACCGAGACTCCTCTTACTTTGGCTATCTGAACATTCCTGACTTGTTCATCGATGGAGACGATTACCACTGCGACTATCGTAAGTCCAGGCATCATTCAATCGAAATTTAGGGTACAGCGTGTGTATGTTGCTCTGCTTAGGCGAATGATGCTTGAGCACATTTTTTGGACAATTTTGGCGTTTGGTTTGCCCCAAAAGCTGCATGAAAAGTTTGCATCCCCTCGCGCAATATAGTGAGCGTTTATGGTATAGTTTATTTCCAGGGAAAATTATATATACATAATCCACCTTCGCCACGAGGACAATTTCGTACCAAAAACTGGTTTACAAATGCGCTCAGCTTATTTGTCTTTTGATGAGAATAAATAAGACAATGTCTCTCTGACTGAATGAAAGTAAAATCGTGTGTTTCACAAAGATGCCTCCATTAAATTGTACGTTTCCATACACGCAATCCATTAAGAGGCAAACGCTTGCGCTGCATATTAGTAGCTGGGAGAGTACCAAGTGGTAGAGGCGTATGTGCACGTTGCATCGAGTGACTTATAAATAGAAATCTTCCTAAATATAAGCGGTTAAATTGAGGTCGCGCTCCACTGCATACCTACTACTCTCTTATTTATTCTTTTCATGTACCAAATGTATACACATGAACGTCGCACCTGAACAAAGAAAACATTCATGCTCAAAAACATGTTTTCCTCGACGAAACGATTAAAAAAAAAAAAAAAAAAAAAAAAAAAAAAATTTTGCGGTTCACAACAAATATTTTGTCTCGGCGCCTCAATCCAAGTGCATTGAGTTGATATTCCTGTACACGGGTGTGCAAAATTGTTCACAGTCATTTTAAAAAAGTATGTGGTAAACACCCGCAACTCGACGTTCCATCAATTCATTGCTTATCCGAATTATCCGATCAAATAATTTTGATCGAAAACAATTGACACGCGAAGACTATACGGGACACGTAATGAAATGACCTGACACGGTAATGATAAGCATATTTATCAAGACTGTAGTAATCACAATGTGTTTTATAAAAAATATTTACTTTTTATAAAAAATTTAAACTTTGTAAATATAGTACAAAATGTTCAACAGGTTACAAGTTACGGTCAAATTCCCAAAGATTTCATCGACTATCGGATTTTTTCTTTTGATTAACATTGAAACAACGTTCAATGAATAATTTTAATTCTATTCTTGATTGAAAACACCGATTTCACTATAATTTTTTGGCTAAAAATGAAAAATCTTACAACTTTGACTATAATCGTGTGCTATCTAAAGTCACTTTGATTCACAGTTTATATTTATAAGAATCCGTTCCCGCTGGAACATGTGTTTCTTCTATTTTAGAAAATAAAGCTATTACAACGTGCCATGAATAGATGTATACCTACACGATATAGTGTAATCCTTATCATTTGTTAATCGTGTATTCACTAACTCGAACATTATCTTCAAATTCCATCGCTCACATTACCGTAGTTAGAAAAAACATTGTTTGAAACTGTATTGTGTTGTTTTCTCAATTGCTGTTTTGCCAAGCATTTTTTGTCGCGTGTAAGTAAAAAAAAAAAAAAAAAAACGTAATACAATAAAGACTTTCCACACACTGGTATACCAATTTTATGTTGATTATAAATTTAGTTATTATGGAAACGACAAAAAAAGATCCTAAATAATCTAATATGGTGATATCATTTTGTAAGATCAAAGTGCGCAACCAAATATAGTGGATGAACCTTCTTTGTTTGCGTTAATTGACTTTGAAGTTGTGCTTTTTCTTTCCACGTATATGCTATGGAGTAGTAAAATTTAAAAGATTTCAGCAACCTCAAGCATAAAAATTGTGCTCACATACTGTTTAGTCACACTTGTGCAAAATTCTCGTACAACTATATACCGAGCGAGTTAAGGAGTATGAGATATAAAGATGGGAAACGTCGGTTGCCGACTTTGGCTTAGTGTTATCGGTCAGGGAATAGATAAATGAGTCAAAGGTCAAAAATAATTACGAAACCTAAAACAAATCATCATCATCACCTCCACTTCTTTTTGATAAAATCAAAAAAGTTTGTACACGTGTACATCGTAATAATGCACAACTGACCGTGTAAAAATTTAAACTGGTAAAATTCTCGATGATGATGGGTAAATTGTTTTTTTTTTTTTTTTACCCTGTAGGTAGTGAAAGCCCGATATTTGGCTTGGACCCTACGTCAACCAACAATGGCGGTGCTGGCTCCGTTGGCAATCCCGGCCTCAGACTGGGCCCGCACGAGTTGCCCAATGAAATTTCAGCGCCTTACGAAGTGCCACAGTTTCCCATAGAACAAATAGAAAAAAAGCTCCTCATCCAACGACAGCTGACAGTCAAGTAAGTGTACATTTACAAGAGATTTTATAAATCACTAATGTGTGAAATATTTCGCGAGTCTAGAAACGACTCTGGTTTTTTATGAGGCTGACCTTTGTGGCCGATACTTTTTCCTCCCATCACATCTAGAAACGATAAAAAAAACAATTTCTAGTGTACGATTCGAATCTTACATTTTTTTTTTTTAGTAATATTAAAATTATATTTACGTTGGAATTGTACAAGGAAAAAATAGTGGCGACAAAGGTGTGGTTACTAAAATAAACTTAGCTACTTTTATACCCTGAAAACCGGTTTTTTCGCGGAATTCCTCGTATTGCACACGAGATAATCGTGATTCAACATCCCATTTGTTATTAATAGGCTAATACTCTTGCGACACAAGTACATCGGCTCTTAAATTAACGTCTCGGATGTTTATTACTTTTTACGTTACTCCAACTGTTTACAATCGCAATCAATGTTATGTCAATATACCCGTTGTGCTTGTACCTTATCGTCCTTATCACAATGACCCTGCACCAGTGTCCGTACCATTTTAATCGAGTTGACCATTGTAACGGCTGATTTTACCTTCAAGTTTTCTATTTTTGGCGCTGGAAATCGTCCCCACGATAGAGTATACCGATATATCGAGCGAATAAAAAGATTTTAAAAAATCAGCGACACAAATGTAGGAACTTGGAATTCAAATAGGAGAGTCATTTTATTCTTTGAATCGTCATAAAAACTGGCCTTCAAAAATGTATCAGTCAAACAAAAGCGTACTGACTTATCTGTAGCTCGCGTGGTTATCAAAATTTCATGGTCAAAGATTAGCGCATCTAATTAAAATGTATACTTTCTCGTATCGACACTTCAATTAAGTTGCGATGATAAATAAAATTGACGTACAACTAGGAACGTTTGCTCGTAAGGCATGATCATCGGCATTTCTCTGATATAGTTAAAATAAGTAGATGTTAGCGAAGAAGAAGAAGAAGAAGAAGAAAAAAGATAAGATTATTGAAAGTTAAAAATAGGCTGGATTAAAGTGATGTAAGTCGTATAGGTGATATATAGGGAAGGGCAGTTTTTTCAAAGCTTCGGCTATGCATAAGTGTATACACCGAGAGGCCAACTCGCGATGTAAGCAAGCGTTACGAGCTCAGTGTCGCCGCGACTCCCGACAACGTGGTCACGCGTCGCTTGTCATTTTTTTCTTCTCAAAGTCTTCTCCCTCGGCTCACTGTCTTTTTTTTTTTCCTACATATGCCTCTCGAGTACCAGCCACCGATTGGGTCGGTCTCTTATCTCGGCTTTACTGTTTTTACATTCTCCCTGCCTCCCACTCCGCCAAACGCACGCAAAGATGCTGCCTTTAGCCATGATTGCACACCTCGTTAACGCCAGAACCGCAACTACCGTAGTAACAATAAAAAAACGATAGTAAAAAAAAAAAAAAAAAAAAAAGAAACCGGCCATTCCGTTGTCTCTCTGGCTCGTTGTTAAACATGTTTATGTTTGGTGTGCGAGTGCTCCATTTGTCGTCTCACTATTCCGCGGCAAAGGCGTCCCAGTGGAGCTGATGGGATTTTGAGAGGTTCCGCTGCTGCGTGTCGTTTCTTTTAGTCGGCCGGTGGTCCAATCGGGCGGCATGTGAGAGCTTCGTGTGTGCCGCGCTCGGTCTTGCCGAGGTAAATCATACGTACGTTTCGTGCTTTTGTCACAAACAACCGACAAGTCCCCCGGGCGCCGCAGAAGCTATGTTCGCCGGCGCGATGGAATCCAAACGCTGGTCGAGGGATTGTAAATTGTTGCTCAGGTAGTTATTGTTACTTTTCTCTCCTCGCGATCCCCTCATTTATTCCTCGTTGCACTGCCTTTTGGCGCTTATCGCGTCGTACGCGTTCCGTAGTTGGTAATATCATACCGGTGCTTTCGACAATATAACAACGGAACCTTGCGCATATTGATCTCCATCGAAAGAGCGAAACGTCAATGATGATTTTAAGCTAAGCATTGGGAATATTGTTTCATGCCGAATTTCAACCAAAACCGACGCCAGATGTAATTGCGACTTGAGAAAACAAAAACCGGAATGCGAGTGGCCATAAGTTCTGTGTCGCGTGTAAATATACCGATTTACCGATCGATCACAGTCGGCTCACTTTATTGAGGAAAAATCAAACGAGATCGTCCGACCGAGAGACGGGCTAATCTTGCTTGGGACTGATTTTCATAATTTCGGTTTCCAGAGTGAATCAAATATTACGCGCAGTGCTATAATTCTAATATATTTATTCACTTTATTTGCATATTTACTCCGCGCTCGATTGTTATTCCGTTTCTCGGGATCACTCGAATGGTTTGAAAATGTTGGCTCACTGTGTGTACATGACTCAACCAAGTGGAGAAGCCGATGATAACTATGCAGTTGTATTTACGGTTGGTTGGAGTTATATTTATTCAACGCGACAAACAAAATTTTGGAAAAACCACTACATGCGGTATAAGAATGTACACCCACGTGCACTTTTATCATCAGCTTCTCGTGATGAGTATAACTATTCACAGTAGCCGATCATTGAGTCATTAAAACCTCATGAGGCCGACGAAATTTGAAGTTTGCCAAACCGAGTGTCTGCACCTCTCAGTAGATAATAGTTTAGACTCAAAGTCCGCAGGAGTGGCACATCGAACTTTTTGTATACTTTCTCTGCGCTTGATTTTTTTTACCGAAAGCATGGACTCCCTATGTTGAAGCGTAAGGTAAAAATAATGGTTAACAATGTACAGTTTGGCAACATTTAAGCTCTTACATTACCAAATTAAGATTACAGAGGTGCTCGGTACATATGTATATTTATAGTTTTTTTTGTTGTAATCCGAGAGCTCCCAAAGTTTCGAGGTCTCATGTAATATATTCCCAAAAATTCGTAGAGAGTTGAGCTATTAGCAAGCAGATGTATATTGGTCAAGATAATAGAAAAGTGTAATGATGGTGAACGGTTGTTGCAGAGCCGCCAAGGATCTCGAGGAGAGGCGTAGCCATTACGAGCCGTCGGTCGGCCCTCAGACCGATGATTTGGACCACATATTGCCTTTCGAGGAAAATGACTTTGTGCCTCACTTTCAACGAGTTTCGATATCCGGCGAGGACACCTCCGGGGTAAGCCACAGCTTCGACAACCAGCCTCTATCTCTCATTTTTTCCTTCAATTTCCCCGACTTCTCGTCGATCGCACCCGAAGCCACATAAACGTCACACAGCCTTACGCGCGCGTAACAGAAGCCCAACCAGCACAAGTACAGAGGAGCAGGGCGAGCGACCTTGGAACCTTATTGATTTATTTTCTCGCGTTGCGTAATTTTGCGTTACTTTCAACTTTCGGGGCTCTTGAAATCTTTACCAAACGGCGTAACCTTCGCTTGCGGCCGAAAACGTTTGATACAGCTCGTGTGACATTATACGTGCATCATCATCATCATCACGATACAAGCCTCCCCCCCTTTTTTTTTTTACAAATTGAACATTTATAATTTTGATCGATTGATTTGTGACATGGCCCACAACCCCGCGAATGTTATTGCGAGCACGTGGCACTTTGATGTGTACAAGGAAGCATTCTGCGCTTACATACCTATATGTTTTATCGGGCACTGTACATAAAATAGATTTTAATTTATGAGAATCATTTATTTCGAAGGGTAAATCGAAACGTTTGGCGTAGGTACCGGTAATGGCCATGATATATATTAAGTACATACGTGTATAAATAGATGCGAAAATACGCAGTGCGGATGATATTATTTTAAATGCCGGGACGAAAAAGAAAAACGCGTCTGTGGTTTTCAGGTTCCATTGGAAGATCTGCAGCAGGCGTCGCAGTTGCTCATTCGAGCCCTGGACATTCGCGAAAGGTACATGAACAACTCGAAACAGTCCTTCCCGAGCATAACGACCAGGTTTTTACGGAGCGTCGACAAAAAGCCCGTGAGCGCCGACGAAGTGCAGCACGACGATCGCAAAGCCATCGAAGGTCTGCCCATTAAACCCTTTACTTTATTATGCATACATACTTTGAATATACAACAATGAAAAATGAAAAGCAAAGTACTTTGGGCAACATAACAATAAAAGACCCTCCACTGTGAAATTTGAACTGTTAAAACATGAAACCCCCCCGAGAAAATGATGTAACGTGAATTTTTCTGCTTACGTAGAGCATCCAGTGCACGTGCCGGCTTCGCGCGGCGATCCTTGGGAATGCGAATTCCCGGCGAGCAAGAATTACACGATCGCGCCAATCAACGGGGTCTTCAACTTGTTCGCCAGCAAGGAGGACCTCGACAACAGAAAACCCATCCCTTACTCGTACCCCGACCTCGCGACCTTCGTCAGGGACATGAACCAGCTGTGCTTCATGATCGCGGACGGGCCCCTCAAGTCCTTCTGCTACAGGCGGCTCAGCTACCTCTCCTCCAAGTTCCAGCTGCACGTGCTGCTGAACGAGCTGCGCGAGCTCGCCAGTCAAAAGGCCGTGCCGCACCGGGATTTCTACAACATCAGAAAGGTATACCCACGGTCTATATAGTTATGTACTTTAAGTACACCGTATCCCTTGTATTATTATTATTATTATTATTATTATTATTATTATTATTATTATTGTACACGTATTGTCTCGTCCCGAAGGTCGACACCCACATTCACGCCGCGTCCTGCATGAATCAGAAGCACCTGCTGCGCTTCATTAAAAAAACCCTGAAGAACCACGCCAACGAGGTGGTCACGTGCTCCAAGAACGGGGAAAAAATGACCCTGCGGGAGGTGTTTCAGTCCATGAGCCTGACAACGTACGACCTCAGCGTCGACATGCTCGACGTACACGCCGTAAGTTTATATTTGCTACAAACATTGGATTGGTTTGTTCCAACATGAAGCATATCCTCCCGTACAATCGAGTTTTGTTTGTAGGACAGAAATACGTTTCACAGGTTCGACAAATTCAACGCCAAGTACAACCCCATCGGTGAAAGCAGGTTGAGGGAAGTTTTTCTCAAAACCGACAACTACATCAATGGAAAGTTCTTCGCTAGTATCATCAAGGAGGTATTGAGCGACTTGGAGGAATCAAAGTATCAAAACGTGGAATTGCGTCTTTCGATATACGGCAAAAGTCCCGAGGAATGGGATAAACTTGCCAAATGGGCGATCCAGAGCGACGTTTACTCCGATAACGTTCGCTGGCTCATACAGATCCCCCGATTGTAGTGAGTTTCACGAGTAAATCGTTTTTTCTTGGAAAAATTTTCATCATTACAATATATCGATTCATTTTCTGATTTTCAGCGACATTTTCAAATTGAACAAGCTGATGACGAATTTTCAAGAAATTTTAAACAACATTTTCTTGCCTCTGTTCGAGGTGACCAACGATCCCACGACACATCCCGAATTGCACAAATTTCTTCAATACGTATGTATACAATATGATACGGGCATTTTTTAATGAATCGTTTGAGATGTTTGGCCGAAAAAAAAAAAAGTAATTTCTCGAAATTTTTCAACTGTTAATAATATGACAGGTTATTGGCTTTGATTCGGTCGATGACGAGAGTAAACCCGAAAATCCACTTTTCGACAAAGACGTGTCCCCTCCGGCAGAATGGAACGATACGGAAAATCCACCGTACGGCTACTATCAGTACTACACTTACGCAAACATGACTGTGCTCAATCACTTCCGAGAGTCAGTAATCCGTTTGTAATCACAAGCAAAAACGATTTCCCCCAACTGTTGGACGTTATTAACTGTTGTCTTTGTAATTTTTAGGGAACAAGGCCTGAATACTTTTGTCCTCCGACCCCACTGCGGTGAAGCTGGACCAATTCAGCATTTAGTTTGTGGCTTCATGATGGCAGAAAATATATCGCACGGCTTGTTACTTCGAAAAGTACCAGTTTTGCAGTACCTATATTATTTAGCGCAAATTGGCATAGCCATGTCTCCACTGAGCAACAATTCACTGTTTTTAAATTATCACCGGAATCCATTGCCGGAATATCTAGCGAGGGGTTTGTGCGTGAGTCTATCGACGGATGATCCTCTGCAGTTTCATTTCACCAAAGAACCCCTGATGGAGGAATACAGTATCGCTGCCCAAGTGTGGAAACTTAGCTCGTGCGACATGTGCGAATTAGCGAGGAATTCCGTGATTATGAGTGGTTTTCCCCATAAGGTATGTTTGTAACTTTATTTTATATCATTCAACTTTATGGACACTGTGTATAACTATCACTATTATTTTTCGCACATTATTTTTCAGAGTAAGCAATACTGGCTTGGACCAAATTACACTAAAGAAGGAGTAGCCGGGAACGATATTACCCGAACAAATGTGCCAGACATACGAGTGGCCTATCGTTATGAGACTTTGGTTGATGAACTGTCTAACATATTCAAGGTTGCAGAATAAGTATCCAAAAGCTTATGTGCAATACTTAATATTATAAACATTTAATTTTTACTGAATTTTGAATCGATGGTAAACAAAAAAAAAAAAAAAGAAAAAAAAAATTTATACATATTTTTTTTAGACGTATAATTTTGTTAACAATATTTCTTCGAGTGCAATTATTTTTAGGACGTTTTCGTATTATTTTAATGAATTATTAAAAAGATTTTATCGTTTGAAAAACGGTATATTTTAACTACAATCAAAGTGTATGAAGATTTTTAGCTTTATACAAGTCATAAATCTTTTTATAAGTCAAGGATAGCTACTTTATGAACCTTTGCAGTCAAGCAAATGAAATTTACAGAATTTAGAAAACGAAAGTTAAAAAAAAGAAAAGAAACTCATTTTTATGAAACTTTAAATAAAGATATTTTTTTATTTTTAGTTAAAAAATGTTCAATAGAATCTAATGTAAAAGATTAAAATAGTAATTTTTCTGTTTTTGATAAAATTTAATTCATACAATTTAACGATTACACACACATTACTTATTGAAATATAAATTATTTAACTTGAATAGAAGTAAGGACTAAAAAGGCTATGTGAATACTTATGCTTAAATGAAAATAATTTATGTACCTAACTATTGTAAAATGTAGAAATGTATTTAAAAAATGTATTTTATCCTATTTTGGTACTTTTTGTACGTTTATACTGTTACCATTGTGTTTGATTGTTAATAAAATTCATACATTTATATACTATAATATTATAATAAATAAGAGTTGATTGTTAAACTTTACAACTATTTAGAGTCGACATAATTTTGAAGGTGTTATGTGACGAAAATCTACTGTACCAAATATATCTGAAAATTATCACTTATGACTTCTTATAAAGATTTATTGTCTCCCCACAACAAATTTTATTTTATCTTAGCTCGATCATAGTTCAAAAAAATGAAATTTCTTACAATGTAAAGTGAAAATAAAAGTACGTTAAAAGAAATCGTCCTTAAATGAATATCATTTTATTTTATCATTGTTTTCCTTTGTCTCGAAAAATTTGACTTTTAAAACTTTTTGGGCTCTAGGTATCACTTCCGTGAATATAAGAGTACCAATGAAAACAAGTAAAGTTCCAATCCAGTGGTACACTGTGAATGGATTTTTAAAGTATATTATTGAAAATATAAGTGACAAGAATTTTCGGAGCGTCAATATCAGGGTAACCGTCAGTGAAGTGCACTCTGTTGTTAGAACAAAAACAGAGCTCACGCATACATACCTGTAAAAATCTGTTAAGGATCACAAGATGGATTCAAGTAATATACGAAAAAAAAAAAAATAATAATAATAAAAAAGTTAAAAACCATAAAAGGATACTGCGTGAACACATTGCCTATTAAATAAGCTACCATTCTCGGCAAAGTTATATGTACAAATGGAACCGTGATTCCAGGTGAATTCACAGCCACGATTGCATGGTCCCACAAATTTTTCGACAGAAACACGAAAAACGGCAAGGGCAATAAATGCTGAAACAAATGTCGGTTTTACATGATAAAATGAATCGATGTACAGGGTAGGATGAAGATAGAAATGGTAGTACCGTGTAGTATAATGCTTCTCTCGGATTTTTTCCGTACCGAGAGTACAAAGTCTCTTGAAAGATACCCATTCTAGCTGAAATGAACAAGGCCACCGTCAGCAGCACGATACCAATGATCCACCAGAAAAAATCATTCCAAGCAGCTGATGGCTCCAATTGTTGGCTGTTTGGCACAGTCGACTTGATCTCCCTGCTGCTTATTATAGTGCACAGCACAATACCTACGGTAATCATGGCCACGGATAAATACTTGTCAAAAGTATATTGTTTTTTCAGAATAATAATGCCCATGATCATGTTCGCTATCAGAGAACCCTGAAAAGTTTTTTTTTTATTTTACGTCAAAAAAGTTCATTTCAAGAGGAGGGACATATACAAATGGTTGAAATTTTCATTTTGATGACTTACTGCTCTGAATATCATGTGCAATGGCATCGGTATATTAAAATTAAAGGCATAATTGTTGAGAACACTAGAAACGAAGAACATTGAGACCAAGATCATATAGCTCTTGATGCCAATGTTGCTTTTGACTTTGCCACACTTTGAAGTGAAGATAAATCCATCAATGGCAATGAATACAAACTGCGAGAACGTCACCAAATTACCGCCACCGGGATCTTCTCTGAAATAATTATTAATTTTTAAAACGAGTCGAGGAAAGTAGGGAAACACAAGCGTACTTCATCAGTAATTCGAGAAAAATCAAGTTGGAGCAGCAGCCAAGGAAAACCAGGCATATGGCTAAAGGTACAGCTGGCATTGTTCTGTTTGCCAACTTGCGCTCGTTGTGAAAAATAATCTGATAACTGCAATCAGGACGTCGCAAATATTTAGGTAGGCGTGACGAATTTTTCCCAGGGAAATAGTTCCAGTGAACCCTGGAGTTGTGTTATAGTCTATCTACCTAAACAAGGGAGCAAACAGTAAGCATATACCTATAGACAAATCGCAAGGACCTAAAAAAAAAATAATTTTTTTCACAGAAATAAAATCTCTTGCGAGTACTACGTAGAGATTTTAAATAGAGAAGCGCTTCGTTCGTGAAATTTACACTTTTTCAATACGTAATATTCCCGCTGAATCAATAGTTGTTTAACTAATTTAATTAAAAAAAGTCATGCATGCACTTGAAAAAAATTATGCGAAACCGATCAATTACTTGATGTTAGTTTTATTAAAATATTGCAAATTAGTTACTAGATCTTTGTCTTTACGTACTAGGTAAGTATATACGTGTCATCGTCTTCATCATAGCCGTTAATATCATCGGCCCGACATCATCCTCGTCGTCGCCGTCGTCGTCGTGGACTACCCAAGTATTATCTGGGTTATCATCACCGAGCAGTTATACTAATATAGCCACTGCACTTACACATGTCATGCGTTTGTATTTTCTTGTGTACACGCATTGTACGCTCTTGCGTTTATTTAATATTTTTTCCTCGTTAAATTCGCGAATGAATATCGTTTCGATGATATTGCACTCTCGAGAGGTTAAGTTGACGCTTCGTCGATTACATTATACAATATATACATTGTCGGCTATACTGAAAGACAGCTGATGTGATACTAAAATATAGTCCTACAGATTTCCGCGATGTTTATATAGCTCAGCTGTTGGACAAGTTACTACTTATTATTTAACTTTTCTTAACATAAAAAAAATAGTGAAGAGTCAAGTGGAGCTAAATATTTTTTTATTTATGTGACGATCGTTAGAAGATAATCAAGTTTCAAGTCCAACTTCAGTAATTTTCATCCAATTTTTATTGAATTTAGTTCCTTTTCATTATAAAATGTGATTTTAACCCCCCAAAGAGATAAAAATCTCATCATCTATAAATTGCAGATAATAATTTGTGAACTATCAACACTTTGACGACTGATCGGGGGAAAAAAAAATCTGCTTTTATGATATTTCATGTATTAAAACTTTACCCTGAAAAGTAAAAAACAAAAATTATAGACATTGAAAAAATACACCTTTTTGGTATTAAATGTGTTGTCTTATAGTGTACTTCGGGGATTACGGAAAGTAATTGATGTTTCGCGTAAAAGTGTTAGTTTTTTTTTCCAACGCTTTACGAAGCAAAAGAATTTTTTTTTTTTTTTTTAATTTATCATTTCAAATAATAAATCAACCAAGACAATACCCATGTGTTACGTTCAAGAGAAATTTATATCGTGATTTTTGTTTTCAAATATAATAGCCTGGAGTTAAGTATTCGAACTATCGAGGCAAATAAAAAATTTGGCTAAACGAAAATAAGTCTGTACATACGACATCAATACCGGCTGTATATTTTCTTTACATTTTTATGTCGATTCACATATTATCATCTATTTCGACCATTGATCTTTTTTTCATTCTTTTCGTTTCCTGATAACTTATTTGCATCTACATGCAAAGCTTTTGCGTACAGCGAGCACTGAATGTACGAGTAAAGTCACAATATTAAAATAAAGTATATTTCTGGTACCGTGAAAATTATGTAGCCATTTTCAGTCCCCTCTCCTTCTCTTTATAAATATTATTGAATTTTTGCGAATTTTTACTAACGAGAAATAGTAGTTTTCCTACGAGTTTGAAAAGTCTCTGTTTGCGAACCGAGAGGTTTGCGGCCCGAGCCGAAGGCGAGGGACGTAACGAGGTTCGTAAAGGAGACTTTTTGAACGAGTTCCGGAAAACTGCTTTTTTGCCCGAGGAAGTACCAGCCTCCCAAAACCACCCGAGGGCGGAAAAAAAAATTTCGGTAAATATACTATTTGACAATGTTTGATACTGAAATTAAGGACTTTATTAACTATTTTTTACATAGTGGGAGCAAAACTGAGGTTTGAGGAAGATTTTTCGTTGCAATTTTCTTTAATTTTTTTTTTATTTTGAGCGTAAGAGCAGTGGCGACGTTTTAAAATATGAAACGGCATAATAAATTTATTACCTACCATACGAATTTTTTTATTTTATGACCAAACTTTTGTCAAGGAAATTGATTGATTCCAATATTGCACTTTTGCTGGTCGTACCAAATAAACGTACATTTAGGCATATCGGTCAAAAAATAACTTTATTTGCTCTCGAAAAACACCTCCTTATTCATGTACAATATTTACACAAATCTTAGTTGTAAAGTGAATTATAAAACATCAATCCGAGACATAATCTGTAGAGTCAAGCATACGAGAAAACGCATTCTCGTGTATAGGATACAATAAAAAGAGCACAATAAAAACTCCAAGTACTGTACAACAGCTCACATAATAGATTAGAGCCTTATAACAATAGCTTGCGTGATGGAAATAAAGTTTTGCGTAACAAAGGTAACCTGTGCATATGTTATGCATACACACACACACACACATCTACAAATAATACAAAACAAAATCCAATCTTTTCGATTCTCAACTTTTGTTAATTTATACTACGAGCTATGCTCTACCGTCCAAGTAGAAATTCGCTAATGACGTTTATAAATTCTACCCTCGAGATTTTCTCATAAATTTATAAATTCACAAGTAGAAAAATTCAAAGGCCTCATCGATTGTTGTATGGAACAATAAAATCATTGACACTTAACAACGCTTTCAATGTCAACAGCTGATAGAACTAAAATTAAATTGTAATCCATTAATGAAAATTCATTGGTCGTACGGTAAAAATATTTACATGTTCACATTTTCAAGTCATTCACTCGAGGCTTCTTCTTCAATAATTTTGCTTCTTTTCAAAGAAGCCGGTATCGTTGTATATACTCGTTGTCATTGCACTACCTATCACTTTTCGATGACGTAAACAAAGGTACTGACAAAAGTAGCTGGAAAAATATGCCTCGGTCATCGGATCGCGCCAATCAACATCAACGACAAGCCCATTCCTACGAGGAACGTAGTTTTTCTAGACGCCACATTGCCAGCTAAATCCTTCCCTGCAACATGGCACAAACGTCAACATATTAAATGTTTGAAATTTTATTGAGAAAAAAAATATATATATATATATATGCTCACAGTAAGATGCCAAATGAGGGCGACAACAGCATTCGAATATTCTCGAGTAGCTTTCGCAATTTTCTTCCCTAAGCTGGCAGCCCTCGGGACTCATGATACACTTGTGCTCCACAAAGTCCATTACCTCTGTTGAAAAGATAATTTTTTGTCTACCCGTATATTTCCATTGACTTACGATATAGTTTACCATTCATACGCAAAAAAAAAAAAATAAAAAAAACTCATTGGAACATTGAAATTCTGATGGTTCGGATAAGAGGCGTAAGCGAAGGAACCGATAAGATAGCCACTCGACCCGGGCAAAGTTGAACAAATGTTTGTGGGTCGCAGCTCAGCTTCATCTCTTTGAAATGTAAAACATATACGTCTTTCTCATTTAAAATCTGTCGACGTATTCACACGACCAGCTCAAGCTTGTTATCAAAGTTCAGAGGATGAATAATGCCCCGCCACATGTAGCTGGTAAAGCTCGCAATTGTTGAACCCGAGAGATAACCCGAGGAAGACGCGTGTATGTGTATATGTATGGACAGAAAGTAAAGTTAGAAAATGAGTAAAGTACACTTTTGTATCTATTATTCAAGGTGCGACGGAACGGAGGTACGTGCGTTATTTTCGCGATAAACCGCGGTGAATTCGAGGCGAGGATGCAACGCCTCTCACGTTCGGCTCGCCGGTGCACACACGGGGCATTTTAAAGACTTGGCGCACATGCAGCTGCGCCTATCTGTCGACGCTGAAAAAGTGCAGTGTACATCCGTCCGTATAAAATATATCTTTATAGGTACCTATTGACGATCGGAGGAGAGGAAAAGAAAAAGGCCGCGGATGTAATTGACGCGCAGCGCAATAAAAGACCGTTTGAAAAATAACCGAGTTATCGAGCGAGAGATAACGAAATGTTTACGAGTGGAATAATAAAGTCGCGTGTCGGGTAATTTCGTGGGCTTTTGTGGAGATGTGTACCACACAAGCGATGAGAATCGAATTGGACACGGGTGGGATGTGGACAGGAGGTGAACGCCGTCACGCATGGATCGTTGCCTCGATCGCGCGGTCAATTGTTTCCGTTTTTTTTCTGTTCCAATTTGCGATGTGGCCGAAGGCCGTTGATTTTGCAACAATATAGTCTTGTGTCGCACGAGTGTCAAAACTTGAATGACAAAAAAAAAAAAAAAAGTACAAACAAGCGTAACGTACGAACCATTGGAGCTCGTGTCGCAGCAGCAATGGTCGTTTATCACGCCTCCGTCTCGGCAGTAGGTCATTTCTTTGGGGGTGCACGTGTTGCAGCCGGGACGAGGCCCTGAAACATTACAAGTATATGGCACCAATGCCACAATCAACAACATCGTCAACAATAACCATCATCATCATCATCATCCTCGCTCTCGGCGTCCGTCAAATTTAAGCTCCTATTACCACTTTGCGCTTGTACATTATCACCATCGCGGCTGCTGCTATTGCTGTTATGTATATATATATACCCATACTTGTACAAGTCAAGGAACAACAATCGCACACGCGCGTGCCCATACAAGTAGGTGTATGTATATATATAATATAGCGGCACGAAAATATAGTACAGGGGCTCCTCGATAATTACCAAGGTATACATTTTTACACAAATGGCACTTGCCATGCGTATACTTATTTCCACCGGTGAATACGATGTGCGTGTGTATTACGCCTATACAATATATGTACTTATACAGCTTGGAAATAATAGCAGCGCCTGTTCTCAAGCTTTTCGCGAGGTCTTAAGCCCGCTAATGTTATTTCGCGGTCGATAGACGAGTTTGCGTGCAGTGGCTTGCGAGTAAAAAAAAAAAAAAAAAAAAAAAAAAAAAAAAAAAACTTTTAAACTCGTACGAATATACTTTCCCCTCAAATAGAATAGAACAACGGATTGGGCCCTTTTTTGTTGGCGCGGTACCACGGAAAGGGGGGTGCTTTTGGCCACCGCAAAGCGTAAAAAGTTCGTCTCCGAGGTGGATGTTTTGAAATGGTTGTGCGTACGTACACCCTACCGATTGTAATTGCAACAGCAGTAGCACCACCGAGGAGGGGTTTACCTGGATAGAGCCGTAAATTGCGGGCGTTGGTGAAGGCCTCCTCCCGAGTGACCTCGTGATCGAGCACGTAGTCGTCGGCGCTGAGGCTGATGTCGGCCGGCTGGTCGACCACACTGACGGCCCCCAGTGGTACCAGCAGCACCAGAGCCACCATCACCGACGAGACGGACCATCCCGGGTTCATGGCGAGGATCGGCCGGCTCAACTGCGGGCGACACTATATTATTACGTTACGACTCGAATCCAGGCCCCCCCACCCCTCGCGGGTAACACACATGCCTACCTCCTTCCCCTATGATTCCCGCAGTCAGCTATCGATCGCCCGGCCCGCCTCTCTGAGATTGGCTGCGATGCCGTTGTATACACTTAACGATATTATATTATAACACATACGTAGATAGGGGTATATTATAATGTAATATAACAAATCCAATCGTCACTACAAGTATATACACCTATACATTATTTTTGTTGGAGGTGCACATATTATTATTATTATTATTATGCCCATTCCGCGAATTTCACCGGCTCCGTAATGGACTCTTGGCGCGGCATTTGAGCTCCCCCGGCCCGTTGCATCGCTTGAGCTTTCGGTATATACTAACGCTTCTTCTGAGTCACACGCGCGACCTAATGAGTTGGCTAATTAAGCCCAATTGTCGCCTCCTCGCTCCATATATCCCTCGGCCGCGGTGATGCTAGCTTTTCAAGAAGATTTCATTGGTACTCGCTAGCGATGACTATTTTCCTCTCTCTCTCGATGGACCATCAGGGCCGGTGATTGTTTTTTTTCCCCTTCGCGGCTTATCTCCGCGCTCGCCGTCCCGTTTTCCCATTCATAACCTCGTGCCCGCTCCGGTTACTTAAACTTTCACCGAGGGGGGAAGAAATAATCTTATGCAAGGCGTCCTTTTCCGTATACTTGTAGGGCTGGCGCGCGTCCCTGTTATCAGAGTCGCGTCAAATATCCGTTTACGACTAGCCGGGGCCCTCCTTGGCCGTTACCGATAAACTCGTACTCAACCGATTGGTGCCGATGACAACTGTAAAATATACACCACCGACGATTGCAGCGAATACAAACGGGGAGGGGGTTGGGATGAGTAAAAGTGCGGGGAAGCGCGCCCGAGACAGGTCGGAGGGGAGCAACGATCTTTGCTGGGTCGTTATTAAGTACAATATATTAGATCAAGTATATATGTGCCGCGTTATATATATATATATGTATATTTATGTGTAAGTTCGCCGAGTCGCAGAGTTTTTGTAGGTCCGTCGCGGCGCGCGTTCGAGGCTACACTAACAGTTGCTCCGTGTACTTATACGCTCAGCTGTCCGTGTAACTCTGTGCGCCACACGATATGCGACAAGTTGTTATACATACACGAACAACTCCCTTGCTTTTTCTATACACCTATATGTATGTAGCGTATAACGTATATTATGTTTATACACGATAGGTACTTGCATACGAGAAGCAATTCGAGAATTTATACATATATACGAGCGGGGGTATGGCGTTATTGTGCGCTTTCATGCGGGGGGATAGGGGCCATCCCTGCAAGTTCGAGCTCCTCTCCCGTTTCATCCCCACCTCGGGAACCCTTTTCTTTTTTTTCCTCCCCCCGATCGATGCACCCCTTATATTCTGTCCAAGCTGTGCGCGCTCAGCTTTACTTGGCTGGCTATATTGTAGTAAGTGTATTTTTCTACGACTTGAACAGCTAAGTAATAACATCATGTTGTTTCGTCGAGAAAATTTTACTTTCGATTGTACCGTCAAAATTAACACCGTCGAGAAAATATAAAGTTTCAAAAACACGTTTATCCCTCCCTACAGCTGATAACCAGTATTGCGCTTGTGCCTGGAATTATGGGGAAGTTACGCGATTTAATACGATTGAAGTTCGAGTTACAGGCAGGGGAGTGAAAAAAAAAAAAAAAAAAAAAATTATCACAGAAACATAAAAACCTCAACCTACATGCCTTTTTTCCGTGAGGAAATAAAAAACTTATTTTCAAAATGTTGTTTTCTTAAAGAAGCCGGAAAAAATTCAGTGGATCTTAGTTATGACTCTACTCAATGTGATTTGATAAAAATATTATTCGGATTTTGTGGTTAAGATTTTCATTTTATCATTGAGAAATTTCAGTGGATGCTTATACGATTAAAAAATAAAATTTGGGCAACAAACGAAACCCTCGTACAATTATACATAAACTGCCCGCATAAACACAAATACATACTATTTATATTCAACCACTTACAAAGCTCCATCCAATGAGAAAGGAAAAAGGGAGATTGAAGTTGAAGGAAAATCCGTCATCGTCACATGTCACTTCCGTATTTGTGAACTTACAAACGGAGAACAAAATTTAATTAATTATTTCATTGGATTTTTTTTCAAAAAACAAAATCTGTTGAAGATTGGTTGTAACTATTTGAAAATGTAGAGAAAAACGCGATGGTAAGAAACATACCTTAAAATATAAGGTAGAAATTGTAATGAAACTAAAATGAGGATTAGGAACAAAAAATAGTTGGAACGAGAGAAAAAGTACCATACGTATTATAATCACCGTAACGTGTGACGACACTCTGATCGTAATTGATACGCGTAACTTGTACAGCGTCGAATAGGTGCGCCCGTTCAGCGATTCATATAGGTACCTATGTAATGTTTGCCTACTCGTTTACACGCTCTAAATCGCTTGTGATGTCACACGCGCTCTCTCTTCATCCATCGCGATAACTAAACGTATGTTTTTAGTTTGAAAAGGGATATAGTGGAAGAGAAAACAAAAACATCAATCAGCCAAAGAGCTTGTGATTTTCATCGACCAAACTAATAAATCTGCTTCAACGCATTTTTCGACCACATTTTGAATAAATCCTCATTCGCGTTAATGTATAAACCTAATGATTGGGATGGAATAAACAAATGTAAGAAAACAACGAGCGTTAACAGTAATAATAACGGAACATCATATTTATTTATTTATAATTATATAATGTGATTTATAATTGTACATTGTTAGGGCAGACGAAGAAATGAGCGATTTTTTTTTTTTTTCATTTTTATCTACATATTATCTCATATAACAGTTTGCTTTCCAACTCTTTCATATAAGACATCTCTTACATCAACGATAACGATATTCACAGTAAATAAAAAATATATGTATATATGCACTGTTGATTAACCCTTCAATGGTGCGCGGTTAACTTGTCCCTTCGCGAATATGCCGGCAACCTTCCCGACAAGCGCGAGAGAGCTCGTGCCGAGAATATACTTATAGGTGCGACACGTCACGTGCTCCCTGTCGCCTCGTCCGATCGTCCAACCGAGAGCTAGGCGCGCTCCACACACTGACACACATTTTGAAAGGCCGCGTACGACTGGCTGACTCTATCTCACATTTATACTTGCAGGTATGGTTCAAAACGCTTGCACCGTCAAAGAGTTAAAGTCCTATCGACTAAATAATTGGTTGTAACATTTTTTTTTAAATCTCGAAATTCTTAAAGCCAATGAACAGCTATGATGAATGAAATCAATCTAGTTTGCGCATTCACATTATTGAATAACAATAAACTAAGAAGAGGATTTTTTTTTTTTAACTATAATAGTAATAATAATAATAATAATATTAGAAATTCAATGGCTTTTTACTTTTTCGTGTTTGTCATTGTCTAGTGTCGATTCGTAATATTCAGAAAAAGTATGTATAATTTCATATTTTGCAAGCGCTACTTTCATTCCACTCTACGAAATTTCAGCACTCATGATGTAGGGCACCACATATATATCTTAAATTAACAACTTATTTAATTATTTGAATACTTTTTTAAAATATCTTATCTAGTTAAAAATTCCATTCTCGCGTCTCTTTCATTTTTGTACATAACAGTAAAACAATAAAACTCAGGTATTGCAAAATTTATAATGAAGATCGACACTAACTTGGCATTGTTTTTTCTTTTTTGTTTTTTTTTTTTTTTTTTTTTTTTTTTAGAAAAACCTCTTTTCTCGAAATTGTAAAGATCTCATGTTTAAAAGTTGTTTCTTTCTCAACAGAAAGTATGCCATTCTCATCATTACATACTCAAAAAGGTATGATCGAAGAGTCTTCAATCTTTGTTAACTGTTACGAATTTTGCAATTTGAAGTAACTATTTTTAGTCAACAAAAATGTAAGAGTCTTCGACAAAACAATTGTATGCAGTAGTTTACGAACTACTGTATATATAGTACAGGTTCTTTTGAGAACTCGTACAAAAATTATGTACATTAAATTTATTTATAGTTTTAGTGAAAAAATATCTCAAATTTTTAATTAGGTCGTACTTTCAAACCCGTGGATGTGTTTCACTCGAAAAAACAAAGTGCTAAAATACATTAGTTTAAATACTTGTAAAACATAATAATTAGGCTACCCTTTTTTTGTCATTTTTTTTCTCATTTTTGACATTAATTTTTCTTCAAAGGTTCGAAAACTTAGCTCGGAAAACACGCAAAGATAATTACCTAGAACAAAACACTAGAAAATAATAAACGCGTATTTTCATAGAGTACTACAGTAATTTAGAGAAATTTTTTCACTTCACTAATCAATTAATGGTTTTAGAACTTAGTATGTTTAAAATACTTTTTTCTGAAATTGCTATAAAAATATTGTTTTCATTGTCATCTAACAAAGACTCGTACACGGAAAATTGTTGGAACTGTTTTTTTTTCAATAATAATTGTTTTACCATTGCGCTTGGAAGAATTAAAATTAGACTTGCTATGGTTCGAAGTACGTCAATGAAGTGTTTAACTCGTATGGTTAAAAAAATCCGTTTTTTCTCTTGCTTTTTTTTTTGTGTTTTCTTTTGTTTTGTTTTGTTTTTTTTTTGTTTTTGTTTTTTTTTTTTTAATTCCGGTATACACCTGATTGTGTGTACATTGAAAAGAATATATCAGCAGCAAGGTCGGCAGCAGTAAATAGTCACTTTGATGAGCCAATGTACTCGAATGTGCGCAAGATGTACAGCCATTATCGAAAATTAAACTTTATTGTCAACCATATCTACATTGATCTTGTAGTAGACATACGGAAAGTAGTCGCTCTGACCGAAGCCCAACCCGGGAATGTCGACGCTCTGTAAATGATGCATTATGCATGTATAGATTTGTTTTGTGTTTTTGTCAAAATGAACAACGACATGAAGGAAAAAATCGTATACGGAAACGGAAAGACTTACATCTTGATTGCCGGACTGCAAGCCACCAGACGTGGCTGATGAATCCAAATGAGCGTACAGCTGATTCAAGACGTCCCGCAATCGCTTGGTGCTCTTTTTATTCGGGCGCAGTAGAATGGCTTGGAAATTGACGGGCAAGCCGTACCTGAGGACCGACTCGACGAAAACCCGCAAGGCCTTGACGTGGATCCAAGCGCAGAAGCACTCGCTAAAATTGACCTTCAACCACCGCACGAGAGGGCCAAACTGTTTTTTCTTGTCCGTCACGAGCTTGGTCATCTCATTTTTACCTGTGCGCAATAACACAACGTACACGTATGTACACGTATAAAGTAAAATCAAAGATTTTTCTGGGAGGTGGGAGTATTATTTACCTGCAGCGAGCTCCTCCTCGTTGTACGTAAAGTCGCGCACTATGAATTTCTTCTCGCGAGCGTGGAGCTTGAATTCCTCGATGACTTTTTTAAAGAGGGTGACCGTGTAAAGCCCGTACTCCTGGTCTTGAGTGATGAGCTGGGAGCTTCTCGGTACAATCATGTCGGTCAATTTCTCATACATGGCATTCCACTCTTGAAAACCTTGTCTGAGGGGGAGGGGAAAACATCGAGTTTGCGGTGAAGCGAGGCAAAACGTGGGGAGATTTTGTTGGGGGATAAGTTATAAACAATACATAGCAATGGGCACGAAATCATCATCCGATGGTTAAATATATAATGCGTATACCTTGGCACAATGACCAGCAGAGTCGTCAAGTATTCGCTGTCCAGTATGAAGTGTTCTTTTCTCACCAGATCCGCCAGGTTCCGCGTCAATAAGCTTCCTCTGTCAAAAGAACAAAGCGAACAAGTAGCGCGAATCACCAGCGGGTGTATATGTATATATTAGGAAAGTACAGGGCCAAGGCACACTCACGTTTGTTTCTTTTCGAGATTTTGCAGACTACCCTTCAGATTGTTGTAAGTGGTAGATTTCGTTTTGAGATCGGCGTCTATCTGTCCGACTTGTTTGTTAATGATGTCCGCGATGTTTCTCAGCGATTGTTTGATGGGGTATTTGGCCATGTCCCACTGGAATCGCGTTATGTACGTGGGCAAATCACCTGCGTTACACAACATTTTTCCCCGTTACAGTGGGCGCACTATCCCTCCCAACGCCAACAACGTAAACAAGTGACATTCATTTTCATCATCTACTCCATCATACCCATACGCATGTATACATTTTATACGATACGTATGCGTAATATAAATATATAATAATAATAATATTAATAACAATAAACTCATTATAATCGTCCGGTGCATATAACAATATGAAAACCATGCTGTTTCACTTGACATTATAATTATAAGGTGCACCAATAACATTAACAACCACAACAATTATTACTCATCAACTATATGTATATATATTATGTATATGTTCACTATAATGATAATATATCTATGTATGCTGTGCTGCAATCACTAATTGCTATATACCTATCTTGGTTCTCCGTCTATACGAAAATTCTCAAAAATAAACAACCAAAACACTTGACTAACTTTCTAACATCGTCTATACCTATAATGTGTTGCCAAGCAATGATTTGACGTTAATTCGTACCATTTTTAATCTCCACGAATAATGTAATCAATGATGTTGTATACACGTTAAATACGAATCAATTCAGATATCGCGTAGATTCTTAACTATAATAGTCTGAAGGATTTTTTTTAAATTTGAATAATTGCTAAATGTTGTCATTTGTTTCGATGTGTTCAAAATTTATAAAATTGTAACGGTAACTCATTTTAAAATGTACTTTACTCAGATCTATGGATTTCGTAAATCGAGCTAATCAGTTGATGCCAACGAACAAATGAATAAATCGACTGCATGGTAATTGCGTTTCATTGTTGTGACTTGTAACTATGTTAAGTGAATCACTTTTAATAAAGCATTTTATTAATGCCTCAGCAAAACTTTGTACCCCTGCTTAACTCAATTTTTATAAATATGGTTAATAAATACTTTAGGATCGACGTTATTTTTATCATTGAAATGCAATAGTAATAGTAGTAGTCAGATTAGTGATCATGACGAAAATGTGAGACCAAACACAACGTGGGTGTGCACATTATGCAATAATTTCACCAAGCCTACACGAGAGTGATTTATAAAGAATAACTGTGGGAATCGTGAAGTTTTTAAGCAACAAGCCAACATTTCAAAGCTCTTACTCATGCTAGCTTAAAGAATAATTCATTTTTTATGTAAAAAATTTTCATAAAGATTATCGGACTAATCATGTGGGGGTAAAACATCCAACAAATTTTTATTTATTAATTACGAAACACATGCTTTTAAGTCTACTTTCGTATGCGTAGTGTCCCATGTGTCGGTTAGATATTACTGTTTGTTTATTCATTTGGTAAAATATGCATCTGTACTGTTGTTGTATGTGGTGGTATATGTTCAATATACATATATTATAGTTTGTATTTGGTATTAAACAAATATGTACCAAGTATGTAAAGAAAATTATGCTAGGGCTGAGAAAAAAAAAAAAAAAAAAATTAAGGGAAGATGTGGTGAAAAAAGCAAATTAGAACTTTTTTCGTTCTTCATGAAAATAAAACTTACACATACTGCTTACAATTTATGCAAATTGTAGTGAATAAGCGGTGTTATTGAAAATTATTAAAAATGGCTCATGGTTTCTACANTTATTATTATTTTTTTTTTTTTTTCGTTTTTTGTGTGCAATGCAAGTTTCAAATCAAATCGAAAATCAAGCACTTGACTTGCGTGTATGGTATACACAATTTGATTGATTTAACGAAGCTGCAAGTACAATTCACCTGATGTATATAGTATATTTTATATACCCCTGCTTTATCGTAAAGTAGCACATTGCACAAATGCCTACTCCAGGTGCATTGATTTGTAATATTTTTTACACACGTTTGCAATATCTAAAAATAATATCAACAATGCTCTATCGCATTTGTGAATTAGTACTGCAGTTGCCATACTAGTCTACATTGGACATGTAAAACGAATACATAAACCAAAATCAACTGTCATATATAAATATATTGTATAACCTTTACACATATTTTTACGAGTATAGTATTAAGAATGTGACGAGGATTTTTTCTTTTGAGTGTTACTTATTGTAAGTACAAATATATTTAGTCCTGTGCCATGCTAGTACAGTATAAAAGTTTTAACCAACACAATAAAAATAATGATAGCAACGCGAGAGTCAACGAAATCGTGAATTGTTAGCCGAAAAATAATTTTTTGAATCATTTGTAATCTCGAAAATTATGATGCTGCGCCTCGCATAATATTGTAAAAATCGAGCGATTTATTTTTTTCTTTTGCTAATCGTCATGTACTTACTGAATATTCAATAAGAGAAAGTAAAATATTCAACTTTGAATAGGTAACATGAAAAAAAACGTGGTGCGAAATTGTTGCACACACTATGCGACTCAACAGATAAACATTTTTTCCACTGTACACCACGTCTACGAATCTCTCTACCTCTGCTGGGATATAAACTCATAACAAACAAAGAGAAAGAAAGAAAGAGAGAGAGAGAGAGAGAGAGAGGAGGGGACGAGGGGGATGATTGCCACAAAAAAGTAAGAGTAGTAGTACGACGAGTGATGGTATAAAAAACTATTACAAAAGAAAGAAAGAAAGAAAAAAAAAAAAAAAAAACAAAACATAACGGGGGGAGCTCTGGGTGGGTGGTTTCGGTGGCCGTGACGGGACGGGTACCTGGATTGGGCAGTTTGCCGTCGGCAATCGCTTGTTCTTTCTCAAGGCCGTCGGCGTCATTGTCGTCCTCGTCCTCGTCGTTGTTGTTGTCCAACGGTTCCAGGCCCCGGCGAGTCGGCTGCTTACGGTGGTGGTGCTGCTGGTGCTCGGGACTGGCGTTGCCGGGCCGGGGCGAGGGGCCACGACGGCCCCGCCGGTTTCTCCCGCGGCGGCGGCGACCGCGACGGCGGCCCGGCTTTTGCCGAGGCTCGTCCGCGCAGCTGCTGTTGCTGCTGCAGCAGGTCGACGAGGGAGACCGGGAGGACGTGGGGGAGCTGCGGGGACTGGGAGTGTTGCGGGGCGAGGGCGTCGACGGGGTGGACGAGCCAGCGGCCGTGCACCAGTGCGCCTGGTAGCACGAGTAAATCGAGGGCGAGTCGCTAGAGGCCGCGCCCTGCGAGCTCGAGGACGAGCCCTTTTTGTTGTCGTGGTGGTGGTGGTGGCGATGATGATGATGATGATCATCGGACTGATGATGGTGGTGGTGGTGGTGGTGGTGGTGATGGTGGTGATGACCGGTTGCGGACGACGAAGGAGGGGATGGTGGATGCTGGGAGGGTGGCTGATGGCTGCGCTGATGATGTTGCTGACCTAGGCAGGCGTGCAGCTCTGCGGGCGGCTCTTGCGACCTGTCCGCCGTGTCCCTCCAGTGCCTCTGCTGCTGGTCCTTGCCCAGGGCCGCCGCAGGCTTGCACGACGGGGTGACGGGCGTGTTGGGCGGGGTGTCCGGACCCCCCTCGGGACTCTCGGCATCGCCGTCCACTGACGTCAGACCTAGCCATTCATACAGCCCAGTCCCAATTCTCCAGAGCGACTTTTTTCATTTCATTTTTTTTTTTTTTTTNTTTTTTCTTTTTTTTTTTTTTTTTTTTTTTTTTTATTTACGAGAGCGTCTCGCTCAATCTAGTTTTTATACATGTATATATATATAATGTGTATTGCGTCCTACGCCAAAAGCCTAACGACAACGCTGATGCGACGAAACTCAACGAAAACAAAGTATTATGTGTGGATACATAAACTCAACGGGATTCACCTCTGCGCCTCAGAGTATTTAATTTTCTGCCGTACTTGAACTTATATACTCATACAATTATCGACACCTTGATCCGTAATAAATAATAAATCGCAATCATCGACATATTTTTGTTATTTCTTTTACCATGTCACCGTCACCAGCATAAACACGGTTGTCCGAGTCCAAGCATCGACCCGTGTTTCCCACATAAAATCGTCTTCAATTAAATACTCTGATCTCAAAGAAGTAACCAATAACAAAATAAGCAAATAAGGAAAAATAACAACAGAAAAAAAAACAACGTAGAAATCAATGAGGAACGGACGGGGGAGGGATGGATTGAAAATCATAAAAAAAAAAAAAAAACCAGATAGCAAATAAAATTGTTCCATTATGGCGCAATAAATGTAATCAGCAAAAAATAAACGGAATCGATGAAGGACGTACGTATGTGTGAAATGGATAACTAAATGTAAAATCCGGCGCGAAAAATCGAGAAATAAGGAATGAAACCAAACAACGACAGAAAGAAAGTGGGATACGTGGGTACGGAACGTAAAATTGTGAGAGAAAATCAAATAAATATAGGTAAATAAAAAACCTATGCAGTGACTAATCGGAGCTTGGTGACCACAGTAACCCAAGCAACTCCTTGCGTTGTCCACTTATTGTACTCATGTTGTATTTTAAACATTACTTAGATAATGTTATTCTTATTATTCATGTTACTATCTTCATTACAAAACATTCATGTAATCGACACAATTATTATTATTATTATCATCTTATCATTTCGTTACGTATAATCGTATCGTTATAATTTTGCACAGTTTCATGGAGTTTTATTGTATCACAATTATTATTATTATTATCATCTTATCATTTCGTTACGTATAATCGTATCGTTATAATTTTGCACAGTTTCATGGAGTTTTATTGTATCACAATTATTATTATTATTTTTTTTTTTTTTTCGTTTTTTGTGTGCAATGCAAGTTTCAAATCAAATCGAAAATCAAGCACTTGACTTGCGTGTATGGTATACACAATTTGATTGATTTAACGAAGCTGCAAGTACAATTCACCTGATGTATATAGTATATTTTATATACCCCTGCTTTATCGTAAAGTAGCACATTGCACAAATGCCTGATTATATATCATGTAGGTATATAATTCCACAAGTCATATTTTTCTTTTTTTTTTTTTTTTTGTATGTAATTTGTTATAGGCAGTGCACGTGTATGAGCATTTGTTAGTTCAAACAATGAGTTAGGTACAGGGAGAAGGGTTAATGTGGTCCAAATAAAAATAAAGCAAGCAAAGCAACACTACAAATACGTCAATTGGGGGAGATAAGAGAAAAAAAAAAACAATCAATTTTCAACTAAAACAAAAAGCCAGCTTATACACTTTACATTCAACTACTTGACACGGCGTACTCAATTGCGATGTAACATTCGGTTACGGCATCTTGAGATCTTTTTTCCCCCATACCTAACTTTTTTTTTTTTTTTATGTTTTGTTCGATTGGATATTGTTTAAAAATTGAAAAATTCCCGTTGCTCACGTGATTTTCGAGTACGCCGCGCCATAATTGTCATTTATCAAGTATCTATTTTTACAAATATGTCAATGAAAACCTGTTCTTTTAATTCTTAACGTATCCGATTCCGTTCGTTACATGAAATATCACAATGACAATAATTAATTATATCACAGAACGAAAAAAATCACGTACTTTTACATTGATTTTGTGCTCACATTTCATAAGTTTAAAAACGAAAGTACTTAAGCTAACGCCATGTATTTTAAATATTGACTAATTAGTATACCGCAATAAAAAAAAATCATGTGAAATTTTTATTACATAAAATACCCAAAAACTTTTAAATGGTCATAAATAGACGCCAAACGCATTCAAAATTCAAGGTCACTTCGTATAAAGTACCAAACTTCTTGAAAATAAAACAACCTATGGACATTTGTGAAAATCATCGAGAAGGAGAATTTGACTTATAAATGAAAACTTCAAGTCGAAATTTCATGTTGAAATGGTTTTTTTGTATGTGATTAGATACTTGTATGAATATGTATGGAAAAATGAGGTTTTCTAATGTAGAAAATTTTTATGTTTCGAATGTCACGTGAATTTCACTTTTGACGAAATTTTTTCAAGTGAAAAATTAATTATGTATCATGACAAGTAAGTAAGAATAATGTTTAAGTGCTTATTAAAATGGTACTATGAAAGACACTTACAAAATGTGAGCAATATTAGTTAATGTAATGATTGCATTGTAGTTTTATCGATAATATTGTTTAATATTGAAAAGAAAAATTGTTTAAAATAAACTAAAATTCATTCTAATGTTCCTAGAATATACTTTTAATACATAAAATTAAAAGTACTTAAAATAAATAGACGTACTTTTATTAAAAAAGTGAAAAAATAAAAAAAATGTTATTTACATTAGTGTATGTTTTGTGTTGTGTTTAGTATTGTCTGTTGTCAATACATATTATTGGTGGGTGAATAAATAAATAAAAAAAATTGGGACACCATACACTAAATACTATTTAGGGTGAGAGAATTAAATTACTTGTAGAACCTAATCAAAGAATCGAAACTGAGATGCGTTGCATCTTGCGTGCAGTGATTATGGAAAATAAATAGATTTAATTCTCTCAGAATTATAAGAGCCAATACTCAAAACATACAAGTAGAAGAATAAATAAATTAATTAAAAAGCAACATATTAGTGAATACTGTACTTACTATTATTGGCCATTAAATTTTCGTGTAGCTTATCTCTTTGATCTTCCAAAACTTCACCCAAATACGTAGCCACCTTGCGCGTCACTTGTTCAACATAAGTGTCAAGTTTTCCAAGATCATCTGACAGTCCTACCAGCTGATCTAAAGTGCCCACTTTTAGATCAGGTATGTGAAACTTATAATTCACTGACAAAGAATTTTGCTTGGAAGTCAGATTGTTCATCGTCTCCCATGTTTGTTGGCAAGTTTCGTCGCCTGGGGCAGATATCAACCAGTATTCCGTCATCTTGAACTTGTTTTATCAAACTTCTGCAATGCTGGAAATATAAAAATTAAATAAAAAATTTCTTTCATTGTCCACTGCGTCGATAAATACCAAGAATGAAAATATACAAGTGGGAGGTTGATGTATAACTAGAGAGAAAATACTTTTGACAAATACAAATGTCACAAATTACTGATTGATTACCAAACATTTCAATCGATCAAATTCCTCAAGATAAACATTACAAGGCTGCAGTGAACTCTGTTCATACAAACATTGTCCAATTGAAAATTACCGATTATTCCAAATCGTCCCCCATGAGTATCAAAGAGGATGTTGCAAATGTTTCTGGCTAATATAAGATGTTGTCATGAGTAACAAACGTCACTGTGACGAGGAGGATAGAAGACGTACACTATAGAGGTGCGTGGTCAAGCTGAGGGGGGTTGAAAGCAGGGAGATGGGGGATGAGTTCCAGCAAGTGCTGAGAACAGCCGGAGGTGTGGCAAACTTCTGGCGAGCTTATTCCTCGTGAATAATTACATAACGTATGTGATTGCACGTGACTGAGCACACAGTGGTATATAATACGCGAAAAGACGATGACAGAAGAGAAAGAGAGAGAGCCCGAAAATATAGACTGTCAGAGAATAATAAAGATGTAGATGCATGCACACTGCAGCATGCAGCAACGCACTGGCGATCGACGTCGCGCCGAGCCACTTGGAATATTACGAGGGGAGAAGCAAGGAGACGGTCGTCCTTGGGAGGCGAGTTGGCCGAAAATCAATATCGAAGGAGGAGACGGCGCCAAGGGAGCGGCCATTTTATCGTCTGCGAATGGGGCTGAGGAGGGTGAGGGTGGGCGTATATGCATTAATAATAAGGTACACCTACCTGCTGGCAGCTATGTGGCCGTGGAGGAGAGCTGCTGCTGCTGTCCTGTTTTGGAGCAGCAGGTCAGCTGATTAGCTGGACTCAGGCGAGCGAGTTTCAGCAGCAGCAACAACAACAACAAAAACAGGGACAGCCGAGCAGCATTGCTCGGGTGACCGGAAGGCGATCGAGGAGATGCTTGCCAGCTATGTTATAGGTACTCAACAGCAGCGGTGGCGGCTGGCGGGCAGGCAGCGGCTGCAAGCATCAAGCGCGAGCGAGTACGTTTATTAGCTCGCTCACGTGACGGCGACGAGGAGGAGAGCCAAGAGTTGATATACTATATACCAAGCGGCACTCGGTGCCCCCGGTAATGCTGCGACGTTCGGCGACAACGGCGCGTGAGTTCGACGACGATGATGCGGCCCTGCCTGCGCGCACCCGCTACCTCTAATGTAATCTATAAGACTACTTGTGTGTGCCGTCTGCTGCTTGTGCGTCGTCGTTCGTCGTCGGCTCTGCTCCGGTCACTTGACCAAGTCAGCTGCTCTGTGAGCTTCAAGACTGCCAATGAAACGACACTTAACCGTCTTTGGTGGATCGGCGTTGCCGTGTACATGGTGTGATGATTTGGACGTCTATAACGAATTTTTTGGATTAAAATTAAATTGCACAAATATTAGAGGTTCGAGTGCTCGGTCGAGTGTTTGTTAACAGGGATCACCGATCCTCGTTGAACAGGTTTATCTATTTTGGTAGTGGCAGCAGTGGATATTGTGTTCCAAAACTCATCACTTTCCGCCACATCTTTCAGTGCCAGAGCAAAAAAGAAAAGCAGTGACTGCGATTCAATTTGTTAGACAAGGATATACCTAAACTGTGTGTTTTTCCAGCTAACCATATTTCGGAAATTTGGAGCATATATATATTATACACCTATCTCAAAGAGAGAGACCTGGACCAACACCAATTATACTTATCGTATTCAACTGAACTGTCAAATAAGTAAGTAAGTACTCAAATAGCTCAACTGTAAAATAAGTTGGTGTGCGTCAGTGTCTTACTCACAATCAGCAGTTTTTTTGGTAAAAGTGTAGTATACGATAATACTTAATCGGGCGTGAAATTCGTCATTCGTCAACTGTAACAAAACATTCAAGTACACGTACAATATCCACAGCTTTCATTCTTAGATTGATTGCGTGCTGCATTCCTTTGAAATTGTAATTCTGTAATTCGTACACGGTTTATATTTATTTATTTACGTTCTTGCAACATTAAAGTATTAGGTAAAATCGTTTAGCCTCGCAAGTATCATCTTTTTTTTTACGTTCAATCTAACAAGTGAGGTTAAACAGGCAATCAATATTTTTTCAATGATTAATTTGTCCAACAACATTTTCTTTCTAGCCTGAATTAGTTTATCATGGGATGCGATGGTGGTACAATTCCAAGACGAGACGAGCTTGTCAGAGTCAAGAAGAAGCCAGAAAAGGTACTTGCAGTTTGTTGTCTTTTTTCTTCTTTCATTATTGAATTAGTATAACCTATTATGAAGATTAAGTATTTGTAATTGAAGCAGTTTAATTATCATTATGCGCTAATCTACGTTGTTTGTTACAGAGAGATAAGGAAGCTGAGTTAGCGTACCGCTGGAAACATTGCTCAATTCGACAATTACCTTTACAAGCGCCAATTGTAGCATGCGGATTTGGTCGACTGTACAGTAAAGAATCGGTACTCGAAGGACTGTTGGATCGTTCTGTTCTTCCCGAATCTGCTGAACATATTAAAAATTTGAAAGACGTGAAAAACTTGAATTTGACTGCTAATCCAGCCTACGAGGGTGACAAAATTAAAAATGGTGGATACATTGATGATGGAAAGAGCTCTTTTATTTGTCCAGTCACAGGATTGGAAATGAATGGAAAATACAAGTTTTGCTTCTTGTGGAATTGTGGATGTGTCATGAGTGAACGAGCATTAAAAGAAATCAAGTCGTTTGTAAGTTTCTTTATGTTTTTCCATTCATGGAGCCTACATTATTTTTTATGAGTTGTATGTAAAATTTTTTTAACTGTTCATATTCTTTGAATTTATTTCAGACTTGTCACAAGTGTCAAAAACCTTTCACAGATACAGATATAGTTATTTTGAATGCCCAAGAGGATGATTTAAAAACTATGCAAGAAAATATTGTAATACGTAAAGCTGAACGAAAAAGTAAGAAACGACAGAATGAAGTTGTAAGTACAGATAATGGTACAGAAAAAGATGAAAGTTCAAGCAAAAAGATCAAGAAAGAAAAACAAGACATACCTAATAAAGTAATAAAGAAAGATGTACAAGACCCAGCATACAAAAAAGCTAAAGATGACTACAGCGTGGCTCAAGATCCAAAAGCTTCTGAAGTTTTGAAAAGTATATTTACAACGCACAAAAGCGCTTCAGAACAAACCAGGGCTCACTGGGTAACATACAATCCTTTTTACAATTAGGATAACAAAATTCAATTCAAATTCGATTATATTGGTATAAATATTGGTGTATTTAATTTAATGTAAGTCATACAAAATTATAAAAATTTCATAGGTAGTTTTAGAGTAAACATACAGTTGGGTCGTTAAAATAATGTTTATTTAGGGTAACATTAAATTAATTTTGTAATCAAACCATTGACTTACCGAGATGGACGATTTTATTTGTAATTCTGAGTAAATAAAGTATTTATCACAAAGAATTGACTACTAGATGTATGTACAATTATTGTTATTTATTTGCATCGCACTTAGGACCTTTTGCGAACAAGTTCCATAAAGTTGTGTATACAAAATGAATATTTGATACTTTTAAAATTCAAAAAGGCACACAGCAAAAGATTTGGCTATAATTTTTTTTTAGTGCACTATTTTATGCTTTGGCACAATCATTATCGAAATTAGCTTTAAGCATTTTAACGTAACAGTACTTCCATTTCACTACCACGGAGTATTAAGGATTGTTATGGGTCCATTCAAGTTTTTGGAAAAATATTTTATCGTTATATTTTAGGCACTCGTATCGTAATTACTTGCATCACTCTTTGTAATCTACCAATTGTTCTGTTACGTCTGAGTCGATTTATTGCTGTACAGCAATGCCACTTATTAATTACTAAAATGAGTGCAACTAGTATCATTACAATACATATGTAACTTAAATAACCAAATTTCTTCTGATATAAACTATCTTCACTATCATTGTCGTGTTGGTTGATGATTTTGTCGTAAGGAATTATAGTAACGATTTTTATTTTGTTTCGCTTATGATTCCAAAGTGGATCTGAATCTTGAAATGTTGGAACTGCCACTAATAATGAATTTCCTGATGATGGCAATTTTTGGGTTTTGTACAAGGTTCTGAAAATATCATAGCATGTATGGTGAAAAGTTTCATAAATCTTGTTTCACTATAATTTTATTGTTGTTAGACTTTTGTGTAATATTTATTTATATATTTTTCACTTTTAAATAAGCCCTTGCAATTTGCAATTTAAGTGTGAGTTAAAGTGAAATGTAAAATTATTAAGCACTTACTCTGGAGCAGATTGATTTAATGATGCACGTGTCGCCGGCACCGAAATAGGACAAGAAGGAAGAGGACGTTTGGTTGAGCCTGAAAGTTCCAGCACTTTGCTATGACGATTTAAATTACTGTCAATCATTCGCTTGGGAAACTCAACCAAATCTAAATTAATGAAATTTTTTTTTCCTTTAATGCGATCTTCTTCTTCCGCAAACACTGACGGTATTTTTCCAGTTGTGGCGAATTCCAAAAAAGCATCCAACATCCAAAAACATGCTAGATAATTTTAATACAGATAAAATGAGCAGTAGAGAATAAAAGTTGTATCAGTTAATGGAAAAAAAACAGTTACGCTTATGGGGGTGATTGTCATCAATGCAGTTTGAATCTCCATAAATAACAATGCGACCGGTATTGTTGGATCTGGTTACTTTTCGTTCCTTATCAACGCTTCCGGAATCACCAACTTGAAGGAATCCGAGAATCGGCACATACAAAGATTTTTTCTCTTCAGTTTCTTTTAGTAATTCTTGGCCTTGGTCTCGCAATTCTGCATGCATGATGAAACCTTTTTTAGGAAAGCTGAAACGACAAGCTCTTTTAATGACATGATAAATTGATAATAAAAATTATCTAGAATAAATAGAAAAAAGGCATGAAAGAACACAGCAACAAGAAAATGTCTCACTGGGTAATAATAGTGCCAGATGCGTAAGTGACGGTAGGGTGCTGTCCTAAAGTAAACTGACCATCTCTAACACTGTCACCAAGAGCGATGCCCCAGCTATCATATAGCAAATCGTTTAAGGCTGGAACGTTTGCTCCTCCTGTATCCGGTACCCACCACTGCCGAGTATTTTCATCGTAAAACTTTACCTTGCGCATTACTGTTGTGTTATACCAATCCGCAAACACCACTAGAGCCAGTCCTTCCTCTTCTACATCTTTTTTTAATTTTGTTATCTATAGAATAATCAATTAATTAAATTATTTCCAGTTAATCATTCGAGATCTTGATAGAAATGATAACGATAGTCTACCTCGTCTGGAAAGTATTCTTCCTCGGCATCTACAAGCAAGAGAGTTCCATAGTTGCGAGCATCGAAACATGTAAAGGGTGTTCCCAACACTTCCACGTAGTAACCAGCATTGCGCAAATGCTGGTACATATCTTTGAAATTTGTATGTATATGATCTCCATTCCAGTCAAGGGGATCTTTTTTGGCTTTTAAATCATCCCGCGGTAAATACCCAGGAGGATACCTCAAGTTATGGTACTGGTCCCACAATATTCGCTTACTAAAAAAAAAAAAGTAATTTATACTCGGATAAAACAACAAATTTCACATCAGCTTAGCTACAATTTCAATTTACTGTCGAGGAGGTGTAGGTATAATTTTGGCTTTCACTGGTAACTGAATTTTCGAGCGTCTGGCTTCTTTCTCTCCATATCCGGGAGGAGATTCTACCGTTAGTGTTATTAAGCCTGAGAAATGTAATATTTTTTGTGAAACGGTATTTTAATGAACCCAAAGCGTCTGGAGTCTTTGTTTAAATAATATAAGGCAACAATGTTAAGAGAAACACTATTTTCTTACCTTGGGATATGCCTTCCCAGTTTTTTGAAGACGCTGGTACGGTAACTGCTACTGCTAACCAGCCTGACCAAGGCCACAAAATGTCTGAATGCGTCAAGGAAACGTCAATGTGTTCGCCATTAGACTGAGTGTATGGATGCCAAGTTAACTCGGTAACACGTCCAGAAACACCCAATCCATTTAATATGGTGACATTAACAATAATTGGCATACCAGAATAATATATCGCCTGTGTACAATATGGCCACATGTACTGAATTTCCGTTAAATCTATGTAACTAGAGAAAAAATATCATTTTCGCGTTTCACTTTCTAAGCAACGTAAATAGCTGCACGATCGGTCTTATCATTACCTTGGACTCAGAGTGGCGACTGGTGTGTAAGACTGTAAGTATTGGAATGCTGCAACAAGATCTAAACGACCAGCTCCTTGTTCAAACATGCCGATGCGAGGTAGGCGATATGCTGAGCTTATAAGTGCTTGCTTCATACTTGCTGGAGTTATCTTGAAAGATACAATTTGAAGCTCAATCATAAAGGAATTTCAGAATTGCCTACTTTAATGAATAAAAAATAAGGAAAGTATAAATTGAAAAAAAATTACTTTTGAGGAAATTTAAAAGTTTGAGTTAATTTTTTTTTGTAACTATCAAGGAACGTTATGACTATTCCAGCATACCTTTGGTTTTAAATTCATCGAATCATTCACATTAATAAAGCCACTAGCCAATAAAGCTACCGCTCCAGCAACGACTGGGCTTGCAACAGAAGTGCCAGATAGCGTTCTACAACTACTCTTTAAAGCGGACCCACGAACTCCAGACCCATATGTAACAAGATCTGGTTTCAACCTTCCATATCCTGCAGGCAATTCCCATGTAGTCATTCCACGAGAAGAAAACTTTGCAATTTGATCTTCCCAATTTATACCACCAACACCAATCACGTCCATTTGATCAGCAGGATTATTTAGTGTACTGAAAATCAATGTATAAATTGTGAATCGATATCATTTTGAAGATTTTGTGATTTTTTGCGAGAAAAAATTTAATAATTACCCATAAAGGGGTCCATCATTGCCAATTGCAGAAACCATGATAACACCATTAGCAGTAAGTTCCCAAACTTTGTCAACAAAAGGCTGATCCATAAAATCAGGTCCTCCTATACTGAGGTTCAGGACTGTCATTTTTGTAAGTATTGCATAATTAAATGCGTCAAGAAACCAGGAAGTGTATGAAACCTGGTTAACAATGTATGATGTATACAAAACCTTATTAGTTTTTAGAAACCTAAACACTTAAATTATGATTCAAATTCAAACTATACTTGATCATTGGTGAACACGCGAAATATGTAAAGTTCAGCATCTGGAGCAAAGCCTAGACATTCCTTGGAAGAAGATGCAATCACTCCTGCTACAAAAGTCCCATGACCCAATCCATCTTCAAGAGTTTTTTCGTTGGTCCAATTGGTACGTTCTTTAATTTTTTTGAAATGTGGATGACTTGCAGCCAATCCTGTGTCAAATATCGCTACCTAAATATAATGATCATTATTAGTTTATTCATCTCTTACTTGTTTAATTACTTATTTTTTCATCACCTTGACACCTTGACCAGTAACACCCAGTTTCCAGAGTTGTTCAGCTTGTAATATGTTTGTGATTTGTTTAGGAATAGCACGTAATATTTTCCTGAATCCATATTGGCGATTTTGTGAGAATGAATTTTCCTGAAAGTATTTGCATAGCTTAAAAAAAAATCAAGTGGAATAAGAAATACAATAAAATAAAAGAAATTTTACGATGTTAATAGTTTTCTTTGTAAATCTTTGGTTTTCTGGCAGATTCCAATTTTCATCATTTGAATACTTTAAGGTTCTATATAAAACTTTATGTAGAGTTACTCTGTGAACCAAAGGGTGATTCCTTAAAGCATCAAAACCAGTTTTCTTATGGAATTCTTTGATTCTAACAATATCAAAATCACTTGGATATTTGGTAGCAAAATTATTTCTTGATAAAATTTCCCAATCTTTTAATCCAGAATGAGTAAGAGCACTTTTTATGTACTTTTCACGAGTCTCCTTTTCATAGTAACCCTTAAAAACTACGATGTATTCATTATCAATGACTTGAGAAGAAAATTCAACTTTAACACTTTGAGATGATTCAGAAGAATTGTATGAGTTTTGACTATTGTCGGTGTCACAAAAAAAATTGCAAGATTTTTGAAAAAGTGGCTCCTTCAGTAACTTATGACTGATTCCTGTGATGCTACATAGCAATACCAAGAAAGAAATGTAGAGCCAATAAATTTTTGGCTTCTTCATACTGCAAAACCTTGGAAAACATAATACTGTGTCAGTAAAATAGGGGGAAAAAAGTGTGTACAAAATATCAACATGAAATAAAATGTGCTCAATAAAAAAATTATTGCAAGCTCAAAAAAACATCATTACCAGAGAAAAAGTTGATTCTCTTCTCACCTTCATATTGTTTGGACACGGCAATCGTCTTAACCTAAATTTCCGCGGCAAAGAGCTACTTGAGATGTTTCAACTCAAATTCAACTGAAATGCTCTAACTGTGACATTTTTGTTGCATACATTGGTAAAGCGATAAAATGTCAAGAGCTAAAAAATGTATAGCCGCAGGATTACTCTTGTTACGCTTTTGAAAGCTCGCACGCCAGATGACTCACTTAAACTCAGCATCAGCAGACGACAACAATATATGTTTAGAATTTGTGCGGCGCGCGGTAATTTTTGGCTTGTACAAGTCCAAATTCCAAATTAATATAGATGTAATATATATATACTAATAATAATTCATTCATTAGTGAATTTATTTAATTTATTAAAGTTTCGCAAATAATTTTCACGCATCGCATGTCACGGAGAGGCATTATTAATTGAGTATGTGTTTGATGTGATCGGTAAATCCGTAAACAACGGGGGACGATACTTAATTTTAAGATAATCATTTGTAGCAAAAAGTCGATGAATTAAAAAATTACATTCGCCAGCGTTTGATTTTATCTAGAAAAGAGATACAATAAGTCATATGTATAAGACTCTAGTTAATATATGTATTAAAATGTATAAGTATAATATAAATAGATAAAAAAATCTATCGATCGATACTTTATGAGCAAGAACAAGGAAAAAGAATTGATTCAAATAAATAACAAAACGTTGAAAAATTCAAGCGATTTAAAACAGCCCAAGAGCTACAATTTGTTGAATAATTTCAAAAAATATATTAATAATTGTATGGAATGCGATGCCCATACTCGTCGGTGAATAGAAGATTTTATTTATTTTGCCGTTTGGCCCTAAGCCCAATATTCACGGAGATACGGATGTTTAAAGTTTTGGATCACTTTCAATATGAAAATGCTCTCGTAATCCGATTAGTGTAGCAAACATGACGCAGCGTAAAGAAAAATTACACAAGTGTGCACACTAATTGAAACTGATAAGTATACCAGCAATGGCTATATCTATGTACGTCTATATTGCATATAATGAATAGTTGAACGGACGGAATAAAAAAAAATAATAAAACTAAATAAAATAATAAAAATTAAGCATCAAGTACTGAGATCGATTCCCAAGTAAATTACAAGTGAGGCGGTTTTTTATTTTTTCGAATGTACTTATCACTGTAAGTTACTGAGAATTAATTTTACTGGCTCCCAAAAAATATATTTACATTCTTCATACAATATTCTGCAGTTATCGTGTAAAAATGAAAAATTGCAAACAGGAAACGACAAAAAAAAAACACATTGCAAATTGCCTGTCAGTTTCAAACGTCCAAACAAATGTATATTCGAAAGGAAAGAGTAAGTAGTCGATTCGGGAGTATTTGGACACTAATATTTTATGAGAAAAATTGTGGTCTGCCAAAAGTTGTGGCACTAAAAGCTACTTAATCTATCGATGTTGCGAAGTGAAAACCTAAACAAACGAAGAAAACGGCATTTTTGTGGAATTTGCGTTTGGCAAGAGCCTTTATTTGTATTTATTTGTACTTAAGTGGCACTTTGAAAAGTATAGTTGACGTTTCGAAACGCCGACTGTTGGAGCATTGAAAACGCGTTGTATTTTTAAAGTGCCGGTGTAAATATTAAAAAGCCATCAGACCGTTTTTTCACGAAAGTTATTTCAGAGTATCAAACAACAGCTTTGTCCAATGAATATACTATACGAAAAGAAGTAAACTTTCTTTAAATTGGCCGAGAAAATCTTCCTCTAGGCGTTATATTTTATACAAAAGTATATGTGCAAGGATCGCCCTATAAGAAAAATAATTTTCTTGATTTTGAGAACACGAGCGTGAAAAATGAGAAGATGGGTACTTTTATAATTTCGTTGAAGCAGTTAAATTTCAAATTTTGGACTGCCATGCGAGTATTATTAAGTAAAAACATCATACTTTTAACAACTCATACGTACAGTCCCAGTTAAAGTACGTAAAATCGGCATGATCGTTTTTACATTTGTATAAAGGTATACTGGGTATCACGAAACGCCACCATTAAATAGAGCAGTAAAAGTAGCGCGGGGGCTTATATTAGAGTCTGTAATAGAGAAGCAGAATGAAAAGAAAACCTATACAAGTTGCCATAGTAATGAAATTGTAAACAAGTGTGGATGGATGCAACCATTGAAATTCAAGTATATAGATACCTACCTACCATTTAGTCACCTGCTATCACCGATAAATGAGCAGAAGTATATGTATAGATTGCTGGCTTTTTTTTTGCGTAGCTGAAAACAATCATTAATCGGCATATTTTATCTCTGTTATCGTCATGCGCACCTTTTTTCGTACAAGCTGAGTCAGGTAAGTGACATTCAGCATCATCATTCATGTTTCACTGTAATTTTTATGCCATTGACTAGCAATGATACACCTCATGGGTTGTAACTCAATTTTTGTTGAATGATATTTTATCAATTAAAGAAACAATAACACTGTTTCCGGATAGTGAAAAGACCACCTCAATATATCTGCACCAAAAATAAAAAGCCAGATGTTTAAAAAGTATTTTAATTTTAGTTACGTGAAATACTTCATTTTTGTGTCATTTCCTGATTGTCTTTCTATCGATTATTAAAAAAAAAAAAAAAAGGTGTCTTCGTTTAGTTTGTCTGTCAATATAAATTATTTTCATACCATCATTTGAAATGAGGATAATTTTTTATTGCAAATAAAATACTAAAATAACATACCACAGGCAGTTTTTATTTCATCAAGTATTTAATAAAACTATGATTCTTTCTATTAGAGCTTAATTAGTATAAATAATTACAAATAATATCAAATACTAACAAAGTACATGAGTTTGTTGGCATTATCAAGATTAATAGTTATATATATGTATAGTAAGTTCAACAAATTAAAAGTTTTAAAAATTAAAGGTCGTCAAACGACAATACTTAAATCATTACATAACATGTGAATTTTAAATGAGTTAACACTATCCATCACACATTCTGTTATAACATATGTACACAATACTCTCTCAATATAGAGTCTGAACTGATTAAGGCTCCTGGCTGATTGCAAGTATTTTTCTGCAATGTACAACATTTTTACTTTTCGTACTACACGTTTCCTTGAATACTTTTTACTTTTTTACTCTTGGCTCTATAATGCTATGCCAAATATTATGAGAAAAACGAATGGACGTACATATTGATGTCAATGTAACGTAATTGTTTTATTTTAAAAAAATTATATGAAATTACTCGAAACTAGTGATATTGTGCAAGTAGTTTTATGCAGGTTTGTACGGTAAAAAATGTGAAGATTGAAAAAAACTTTTGAAAAAAGATTATCAAAAATCAAATAATAAACATTTTACAGGATAAATCTGTTATTGGATAAATAATTAAACGTATATGTACAAATGTTTCTTAAATAGTTATAGTAGCATAGAGTGTTAACAAATTCTACTCGTGACTTAGCACGATAAATCTCGTATCTGAGAGTGCCTTTATACTTAATTTTGAAGTAAGATTTTTTATAGGCACGAAAAATGATTTATTTCTTTGTAGTTTTTTTTTTTATTCTTCATTTGTATTAAATGCACAATTCCACTGGCCATTTTGTAGACTAACAGGGTACTTGCGAATCCCCAGACAGTTTGGTTTTAAAAAATTACAAAATCAAACCTGTACCAAGGCAGTATGTACACAAGTGTTACAGTGGACACTGAATTCATGGATAAAAAATTCAGTGAACATACGCCAGCTTTTGTGCCACAACACCTCTCGCTCTAGTGTATTTGTGCAGCTAAACCGTTTTTCTCTGGAGAGAGAGAAAAAGAAACAGTCACATCATTATCCCTCATAAACAGACAAATTGACTATTGACTCTTGAGCTCCTTGCCAATACTGTAAGACACAATTTTGTTCCAGTCAATTTTGGTTCTCATGACTGGCAATTGTCGGCGCAGTGCCTTGAACGTCGTGTCCGACATCGTCTGGTAATTTGCCGAGATGGCAGTCTGATAGTCGTTTTCCGACTCGAGAACAAGGCGTATCAATTCTTTAGCCGTCTGCTTTTCAGAGGATATCGACAGGCTCTCCTTGACCTCTTTGCTGCTCACGAGCTGGACGTTACCGTCTTCGTAGTAATGAACCTGCACCTTGAGGCTACCCTTTAACTCGGCAACGCCAGAGCTCGTGCTGAAGTTGACCGTCCATACGGAGCGCCAGCGACCGTTCCAAAAGTTTTTCGGCTGAAACTGGTGATCCTCTATGCAAGCCGTCAGGGTAATGTTGTCTGCCAGAAGAAAAGAACCACAAGTAAATCACTAGCAACAACAACAGTGAGCCCGAGCAGTGTGGTAAGTGCACCACTCACTTAAACGACTAAACACGAAACAAAACAAAACAAAAGAAAATAGTTACAACAACCCACCTGCTGACTGGCTCTTGCCGAAGACGGAGCAGGCCCCGTGCCGGTAGTGGTTCTGCGTGTAAGCAAATATTTCGTCCTGGAGGGCCAGCCTCCAGGGTTCAGCTGTCACGTCTGGCTCGTAGGGCTCATAGTCCTGTGCCTCCTTCCTCAAATGGTCGTACTTGAAGGACTGCTTGCTCCGGGGATCGTAGAACCTCTGGTTGCCCAGATCGTTGTACTCGGTTATGAGGACGGGCCACTCGCTGCCTTCGATCTATGAAAAACGACAATAACAATAACAACAATGGCAACTAATAAATGCAGTTATAGGTTTAGGCTATATTGTATATGTATGTAAGTGTACAGTCATCGCGAACGGTACTTAAAAAAATATAGATAGGTATATGTGAGTAAACAGGCGGAGGTGTGAGGGGGCGGAGGAGAAATGGGTGACGATGATGATAACGATATGATATGGTTACCCCGTATACCTTGGCGGATATGAGCTGGTCCTTGTTGTACTGGGCAAAGGCCGCGGAGGCGTCCTCCTTGAGGAGGGTGTCGTTGTTGAGGAGTACCCGGACATCGTTGAAGACCTCGTTGAACTCGCCCGGTGGCGAGTGCTGGATAAAGTCCGAGACGATCCGGACCTTCTCCTGGTCGGAAACCACGACTGTGTCCGCCATGTTGCGACCGTGTCGTCTGAATCAGTCTGATATGTCAGCTAAAGCTGCGACGAGCAACAAGCGGAGCGCCGAGCGCGAGGAGAGCACTAGGTATTTTAATAATAATAAGGAGCGGCGGCGGTGGCGGCGGCGGAGATAGCAGTAGCCTAAATGTGTATAGGCAGTGCTCGGCTCTCCTCGGCTCTCCTCGGCAATGTAAACTCTCCCTTCTTTTTCCTTTTACCTCTCTTCCACACACACACACATCAGCGACTGTAATATATATATATATATATATATATATGTGTGCTCCAGCACTCGACCGGGAAATAATCCGAGCTTTTCTCCTTTTTGAATTGCAGTTTGGACATTGCGAGGATTGTGACAGGTGGGCAGGTGAAGGTAGAGCCCACCACCGCAGCCATGGGGGAATCCGGCGAGGAGCTGCAGGCGAGCAGGGAGACAACCTTCCTGGGGCCCGCGAGCTTCCTCATCTCGTGTTCCTGCGACATAGGTTATTACAAAACGCAATTTACCTACTTATTCGTTATTTTTTTTTGTTTTTCCATTAGACATATACATTGTTAACAAGAAATCCAAAATAAAAAAGCACGTGGTGGTAACGCCGATTGGTTATAGATCCAAGGGAGCGGCTGGTCGTGTCGAAGCTCGAGCGCAGCGACCTCGAGGACCGGTACCTGCGTCTGCTGGAGCAGGCCCAAGCGCTCAAGAAGCTATCCAACAGCCAAGAGGACAAGATCAAGCGGCTCGCGACGAAACTCATGAGGTTCGGCGCGAGTCCGGCGGGGCGGCCGTCCAGCTGCGGAGCCAGGTTCGACGTATGCGACGGGCGGGACAGGCTCTCCCTCCTCGAGGCCGAAAATTCAAAGGTCGGTCGCGCACACGACTTTTGTTTTTTCATTAATTTCCTTACTAATGTCACTAATGCTTTGTCTCAAAACAAATATCGGAAAAGTGCCTAAATACAAGTATCTCAGAAATGTTTTTTCTTTTCATACATATTGTCATACATGTATTTGCTACTATATATGAAATTTCTCCGATGACATTTTTTTTGTTTTGTTAAACCATACAAAGTTGCAATACAACAAATAAGTACACCTCGCAGTGTCACTTTTAAATGCCAGGACTATTCGCGGATAAAGAATCAAAGAATTTTTAATCTCGGATACATCTCACTGTTTTTCCCCAGTAAATTCGATAAGTATAGGGCATTCAGTTGCCGAATCGTACAAAATAATATCTCCCTCGAATTTTCAGCTGAGGAGTAAAGTCTGCCTCCTTAGAAATCAGCTGATGAACCAGAAGATATTTGCGGGCTCGCCGTCGTCTCGGCAGGCGCGCCGAGCCTCGCTGCCTCTCGCCTCCACGTCCGGACCTGCGTACGTCACATCATACATCCACGTAAAAAAGCGTCTCGCACTCTCGTACCGACCCAACGAATACAATCGAAGCAACAATTATCGTTGCACCCGCGTTAACAAACACTTCAAGACAGAGTTTTAAATAACATATCTGTCCTCGTATATAAATACGTCTTGCTCACGGTACGCGAGTGTACAACATATGGTTTGCGGTGCACTTGAGCATTTTTAGTTACAGGACCTGTCGGAGCGACACCAGCCGGCTGAAAGCAGTGGCACCAGCACCACCGGGTACTGGGCCGGTATCGTCCTGCCGGTGTGGGAGCGCGCGGGCCGCATCGACGATCGCCGACGAGAACGACCTGCAAAACTACTCGCTGAAAATACAAGTAATATTTCGTCGGTCATTCCGATACAAGCGGGAGGGAGTACACAATATGTATAATATGTACACGCGTGGACTTTAAACTGCGAATGCCGCAGGACATGGAGGTCGAGAAGAGGGAGCTGCTGACGCGCATCGCCGAGCTCGAGCTCGAGTTGGCGGGCCTGACCTCGGGGAATCGGCGCGAGAGGGTGGCCGAGAACGTCGAGCACATACGGCTCTGGCGGCAGATGAAGCGCCAAGGGGAGAAACTCGCGGCCGCCCTGGCTGCCAACGAGGTGCTCGGCAAGCAGGTCTCCCAGCTCAAGCGCAACCTCGACGACAGCTCCAAGTGAGTATATTGTACCTATTGTACGCCTGTGCCGATCGGGAGACTTTTGTATGGAGGGAAAACAAAAAAAAAAAAAAAAAACAGGAGCAGGGATCGGGTGAGCGCGGCTCTGGCAGCCGAGAGGAGCCAGCTGGCCGAGCGGGACGCGAGCACGACGAGGCTGGAGGAGTCGGAGCTTCACCTGCGCGAGCGGGACGACAGGATAGCCGATCTCGTGAAGGAGGTCGGGATCCTCCAGCAGCACAATCGCGAGCTGCTCGAGCTTAGCTCCAAGTTCGCCAAGGTCGAGCGGGAGAACGCCGACCTGAAGCGCAAGGTGGCCGAGCAGCTGGCTGATCACCAGGCGCTCAGGGACGTCCTCAGCCACGAGAAGGCGGGCGCGGACGCTCTGCAGGCGGCCAACGACCAATTGCTCGTCAAGCTGCACGATCTGCAGAAAAACATCGACCTCATGACCATACAGCTCATGGTGAGTCCGACAACTGCCGCGTTTCATCATGCACCCTTGATAGTATACCTATTTTTTGTACCACGTATAGGAAAAAACGGGGCGAATTTTTACACCGTACAACATTTTAAGAACATTTCTGATGGATCAATTGACATAAGATAATCTTGGATGTGTATCCACCCGTAATGTTTTTACAGCAATATTAAAAACCACTCGTACTTAAGCTATTTTTTGTCTCACAGCATTAAGTAACGGTTAATATTTATATTGACGATTCATGACATTTATCGATACATGTAACCCGGACACCACTGAAAAAGTCTTCTATACCTGCAAAAGTTCGCCTTATTTTCCCTTACGGAGCACAACTGATTTTGTACTTGGAATAGAAATACGTCCTCGAACATTCAAGAGTATTGGGAATAAATGCCCCGTAGTATGGGACCGTGTCCCACGTTTTTCCAAATAATCTGAAATCTAAAGAGCAAACGACACTGGTGACCGATTCACTGCAATCTTTGCACCCATTTGGTGTGTACTTGTCATGTAATGTAACAAATACACGACGATTGCGCGAAAATTGCACGAAAATCGGCGTTGGACCGGTATTCCCGATACTCTCGATTAGCCGGACGGTAGCCGAACAATCGACTCCTGGTGAAACGTAGTCCGTGGAATTCTGTTACCTAGGCGCAAAATGAAAAGTGCAACAGGGCGGCGATGTCGAGAAAACCGGGCAAGAGAGCGAGCAACGAGTCGATCGAGGAGCCGGCCCCGGACCCGACCAAGAAATCGGCCCCATCGGGCGACAGGGCCGAGGCTCCCAAACCCACGAGGCTCGGAGGGGAGGAAAAAGGTATTCAAACGAGCGACACGGCGCGCCAGTCGAAAAGCACAGAGAGCCAAACTGACCGGCCGATTATGCCAATTAGCGCGACTAAATTGAGCGACGAGGGTAGGAGCGCCAACACCGACGACGTCGAGAACAACAACATCCGTAAGGGCAACGGTAGGAGCAGCTTGTCCCGCGAGGGGATGCTCAAGCTACTGGAGCAAGTGCAGATCAGCACACCCCTCGAGTCCCAGAACGCGACGATCATGAGGCACGGGGCCTCGCTCACCTTCACCATCCCCAACAGGCAGACGAGCAAGGCCTCGACCCTCGAGACCTTTTTGTTCGGCGACGCGTCCTTCTGACACACCATCCGGGGCTACGATCACCGAGAAAAACTTTTTTAGCCAATGTGTCAGGGGGGACGGCAATTGAAGTGCCCTTCCAAGTAAAGTTGCATTAGATGCACTTGCCATTATGACATGTACGTTTATAACATATATTGCCACACTGCCACCGAACCGAGTACAAATTATAAGGAAAGACCACCGTGTGCGTTTTCAAACCTGTATACGTACAATAAACAATGATTGTGATAAATCTCAAGTTCAACGTCAAACAATACAAGACAATATATTTATTATGCTGATGATTAACGCGCGTCAATTCATTTTTGTGTACATATACATAATATTTATACAGTATTAGGTGTACTCGATAAATAGGAGCATAATTATATACTCGTGATTTTTATAGCCAACCGTATTATATATACACATATGTAAGATTGAGAAATAAATTTATGTGGAAAATATTTGGTGCGTGTGTTATTTGGCCCGTCGTCGGTCGGAAATTAACTTACGAGGGGAGGTGGTGGGGGGGGGGGAAGGCGCAGAAGGCAATAATTGTAAAATAGCGGTGCCAATAATAATCGAGAGCCTGGAAAGATAAGATATTCGTGCGGACGGGAGACGCGGAGATATAGAGAGGAGAGAGAACGTTATAGAGCATCATTGATGTACCTATTATTAGACCGAGCGGCTGTGCAGGCTACGCGACGGAGAGAAAAAAAAAAAAAAAAAAAAAGAAAAGAAAAGAAAAAGCAATTCTCTCTCTCTCTCTCTCTCTGTCTTTCTCTATGTGTGTAGACACAAGTGTACCTATATGTATATAATATGTACAAAAGAGAGACGAATGTGGTGCGAAGGGAGATGAAACGAGCGGTGCTGATGGTGGTTGGGGGGGGGGGGAATCCTTTTTCGCTTATTAGGCTGGCCAGGGCAGGTAGAGAGAGAGAAAGAGCGAATGGCGAAAAACAACGGAGCCTCTGAACCGGCGAAACTTGTGTGTACACGGGGCGCTCGTTGTCGAGCAAGCGCGAGCGAGCGATCGCCAAATATAAATCCGCATCCGGATTGCGATGATCGGCAATCGGCGATTACGGCGTGTATATAGCGCTACCGGGGGGGGCGAGAGAGGGATGGGAGGGAGGGAGGGAGGAAAGGGGTAGGGGCGGCGCGCACACGCCTCCCTTGCTGGCGTCGCGGCGGCCGCCTATTGCGCTAGGTAGTCAGTTCTCTTTCACGAGCTCCGAACTCGTCCGAAAACTCCCGTGGCCCAGCCGGTCTTGGCGTTAACAAACTTCCACCAGCAGCTTTGTTTTTTTTTTTTTTTTTTTTCGCGTGCTCGCCATCATCTCCCTGCATCCCAAATAAACCAGTGCTTCGGTCGGCGATACCGCATCGATCATCCATCGATCCATTGAGGGCTTTACGCTCGGCACTGCCCCCTCCCCATTGCGCGCCTCTTTCGCAAGCGCAACGACGAGCAAGCCGATCGTGCAGTCACGCCTTCAGGTAATTTTTTTTCTCATCATCCGCGCGGAAAGACCATCAGCGTTACACGTATCTGCTACTACGACCAAATCTGTGCACCTATATCTACTTACCGATACAACTAGTACCCTAAACAAACAAACAAACGGAAGTGATCAACGATACTTACTTGTCCAACGAAGAAGTATCCTCAGTGGTGGTGATCGTGGTGGTGGTGGTGGTGGTGGTGTGTCGTGCTTCGCTAGTAAAACGCCCTTTATCCTCCCCTTTGCCTGTAGTGTCGGTCCTATACGGCAGCGCTTCCCCGAATACCCTACGACCGATCTAACACTCGTTAGCAGCCTAACCGTCCCTGCCTACCTATTTACTAACCGACTCGATTAAAAATAGAGGAGAGAGAGAGAGAGAGAGAGAGATCTATAGCTGGTTCTCTTTTTTATGCATTCTACTTGCGCCCGCAAGCGCTGGAATCGATAGCTTGCCGATTCCTTAAACGCCGTGCCGATCTTGGCCACGAATTTACCTCCGCCGCCAAAACAACACAAAAGCATCACGAGCACGTACAATCATATATATATTTTAAACGGAGTAACACAAATTGTTGGGGTATCGGAGTTACCGATAATTCGGACGTTTACGCGCGTAGGTACAAGCCAAAGTTGTAAATCGCGCAACAAGTTTCTCGCGGATTAGGGTATTTGTCACTGTGTCACCGTAGCGTTTTATTAATACCCGCTCCTTGAGATTTTTTTTCTTTGAAGACGATGGCGATACAAAGATTAAATTTCCGGCAAAGTGAAGTTCAGCAGCCCGAGAGGCGTTTTCAAGGTGATTTCATCGTGAAATAGATGTTCCATTTTCCTGACACACTTTTCGTTGCTTGCTCGCGCGCTCACGCATACACCCATCATCTGCCACGCTACATGTATATACATACACACGTACACAGAACATAGTCCGAGGGAGTATATACTCCTCTGCGGCGTGTATATAGGTGTATTATGCTGGTCGCGACACCGCCGTTTCGGTTGCTGCTCTAGCACTTGGGAAGGTCGCATTTTTTCGGAAAACTCACCTACTTACGTACCGCCGCGCAATCTCATTTTCGCTTCTGCCGTCCCTTGACTCTCTTCCCGTAAATGATTGCGAATCGCACAATTTCATTGGCTCGATCGAATTTTCGTTTTTGGCCGTTGCAAAAACGATCGCAAACGACAGACGGGCCACCTGCTTTTTCCTCTTCCGAGCGATTCTTTCGAAACTCGGTTGTATACTTGATGAATAAAGTGCAATGAGCATCGAAAGCGATCTAATTAAAGACGCGTGGCCGAATAAAAAAATGCGGCCAACTGTCGGGTTCTGCAGCGGCTCGTCAGGCAATCTCCAGCTCCAAAATAGATTTTGCCTAAAACTTTGCCGCGTCGAGATTTATGTTTGGATTTACGATTCCTCCTCTCTCTCTCTCTCTCTTTTCTTTTTTCTCAATCATATTGTACATTGACGTGTGGGTGTGTGTCTGTGTACCTTGTGCTCTTTTTTATCCCTCACTCTCTTTTCTGTGTATTTGGGTGTGCTTCGTTACTGCACGAATTTAATGCAAATTGAAACAGATGGCCGTCATCGTAATTGAGCTGAAAACCAAGTATTTCAGTACTACCTCTCTATACCTCTCGTTGTAGTATTTTTATGGAAAAGATGCGTTTACGTGCTATACGACCACTCGTTCATCTGATTTATATTTGACATAAATCGGTGTGTTCGTGCAAAAGTCCAACATAATTTATCACCGAGGTTTAGTTAATACTTTCCTTTTTCCTTCATTTTTTGTTTCTTTTAATTTTATTATGAATGAAAATCACAAAATTACAACACAAATACATCATTAATTATAGTAGTAGGAATTTGGGGCCAATAGTTTAACGAAGTAAATTTATTTAAAAATATGCTCTACATTCAGACTTGGATACTTTGATGATGTATAGCATTTTAAGGCAATTATATTCGTGCATATTTTTACAGTAAATAATTTGACTTTTTGTTTTTTCGATTGTGCACACTCATCATGTGTATAATATCATGTATGTACCTTGGAATAACCACCCCCTACAGTTTGTGTGTTAAAAAGAATTTAAAACAAAATATATGTGTGTGAGTTCTTGATCGATTTTTGTGGAAATTATAAGCATACATCGTTGACAAATGATTTTATTTTTTACTCAGGTATTTAGAATAATGAGGACATAACACACCATTATGGCTGATAAATTTCAAAAAGAAGGTGAAAATGAAGAAATTGCTTCTTTTTTTTTTTAATTCAAGTGCCAGTTGATCGTTGCAATTGCACAAATATCATCATTTTTTTATGGTTGTTAACGTAACACGCACACACAATTGTCAGAAGTAAAGTAACGGAAACTTAAGTATAGAAATATATTAAAAAAGGAAAAATTCTTTTACATCAAATATAATTGCATTCAAAACTAAATAATAAAGTTTCGGTGTTTTTAGGATTGTTTGCACATAGAATTGAGATTTTTGCATCATTACAACTTATTTAATTAATAGATTGCAATTGTATTCGACAGTCGAATACAACAGTACAATAAACATCTACGAAAGAATAATAAAGTGAAATTTTAACATTTTTTCGCGAAAAGAATTTGTTCTTTTATTATTCGGGTCAAAAAAAAAAAACAAAAAAATTTATATGCTCTCAAAAATACGTGTACCTACTATTTGAGTTTAATGATTTCCTGTACCAATAAGTGCGTTTATGTGCGATGATGTAATAGATCTACAATTTGGTGTATGATTTATGTCAGCATACGCCGGGTATAAGTAAAAACACATAAAGTTACGGTTACTACATTTAGCAATGCGGAGCAATATCGGAACATGTGAAAAATTCCATGGTCATTTCGTATGGCCAAGGTATACATATGAAATAAAAAGCCGACTAGAAATGACGTTCTTTTTTAACTTCTCGTTACCAATGAGGAAGTAAAAATTGTATAAGTATCGTTCAAGGGACGTGTTTTTACAAATCATGTATACACCTACGAACAAAGTTCTTTGATTTTTAATGTACTTTCAATCAAATGAGTTGTACTTAATCGATAAAGAAAGAAAAATCGTCTCCAAGTGTTGATAGTTGGTCTCAAAATCATCTACACATTATACATGCACATGATCGAGCTTTAGATTGTCGATGTTTTTAAAATTTATTAGTTGCAACCGATTAAGAAAAAAAAAGCATGTTACTTTGAAATCACTCGTATATACTCCACGTTTGTATAAAACACTTGCAACGATCAACCGGCAACAATGAAAAAAAAGAGATTTATCAAACACACGAGGAGGAAAAAAAAAAAAAAAAACCCTTTTTCTCACAGAGTTAAGCCACGGCGCGAAGAGCGAAAGACTGCTCGCTACGGAGAGAATCACAACGCGGACTTCCCTGAAAACCCTAGGGGTAAGTAAAAAATAATAATTAATAAGTACTCGTTTACTCGATGACCGATCGGAGGTAGACGCGCGCGACGACACCAATTACATGGCCAAGCCACGCTGAGGTTTCGGAATAAGGTGGCGCGTTACAAGTGTATGACGATTTGCCTCTAAAGATATGATAACAAATCACCTCCCCCCCCCGGGGGGGGGTAATGGTTACGGTATTATTTACGCGCTTGGATGTTTTATTGGACGCCGCACGGGCGCAGCGTAAATCTGATCGCTGGCAGCGGATAAACGTATACAATATGGCACACGGACCCGCACTAGTCACGATCACGGATATATACAAGTGCTCCGCTTCTTAGAGAGAGAAGAAGATGAAGAAGGAGAAGAAAAAAGGTGTATAAAAATCCAAATGTATACGTGAATTATTCGATGTTTGTTGTTCCGGGTCGCACACGTGTATATACATTTGGATTATGTACAAAAGCGATTCTGAAACAATTAGCAGCAGCAGAGTTGGAGTATTTCGAGAGGGAAATAAGTATAATATATCGTTGGCTAAGTACAACCTACCGAAGCTTGTATATATATACCACGTACATGCACACGAAGCAAGTGCATCATAAACTTGTCGCAGTTGGGGTAGGTATGCATGTGTATTGTATACGTACCTGTAAGCATTCGATAAATCAGCCTCTCGCCGGCAGGTTGGGGTAAAAAAAAAAAAAAAACCGTTTTGGCACGGGGGCCCACACGTTATCCATTAAGCTAAATGGCCACGCGTATACCTGTCGATGATACTCCGATCTCGGGCTCGATTTGCCCGCGAAAGACGCTCTGAGCCCGCTAATGAGCCGCTATTAAAATTAAAGCCAACGAAATTAGTTCAAGGCCCCTTCCCCCAAGCACATGTAGGTATAAAAGGTATACATAAACGCGCCGAGAGAGTATAGAGTGGAAATACATTCCGTTGGGCCGATTACGTAAAACGGAGGGCGCGCGCGTTGACGATCGCCCCAAAGATCGGTATATGACATTGACAAAGTAAAAGTGGACGTGTTTAGCCCTGATGCAGCGAGGCATATTGTTGGAGAAATTTTCCACACCGCGGCTCTCCGCTCTCTAGATGACGGAAAGGCGGAGGAGGAGGCTTAACGTATACACAATATACAAGACAACGAGCATCAGGGGTTGTTGCTCGCTTGACTCGTTTGCGCCGGGATGAATCAGAAGACATACAGAGGCTGGTGGACCATACAGCTCTTTAGAGAGAGAGAGAGAGAGTGAGCACATTATAATGTATCCGAGTATATATAGGAGATTGTAGGTAGTTATAGGTAGGTGGACGTGGGTACACATATACTTGGGTGTCGAAGAGAAAGAGGGGTATAGCTATTTTTGGTGAGCAGGAAGAAGGAGGCTGAGCACACAGCATGCGCCACGCGGCCGAGCCGTAAGACGACGGCAGTCAGTACCAGTGCAGTGTAGTAGGTATATATGTAGTACCTACACGGAGATGGAGTGAGAGAGAGAGAGAGAGAGATTTCGGTGGCAAGCGACTTTTGGCCATCCGGTGGCATCCGCAGTCTGGTCCGGCGCTCGAAAGAACCAAGTGTATTATCGGGCACAAGCTCGAAAGCTCGCCCCGAGGGAAGTTAGTGATGTGTCCCCCTGTCAGTTCATCCCTTTTTCTCCAAGCTCGGCCGAGGGAACCGCCGATTTAGTGTGAAATATTTATCACGAGAGGGGTCGTGCGGTGCAACGGGCCGTTATTATTCGTACGGAGGAGGGCCGATTAAAGATAGCCATACCCGTTCTCTCTCTCTTTGAATTATATGCTCGCGCGCCGGATATAACACGCTCTCCCCGAGCTTGCACGCGAACGATCCTCGGAACTACCGAACTATACGTGTTTTTTGTGTGTTATAATGAGCACCAAGGCAGAAAAAGGGTAGCGAGTGATGAAAAACCACTGGCCGGGGGAGCTTATGATTATTATTACCATAAAATGCGGAAACGAGTGACAATCGAGGGAGAAGCCGGCGATTGTAGCGAGCATCGCCAGCTGATTGACCACCAGCAGTCGGGCGAGGTGGCGCTCCCCATTTCGGTCTATTTCGGTCGGGCCCATCGGCGCCAATAATCAAACGTACGACTACAAGTACAGCGTCGCCCTGCACCTCCGACATAGAAGCCAAATCTCGGAGAGCCGTGTGATGTTCAACTTTAAATTCCGGTTTAAACTGAAGAAGCGCGGGGACGAGAGGAGTAGTAGGAGGCATCAGAGATCGTGAAACAAAAAAACAAAAAAAAAAAAAAAAAACAAATGATTTATTCCATTAAATGAGAGCTATTTTTCACATATCAGGCAAATGACATCAAGGAGAAACGATAAACCAATGTACTTGAAATTCCGTCTTTTATTTATTTTTTTTTCCCCTTGGACATTTGTATACAATTAAACGATGTATTGTCGTATACAAATACATGCATATACGTACATTCAAACTTATCGCGAAAAAAACAAAAGAATATCAGAAAAACTATGAATTTCGTGCAGGTGTTTAAGAACTTTTTCCTTCATATTATGCGCAACGTGGTGATACCACGAGAATTGATAACAATAATTGCCGGTAATTAATTGTCAGTATGCGACGTTTTTGCGCTATACTGACTCAGTCAACTTGAGACTTCGTTTTTAGTTGTTGTGTGGCGTTAAAATAAAAAGAATCAACTTACTGGCTATTTGCCTCTGTTACCATCAATTTAACAGATGAGTTTTTGGCCAAATTTTAAAGTTTGACGATCCAAAGTGTGTACAATACTATTTTTAACAACTATTATTTCAAAGACACAAAAATGGTAGTTGGAGAAATAATCGGACAGTTTTTACCGCCACCGTTGAATATCCTTTGGAACTTTGTGCTGTTACCGCTATTAAACAGTGGTTTCATAAACAACCTCTTAGCATCACAACCGGTAT